GCGGTCGCCTATGTGGGAGTCCAGCGACATAGCCATTATGCTAACTGTTGGTCCCGTTGCATAATTTTTTTAAGAGTTATTTTTATTTTAACTTTATTATTATTATTTTCTAATTTGATCAGAGAGAAAGAGGGAAAGTGAGAAAGCAAGCCACCAGGTCTGGGACTTGAACCGTGATCAACCATGTGGGAGTCCAGTGATGGTCTTTAGCCATCATACCACCTACTGGCCCCCATAATTTTTAAAAAAATTATTCATTTAATTTTATTTATTATTACTATTTTTAAATTTGACCAGAGACAGAGAGAGAAAAAGTGTGAAAGCACGCCACCAGGTCCAGACTCAAACCATGGTTGGCCATGTGGGAGTCCAGCATCTTAACCACTGTGCCACTTGCTGACCCCCAACATGTTTCATAATTTAAACATAACATTTCATTAAAAGGACAGTGGATATATTTCTAGTTTTTGGTAGTGACAACTTCCAGAACCATTTCTGTTCTGTTATTATATTTCTGTTAAGTTATCTTGGGATACCTTAGTCCCTCTGCTAAGTTTTAGCAAAAAGAGAGACAACATAGGTAGGACATAATATTGGGACCAGCAGTTGGTGTAATGGCTATGTTGCTAGACTCCCACGTAGTCAGCTGTGGTTTGAGTCCTGGACCTTGTGGCTTAAACTCAACACCGGGTGCATGTGTATGCGTGCCCAAGATCCCGAGAGGAGAATGGAGGAGGAGGGATTGTGGAGTGGCCATCCCCCCAGGGGTGATTTCTCTCTCCCTCTCTCTCTCTCCCTCCCCCCCCCTCTCTCTTTTTGGCATCCGCATGCGCCCTATAGCAAAAATCTCTCGCTCCAAAAGAAAAAAATTTATTATTCATTTTTTTCTGGCAGTCCTCTCAATGAACAGTGTCTTAAACTTAAGATGGACTGCAATTGGGAACAAAGAACGTGGATATTATTTACTAATTGAGTGTATCTTTTAGAATATATTCTATATGCTTTCATTTCTTTCTTTTTTTTTTTTTTTTTTGCTACAGGGCACATGCACTGCTAGAGAGAAACAGAGAGAAGGAAAGTGAGACGTCACCCCAGGGGGGATGGCCATGCCTCGGTCCCTTCTCCATTCTCCTCCTGGGATCTTGCGCACACACTCATACTTGCCTAGTGTGATTATCAAGTCCAGGACTTGAAGTGTGCAGTTGACTGTGTGGGATCCAACTGCCTTAACCTCCACACCACCCTCTGGTGCACTAGTTAGCAGTTTTGCTCAGAGCCTGTAGTGACCGTTTGTTTCTGATTGAATGCATCCAGAAAATACCATAATTTCCTTGAGAGGCCGTGTTAATAGCCTTTGCAGTGTTGTATATGGAAGTCACAGTGCCCAGTGGGACCGCCACACATCATGTGTTCTGTTGGTTGCACCAAGCGAAGCATGTGTTATCACTAGAATGTGAGCCAGTCACTTGGAATGAAGTTTTTGGACTGTACTTTTGTCATGATGGCTTAGTTCCTAAGGTGGTTAATAAAGTACATATATTGTAACATGTTGATAACTTTATGTTAGAGACTTGAAATGCTTGACTTTTGAAATACCATGAATTACTGTATACTTTTTTATAAAACAATATTATATCTGTAACATTAAATGTTTTTATTTCCAAGATTCAGTCTGGTCCACTAAAAATCTCTGATTTATCAGAGGTAATGAAAGAATCTAAACAGCCTGCCTCACAACTCCAAAAACAAAAGGGAGACACTCCAGCTTCTACAACAGGTACTTCTATTTAGAGCCATTCTTTTAGGCTTATAGGTGAACGAATTGTTTCAGTGTGTTTGTACCCATAATCAAGAGGAGGGCCCCTCCCAGGAGAGATTCTTTGATCCGCAGTGCCTACCCGAGGGAAGAAGGCTTCTCACCTGTGATGTTGGCTCTTTCAGGGAATGAGCGGGACACAGAATTGGGCTTGATTGTGAGTGAGGGGTAGTGGCAAGGATTGTCCTACATACAAGACTTACCCTTTCTACTCCCCCCACCCCACCCACTGATGCCTAGCTTTTTCCTATTTGGATTTCAGTATATTCTCTCTTTTTTTTAACCTCTTTTTCTCCTATCTCTTCTCTGATTGTTTTTCTTTTATTTCTTAATGATGGAAGTGTCTTGCTCTCCTTTCTACAGATGCTTTTTTGCCTTCAAGATTTATCAGTAATCCTACCCTAATTTACGGCACTTGCCTTATTCTAACCTTTTTACTACACATATGAATGCCTTTATGTCCTTCTTTAGTTACTTCTGTCCTCCATTAAGTCGGCTGACTTTGACTCAGCAAATAGGTACTGAGTGTCTATTAAGTGCCTGTATTCTTCTAGGCGCTGAAGGTAGAGCAGTGAACTAAATAGTAGAACAAAAACAGCCAGCAAAACACAGCCACAGAAACTCTGCTGATACTCCTTGGCAGAATGAGGGAAGGGCGAATGATATAAAAGTAAACAAGTAGAATGTATAGGTGTCAGACAGAATGGGAGGGAATACCACAGTTTTAAATAGAGTAGAAAAGCCTCACCTAGAAAGAAGCAATCATCTGAGTAATGACTAGAAAGAGGCGAGGGGGTAAGTCAGATGAAATGCTGGTGGAGTCTGCAGACAGGGATTAGCTGGTGCAGGGGCTCAGCATATTCCTACAAGGAGCAGTTGCTTCTGGAGTGGAGCGAGTGACGGGGGAACAGGAGCCAGTGTAGGAGGAGAGGGAGCAGAATGCCTGCGGTGGCAGCCTGGGAAGCCTTATTAGAGCTTGTTCTATATTCGGAGTAGGATTGGAAGTTGTCGGGCTGCTTGCCAAGGGGTGGGGGTGGGGGATTGACCTGTGACTATTACTTTAATGGGATCTCTTGGGTTGCTATGAATGGATAAGGACTAGGAACAGGAATGGTAGCAGGGAGACGGTTAATGGGTTTTGTGGTAATCCAGCTTTATTCTTAAATGGGTCTTTCAGTCTACTTAAATTTTCCTTTATCCCCCCCCATTTCATCTCTAAAATTGTTCCTTTTTCTCTTCCATAAACACTTGTGTGTGTAATTTGCAAGCCCTTGATTTTTTAAAAACTTTTCTTTGAAAATATAGCTATTATTAACTTTCTAAATGTGAGTTCTATTCTTCACTGTTTCTACTGTGAACATCTTTCTGTGTTTAAAGCTATCATCTTGTTCTGCTTACACCTCTTCTCTCTTTCACTTTTAACAATTCAAAATATTCTTTGTCTAGTTGCATTGTTTTTTTCTGTCTTCTTCATTACAGGCTCTTTTTTCCTTTGTTATTCTTTCTCCATGTTATATAAATCTGATGTTCACTTCTTGTATGTTAAGAGTTGGTGCTTTTGCCAGAAGCCTTGCCTGGGAGTAGTGATGGATAAAATGCCTTTGAGTACTGGCAGTCCTCATTTCTCTGTGTCCCTCCGGCCATGTCCATTGTATGTCAGTCTGTACATGCAGTTGACAGTGCCCTTGTTGTTACTCAGACACGTGGCAGCACGTGGATTTATCTTTCAGGAGTCAGACAGTAAGTGGGCAGCGCTAGTAGTAGAGTCCCCTGTGTTTCTGTTAACCTAGAAGAGTATGAATACCATGAGTAACATGTATTTGTAGCACCTACAGAGGCAGCTCAAATTATTTCTGCAGCAGGTGATACACTGTCGGTCCCAGCCCCCGCGCGTTCGCAGGTCCCAGACCCCGCTGTTCAGCATGAAGAATCTGTAAAAACTGGTCACCCTGAAATCGAAGGAAAACCCACACCTGCAACTTCAGGTAGTTTAATTATTTATAGATTTTTTTCATTCTATGAATAATATACTCATCACAACTATGTAATGCCTAGGCAACACGTAGATATTGTAAGTGTATATTGAGCTGTCGGAAAAGTCATGGTGCATTTTCACATAGAAAAACACGTCGTGACTTTTCCAATGAGTTATTATTTATACTTGTTTTAAGTCTTCAGGCTTGCTTAGGAAATTTTTAAAATTTAGAAGTGTGAGTAAATCCTCAAAAACAAGGACACCCAGAGATGATCCCTTAATTCCTTATTTTGGAATCATTAAAAGTGATGATGTGGTTTTAGAATCCTCACCACGGAAGTACTCTGCCCTGATAGAACTGGCAAGTCTGAATGGTGGTGTTTTATATCCCTGTTAGCTGTTGAAATTCTGTGCTGAACTTTGATTTCCTCTTATTTACTTTGCTGCAAGAGGAAGCATCCTCATCTTCTGTAAGGGAGCGACCGCCCGAAGAAGTTGCAGCTCGCCTTGCACAACAGGAAAAACAAGAGCAAGTTGAGATTGAGTGTATGTAAATCAATGCTTCTAGCCACCTCTCAACCTCTCAGTTGCTCTCTTCTTAAACCATCAGCACAAGTGTGTCATCTCTCAGCTAATTGTAGTTTCTTTTCTTGTTTTTTTTTTTTTTTTTCCCCCACCATCTTCATTTCATCGTTTGTGTTCTTTCTCTCTAAACTTCTGTACTCACCTGACAAGGGCTATTCTTAGTGTATAACTGGTGAGCATTTTGAATAATATATGTGCTTTGTTTATGTTACTATGGCTGCTGCTGCTGCAGGTTCTCCATATTCTGGGGGGCAGAGACTGATTACAGTAATGCACCACATGACAGTGTTTCAGTGACTGACAGTGGTCCCATAGATGATACCGTGTAGCCTAGGCATATACCCACCTAGGTTTGTGCAAGCATGCTCTATGATGTTTGCACAGTGATGAAGCCACCTGGTGATGCATTTCTCATGAGGTATCCCTATATGATTGTATTTATGTTTTAGCAGTTTGCTAAGAATCTTTTCATTGTTAAGCTCATAAATTTATTTGTGTGAGTCAGAATGGTTCATGCTCTGGCTTATTAACCATCCTCTGGACTCTTCCTCTGGTGCTGTTATCTCACATTGAGGCATGGAGGTTATTTTCTTTCTTTCTTTTATTTATTTATTTCTTTTTTAAATTTGCCGGAGACAGGGAGAGAGGGAAAGTAAGAAAGCAGCCCCTGTAGGTGTGGTCATGCCACTTTACCTTCCCTTCCATTTCTCCCTCTCAGGATTTTGGGTACTCATGCATACATGCCTGGTCTGTTTTATAAGCCTCTGGGCCCAGGGCTCGAACCATGCAGTCAGCCATGTGGGATCAAGCCACTTTAACCACCATGCTATCAGCTGACCTGAGACTTGGAGAGTTCTCCATGTTGTTGGTTTCCAGCTAACAGGTGTATTATGCTAAGTTTTTGATGGTTTCAAAAAAGGTAATAGATACCCAAAATGTATTTTCCTGTCTTAAACAAGGCACACAGAACCCAGTTTATGGCTGCTACAGCGTGTGGATGTGTGGAAGCTGGGGAATGTGTAGCTCCTCACCGGACAGAGAGTGTCTCAAACTCTCCTGGCAGCCGCTTAGAGGTCATGGTGTTTGTCTTTCTGCCCTGAGTGGCTCCTGTTAATGTGTTGGTACTGTGCTGCTCTGAGGAACCAAGTTTGTTAAAACTGGGTAAAAGATTAGAATGAATAGAATGAGAATAGTTATAGACATTAGTTTGACATTAGTTAGATTTAGATTTTTTGTATTTGCATTCTTCTGAAATCTTGGTCATGTTGAAAATGTTAATTACTTCCAAATACGTGAAATATTTCAATACTTTTTTCCCACTTCTTAATTTTTCCTGAATTCTCTACTGCTTTAATTGAGATTACTACTACTTTTTTTTTTTTTAAGGGAGATTTTTGCTATAGGGCAAGTGAGACATCACTCCCCTCCCCACCCCATCATGGGTTATGGCCACGTCGCAGTCCTGTCTCCTCCAGGATCTTGGGCACACACGCGCTCAGCGTGAGTTTGAAGCTGCCGGGTCCAGGCCTCGAACCACAGTCAACTACATGGGAGTCCAACAATGTAACTATTACGCCATCTGCTGGTCCCAAGATTACTTCTTTTTAAAGTTTATATATTTTCTCCATTTTCCCCTTTTATCATATGGGCACCTGGAATTAAGCTACACATTTTAGATGGAGATATCTGTTCTTTTATTTGTGTGGTTGTGTTCAGATCCATTTTCATTTTGGGCAAAGTGTATATTTTCAGGATTGTGTCAGTTACCTTTAGTTTTGTCCTGAAAATTTACGTTAAAAATGTTCATGTGAAGACCAGTAGGTGGCATGATGGTTAAGGCACTGTATGGTTTGAGCTCCAGACCTAGCGACTTAAAAATCACACTGGGTGTGTGCACATTCATGCCCAAAATCTCAAGAGGAGAATGGGGGAGAAGGGACTGTGGCATGGCCACTCCCTTAGGGGCTGATTTCATATTTTCCTTCCCTTTCTCTTTGGCGAGTGCATGCATCCTGTGGCGGCAAACACCTTTAAAAAAATTGGTTCATATGTGGACCACCTGGTGGCCTGGTGATTACTGTGGTTAGATCCCACATGGGCAACTGTGTGGTCGAGTCCTAGACCTAGAGGCTTGAAAAACATGCCAGATATGTGTGCATACATGCACCAAATCCTGAGATAATGGAGGAGCAGAGACTGCGACATGGCTGTCACCTCCTCTCCTCCCCAGGGAGGGGTACTGTCTCTCCACTCCCACCCGTGTCTCTCTCTCTCTAGCAAGTGCATATATACTGTAGCAATTTTTTTAAAAAAGTTCATACCTGTCAGACATGCACGTGCTTGCCCAAGATCTGACAGGCTGGAGGACCAGATGAAGGGGACAGCGCTGTGACCTGATCCTGTGGAGGGTGCGACCTCTCCCTCTCTCGTTCACTCTTTCACTCTCGTACATGCACACTTTATCATGAATAAAGAAAAACATTTTAAAACTCGTGTGTGTCTAATTTTTATGAAGGATTGGAGCACAGTGACAAGAGGGATTGAGGCAGCAGGTGGCCTCCCAGCAGCCTGATTCCGTGGGCTTCTGTGAAGCGGCTCACTGCTGTCTGCACTGCTGGCCACCAGTAGCTCATTCTTATCATGGAAACCAAGAACAGTTTTTCCTCCCTTGCCTCTTTCTCTGTTTATATTTCCTGCTTGTCAGTATAGCTTCACTCTCACATTGATTTCCTGATTTTCCCCCCTCATTCTTAGCTTCCTTATCTTTGTTGTAGAGGCACCATGTAGGAGTCATCCAGTTCCATTTGTTCACCTCTGCCTGACTCTTCTCTTGCTAAAAATCCCCTTCTGTTTTTGTTTCACCTACTGAGTATATTTCATGTCTTTTTGTCATCTGCTATCAGTTATTATTAAATTAGTATTCTCATTGGCTTTTATTCTTCAAATGACCGTTTTTAAATTTCAGTGTGTTATCTAAAATATCATACCTTGCTTTACTTTTAAAATATGTTGCTGTTTCTTTTTAGAATTCCTGAAGCAGCACATGCAAACGTGCTCTTAATGGGTGCTAGTCCCTGGGACATTGCAGTTTCTTAAGTCTTATTATGGGAAAATACTGTCCATTTCAAGCTACCTTTACTTTTCTTATTTGCACGTTTTCTTGTTTGTCTTCCCCTGGTCTGTCTGTAATCTTTTATCTTGGCGGTACAGGTTTTACGCTGTGAGTACTTCTTGCTGAGGGAATGAAAATGAGCACTTCTTTTTCCCTATTTAAAATAAAAAATCTGGTGTATATGCTGAACTTACAGCTTCTAGTAGGTTAAAGGGACTGTAGTGTCCTGAGCCTTGTTTTTGTTTTTCCAAAGTTCAGATATATGTAGAAGTAAAAATAATATAATAAACCTTAATAGACCCATCATCCAGGTTCAATATTACCACTCTTTTACTGTACATGTAAGTGAAACTTTAATTCCCTAAATTTGAGTCCTGGGTGTATCTTGTTCTTTTTTACAGTTTTTTGGGAAATGCAATGAAGTAATCATAGGAGAAGAGGGAAAATTAAAACGAAGTTATTTATTGGGGAAGGAGTTTGTTTTTTAACTCTTCTCTTTTTCCTTCCAGCTCTAGCTAAAAGCTTAGAAGATGCTCTGAGCCAAACCGCTAGCGTCACTCTGCAGGTGATCGCAGCTCAGAATGCTGCCGTCCAGGCTGTCAATGCACACTCCAACATCCTGAAGGCAGCCATGGACAATTCGGAGGTGAGCCAGAGAACGGCTGGACGCCTAGCGTTTCGTAGGCTCATTTCTCCTAAGTGGTACGGGCTTTCTGTCACTGTTCTGAACAATCTAGAATATTTGTATTTTCTTTCTTTCTTTTTTTTTTTAAGAGAGGCTTTGGCTATAGGGTACAGGCGCTAACCAGAGACACACAGAGACAGAAAGTGAGAAGTCACCTCTGCCCAGGGGGATGGCCGTGCCATAGTCTCTTCTATCTCCTATTGGGACTTTGGGCATGCATGCACATGCACCCAGCATGAGTTTAAAGCTGCTGGGTCTGGGACTTAGAATACCCAGCATGAAAGCTGCTGGGTCTGGGACTTAGAATAATTGTCTTTTTAAAAAAAAGTTAAAAAAAAAAAAAAAGACCAGCAGGTAGCGTGGTGAAGATACTGGACTCCCACATGACTGATCACGGTTCAAGTACTGGACCTGGCAGCTTGCTTTCTCTCTCTCTCTCTCTCTCTCTCTCTCTCTCTTTCTCTCTGTGTGTGTGTATGTGTGTGTGTGTGTGTGTCTGGTCAAATTAAAATAAATGAATGAATAATTAAAATAATTCATTAAAAAAACTTAAAAAAAAAAAGAATAATTGTCTTCTTTTAGAGAGAGATTTTTGCCATAGGGCGCATGCATTTGCCAGACAGAGAGACGAGAGAGACAGAAAGCAAGAAATCATCCCCCAGGGGGCATGACCATGCCGCAATCCCTTCTCTTCTGTTTTCCTCCTGGAATTTTGAGGACACTTACACATATGCCCAGCGTGAGCCTTAAGCTGCTGGATCTAGGACTCAAACCGCAATTGACTACATGGGAGTTCAGTAGCCATTATGCCAGATTCTGGTTCCTAGAATAATTGTCTTTTCTTTTTTGAGAGGTTTTTGCTATAGGGCGCATGCGCTTGCCAGAGAGACAGAAAGCAAAAAATCATTCCCAGGGGGGATGGCCATGCTGCAGTCCCTTCCCCTCCATTCTCCTCTTGGCATCTTGGGCACGCATGCACACGTGCCCAGCGTGAGTTTAAGCCACCGGGTCTGGGACTCGAACTGCAGTCGACTACATGGGAGTCCAGCGACATAGCCATTATGCTAACTGCTGGTCCCGCTCACTTCTAAAATAAGGATATAACATACATTTTAAGACGCTGCTGTGGTCCTTATGGAAACTGATGTATGTAAAGTGCTTAGAATAGTGCATGACACATGGTAAGAGCTACATGAGTGACCAGTTGTATTTAACTGACACAAGCAAGCCGGTCGACCAACCAATTACTCTATGAATTACTGAAAGCCAAATAAAGGCAATATTATCTGTACAGAAAAAGAAAGTGAGAAAGCAAGCCATCATGCCTCGGATTTGAACCATGGTTAGCCATGTGGGAGTCCAGCGCCTTAACTACCACACCACCTGCCAGGCACTTAAAGTTGTTTCTGAGAAGCTTCTTTAGACTGTCAGATGGTCTAGTGACAGTAAACAGTTAATCTTGCCTGAAGAGGATTGGTTTTTAAACTCTTCATTGGTAATTAATGTGCCCTTAGAATGGAGACTATATCAGAGGTCAGTGGGAACATGGAGAGTGGAGGCAGAAAGAGTTGAATGACCAGAACTAGAGGGCATTGCTTTTTTTTTTCTTTTTTTCTTTTTTTTGGAGATGTTTTTGCTATAGGGTGTGTGCGCTCACCAGAAGGATAGAGACAGAGAGACAGAAAGTGAGAAATCACCCCGTAGGGGGAATGGCCATGTTGCAATCCCTTCTCCATTCTCCTCTCAGGATCTTGGGCACGCACGCATGCACACGCGCCCGGCATGAGTTTAAGCCCCCGGGTCCGGGACTTGAACCGCTGTTGACTTACTACGTGGGAGTTCAGCGACACAGCCATGACGCTAACTGCTGGTCCCAGGGCATTGCTTTTGTTGAGCCCTCTACTGAAGGAGCAAGCGTAGGGCTGCAAAGCCACAGAGAGCTACTGGTTTCAAACAAGGAAGATGTAAACTGGCCTTCTAAGTCCAGAGATAACTGATTGACGTGGCAGTCATTTTTTAGGTATGCCAGAAGCCTTTGTAGTAGCTTTGTTTGGAAACATTATTACTGAACCAGTTCAGCCGTCTTTCCGAGGTAAACATAGTTTAGTCTTATAGTAACTTAGTATGCTCCTGTTCATCTACACAAAGTGTATTTCAAGATAAATCATAGGGGGACCAGTAGTTGGTGTAATGGCTGTGTTTCTGGACTCCCATGTGGTAGACTGTGTTTCAAGTCCCGGACCCGGTGGCTTAAACTCACGCCAGGCGTGTGTGCGTGCGTGCCCAAAATCCCGAGAGGAGAATGGAGGAGAATGGATCCCCTCTGGGGGGTGATTTCTCACTTTCTCTCTCTTTCTTTCTGGTGAGTGCATATGCCCTATATCGAAAACTTCTCAAAAAAAAAATAAAATAAAAAAAGATAAACCATAGGGTAGTTTTGCTCCATACTTATATGTGACACATTCAGTTTAAATTACATGCATTTAGAAAAAGGAGTAGAAACGGCCAGCAGGTGGCATGGAGGTTAAGACAAGTGCCAGGAAAGAATTTCTATTCGAGAGAAATATTGTATATAAATTTTTACCTTTGAATTTAACGTCACACATTTCTGTTGGGTCTCATCGTCTGTTCTGTGGCAGTAATAGCAGTTATTTGCATTTATGTCATTGAAGTTTTCTGTTCAGGTTACAGGTGAGAAGAAGTCTGCTCAGTGGCGCACCGTGGAGGGTGCATTGAAGGAACGCAGAAAGGCAGTAGATGAAGCTGCTGATGCCCTTCTCAAAGCCAAGTAATTACTCATGGACTTTACAAGTAATTAGGGCCTCCTGGTGGTTGTTTTTTGTGCTGTGTTTTCTTTATACTGTTTTTAGAAAATTAAGAGAAGGCAGAGAAAGCCTTTCCTACTTTCTCCACCTGTGCTTGATATGAATTGGCATCAGGATCACAAAGGTTATAAGAGAGGAAATAAAATATAATTCAACTAAAATAAATTTTACAGAAACTTATGTAAAGGATGGTATCTAAATACAAGATTTGGCCCAGCTGCAATAGGCATCCTGGTTGATACTGCTGCTTTGTAGGCTGGGGCCACATGAGAGACCTGGGTTTGATTCCCGAGCAACTCAAGAGGCCTGATGTGGGGCTCTACACTTGCAGTCCTTGGTACTTGGGAGACTGAGGTGGGAGGGCTGTGACATAGTGATACTTTGTCCCCCACCCCAAAAAAAAAAAGTTATTAGATTATTCCTTAGGTGGTGTATCTCTACACATTTACTGAGATTCTGTTATAATTTCAAGATTTTGCCGGAACGACTTTGGCAGTTGTACTGGGATTTAGAAAGTACATTATAATCTGTTTGCTTCACCTCATGAAGTAATAACTGTGTAATAGGTCTAGTGTTAGGCCTCCTTGACATTGAGTCCTAGAAGGTAGCTAAAAGTAGAATCAAGCAAGCAAACCCAAGTATAAGATCATCCTTTGATGATAGAAATCTGTATTTGACTAAAGGTTTTTATCAACAGTATGAAATAGTTACTTGTCATTCAAAATTTTGCTGTCTTTCTAATAAAGTATTTCTGATAGAGAAAGAAATTTTCTAATAAAGCCACCATAACTTTTAGGAGATTCAAAAATGTTCATATTATTAGACCGTGTGTCTGTTCTGTGTTATGTGGTGAGTAGACCGCAGCCCATCTGACCTACGAAACATTTTGAATCTTGCGGGCTCCCCTACGCCCCGGTTTTCTGTCTAGTGAGGTCCTTGGTCTTCTCCTTTCCTTTGCCTTTGTAAAATTCTCTCTCACTGGCAAGGGAGTCAGCCTAATCTGTTAGAGCTGCCATTTATTGTGGGCTCCTTGTGGCAGGCCCTGTACAAGGTAGTTTGCACAAATTACTTATCCATACACAAAGGTGTGCAGCCAGGGCGAGGCCGACCTTGGCAGTTGAGTCCGGGTCTGTCTTTCTCTGGAGACTGGGTCTTTTCCACACCGTGCTACATCTCTCGTTCACTCTAGTAGACTTAGCTCTTCTGACCAAGGTGATTTCAGCTGTCAGTGAGACTAGCTTCTGTGCTTAGTGACTAAACAAAGCATTCAGTGACGTTTTTCAAACTACATTTCTTTTCTAGACTTTAATAATGATATACTATACTGACTTCAGAACTCTTTTATTTAAGTTATTTACTTGTTTCTTCCTGAGAAAGAGAGAGTAGGCACCCCCAACAAGAGTCTTCATGCTGTGACCTGACCTCCAGCCTCAGCCAGCATGCCACAGGCATGCAATGCACACATGTCTGGTGTGCACACAGAGACCTTGGGACGTGAATCCAGGACTTTCCCATGTGGCCTCAGCATCACAGCATTGCATCACCACTGCACCGCTACAGCTGGCCCAAAAAGCTCTAATAGTGTTGCAAGGAATTACACTAATTTTCATTTTGTTTTATTGGTTTCCAGAGAAGAGTTAGAGAAGATGAAAAGTGTAATAGAAAATGCGAAGAAAAAAGAGCTTGCTGGGGCCAAACCTCATATAACTGCTGCAGAAGGGAAGCTTCACAACATGATAGTCGATCTGGATAATGTGGTCAAGAAGGTAGATTCCGCAGCTCTTACACATTGCTTTTTGTTTTTTAGTATATTCGTTTAGTCAAAGGATTTTAAGAATTCAGGAAAATGGCCAGCTGGTGGCCTGGTGGTTGGAGTGCTGGACTCACACATGGCTGGCCATGATTCGAGTCCTGGACTCCATGGCTTGAGAATCATGCTGGGTACGTACGTGTGCTACCTAAAATTCTGAGAATGGTGAGAAGGGATTGTGGTGTGGCCATCCTTCCTGAGGGATACTATCTCACTTTCCCTCCCTCTGTCTCCAGGAAGTGCATGCGCCCTATGGCAAAAACCTAAATAAATAAATAAAAATTTAGGAAAATAATAAGATGCCTACCATCTCTTCTTCTTTTTTTCCTGCAAAGAGTATTAGTTGTTATTATTTTGTTTTGTTTTGAATGTTTGCTATAGGACATGTGCTTGTGGAGCGAGACAGTGAAAGAAGGAAGGAAAGTAAGAAATCACCCCCCAGGGAATATGGCTGTGCTGCAGTCCCTTTTCCTCCCTGGATTTTGGTCACGTATACACATACACCTGGAGTATTTTTTTTCAAACTGTCAGATCTAGGTTTCCAAACACCATGCCATCAGGCTGGCCTCAGTTGTTACTGGTTTTAAACACTTAACTTGAGGGACCAGTATATGGAGTAATGGTTTCGTCGCTGGACTCCCACATAGTTGATTGCAGTTCGAGTCCTAGATCCGGCAGCTTTAGACTCACACTGTGCATGTGTGTGCATGCCCATAATCCTGAGAGAACAGGAGGAGAAGGGATTGTGGCCTGCCCGCCCTCCTAGGGTGTAATTTCTCACTTTTTGTCTCTTTGTCTCTCTCTGTCTCTCCCGGTGAGCGCATAAACCCTATAGCAAAAATCTCTCTCAAAAAAACAAATACAAAACTTGAGCCTCCACCCTGACTTCCATCCCAGGTAGTCTGGAGCAGCATGGGACCCTCAGCAGCACCGGGACCCTCAGCATCCGTGCTAAACGTGGCTCTGCAGGGCCATGGCCTGCAGCCTCAGTGGAGGCTATGCCCGCTGCTGCCTGGGTGACTAAGGGCTGTCACTATCTGGACCTGCTCTGCTGTTGGTGTGTAAATTCATGGAGAGGCACGAATGGATAACAGCAGAAAACGGTGTTAGAACAGTGGGTATCAGCAGTTCTGCACAGGAAGCTTTGGGAGATGTTGTTTATTGTAGTCTACCCAACTTGGGACAAAACTGAACAAGATGAGTTTAGTGCTTTGGAAAGTGTGAAAGCTGCTGGTGAATTCTATTCTCCTCTCTATCAGAAGAAGTAACTGAAATTAATGAAGCTCTGCAGAAAATCCAGGACTTGTCAACTGATCTTGTTAGGAAGATGGTTGGCTGATCAAGATGACTCTGAGTAACCCTTCAGAACAAGATGAACTAATGAGAGAAGAAGCCTATGAGAAATATGTAAAGTCTATTAAGTCAAAGTAGGACCCTTAAATAAAGTAGTGTAAAACTACTTAATCCAGCATGGTTATCTTAAATTAATGGTTGGTAGAAGACTTAAAATAGCAACTTTGAACAATACCAGTAGAAAAAGAAACTACTCTGAACACCAGTACTGGAAAGAAATACCCCTTAACTTTATTTTGTTTTGAGAGAGATTTTTGCTGTAAAGTGTAAGCACTTACCAAAGAGACAGAGACAGAAAGAGAGAAATCATCCCCTGGGGAGATGGCCATGCCGCAGTCCCTTCTCCAGTCTCCTCCCAGGACTTTTGGCACGCACGCACATGCACCCAGCATGAGTTTTAAGCTGCCGGGTCCAGGACTTGAACTGTGTTTGACTACCTGGTAGTCCAGCCATTTACCATTACACAGTCCACTGGTCCCACCTCTTAACTTTCTAGTGATCATATTTTTAATAAACATAAAATGGGTCTGTTTCACAATATTCTATGATTCTTAAGACTAGGCTCAAGTATTCATAATTCATGAAATCATCTGTGATAAAAAGTAGTTATAAAAATTATGTAATTAGTGATAACACTGTTTTCAAAAGCCTTACATTACACTGTATGTTGCTTGTATCCATCCCTGGATTTGGATCAGAATACTTAATTTGCTCTCCATTGAAAATAACTGGGAGTGGAGAGAAGTTTTTGTTAGTTGTATAGTGTTGAAGAACAGTGCTGTTTTAGTGTTGCAGTATACTGCATTTGCTGGTGCTAGTTCTACAGTTGAAGCAACAGCTTTGCAGCAGAATAAGAAATAATAAAATACTCAGTTTCTTCATTTAAACATAGAAACTGAACACGAAGTAGACTACTCAGTATTGTCAATACTTCCTAGAATAGTTACATTTTTGGTCAGGGTTATTGTCACATGGCATTTTAATAGGAATTAGAAGGGAAAAAAGATGAGGCTCATGCTCCTTTTTCTGAGCTTCAGATTCTATGCATGTATTGTTTACCCATTCCCAACCAAACATAGTTGAAGGGATACGAGTTCCATGTGCTGGAACGTCTGTGGCGCCTTTTGTTGACTTAAACTGTATACTCCTTGTCTTTGCTCAGGTGCAAGCAGCTCAGTCTGAAGCTAAGGTCGTATCTCAGTATCATGAGCTGGTGGTCCAAGCCCGGGATGACTTTAAGCGAGAACTGGACAGTATCACTCCAGAAGTCCTGCCTGGGTGGAAAGGGATGAGTAAGTTCAAATAAAGTATTGGCACTCTGCGTTTTTCCTTTAACAGCTGATCGAGTAATTGAAACTCGATTCCCTCCATTCATCTAGTCCAAACTCCTCTTGCCTGCGTATCTATTTTGATGTCTGGTACATTGCTGCGGTATTTTATTTCAAGCACTGTCACAAGAAGCGATGCACCTGTGATGATACTCCCATAGCTGTAGCAGCAGTGAACACAAGTTCCAGCCAGTGTTTCATTCCAGAAGCCGTGATTCCATTCTGGACTCTCCTATAGGAAAGCAAAATAAGGTTTAGAAACCAGCGAGTGAGAGTGACATTACAGCCTTGACTCTGTTAAAATAGTATTTAGAAAAGAGTTACAAAATCTTTGTTACTTTGAAAGCATTGGTAGTGAGTTGCTTAAGGCCGTGTTTTATGACTCCTCCGAGACAAGAGAAGGTTATGTTGGGAATGTACCAAGGGATCCGCAGTGAGAAGGAAGTCAGCTGTCTGCTGTCCACTTACCAAAGCTGTGACTGCAGGGAATTTTTGGTGATTACACAGCATAACTCAGGGAGTAGTCACGTTTCCCTGAAGCACTTGTGAGAGTACCAGGAATGGCAGAGATTTCCAGTCTCAGCAATGTTATAATATTGTCTTTTTAAAATTATTTATTCATTTATTTTTAACTTGACAGAGAGAGAGACAGAGCGAAAGAGAGGAAGTGAGAAAGCAAGCCATCAGGTCTGGGACTCGAACTGTGGTCAGCCATGTGGAGTGTCCAGCACCTTAACCACCATGCCACCTGCTGTTCCCCACGTTACAATACTGTTTAAATGCCTTCATGTGTTAGGGACTGAACTTCTGGTGTTTGGGGCCTCACTGGGCTGAAAATCTCAGGGTTGCATCACAAAATCATGGCTGGTTAAAGGAACTCATGCATAAAGATTAGTTCAGGATTTTTTATCTGCCTAGTGGCCAACCAGAGAGATTTAATGACAAAAGGGAGAGTGAACTATCAAAAAAGGACTCAAACATTCAGATATTTTAATGCAGTTGACTCAAGAGGGAGAACATCAGACTCATGTCAAAAAAGTGAAAATAGACTTTATGAAAGAAAGGGTGAAGTGGAGACACACACAGTAGCGAGATAGTGGATCTCACGTCCACGTTTTTCTTTAGTGATATCTAGCAACTCTCAAAGAGGATGTAGCGAACAGATTTTCCTAGAGTGAAATGAACTTGAGCCATATCTACACTACTTACCTTACCTGCATTTCTCAAGAGCTGTGCTTCATCCAGGTTATTTGAGAATATTAACCCTAGGGTTTGCACAGTAGGCTCTGGTCTTCCCTCTGGTCTCAGTATTACTACGTTTTCTAAGTGAGCTCTGAAATTTAACATTGTTTTCCTTTCTTTTTGCTGCTTTTGAAAGTGCCTGTTGTAAAACATGAGAATATTAAAGCAGTAGCTCTCCACCCAGGGCGTTTTTGCCTGTCACAGAACATTTGGCAGTTTCAGAGACATTTTTGTTTGCTGTCTGTGGGTAATGCTACGAGCAGATAGTGGGTAAAGGCCATCTGTGCTGCAAAACATCCCACAGTGCATGGAACAGACAGCCCCTTACAGCAAAGGTCATCCGGGCCAGAGTGTCAGGTTGGATGTCAGTATCAGGGCTGAAAAATCCTGCACTAAAGATCGTGTCGTGGGAAGAGTGGAAGTCTTCTGCAGCGCAGTTCCCAGACCGCGTAATGGCTATGTCGCTGGACTCCCATGTAGTCGGCCACAGTTTGAGTCCCGGACCCAGTGCCTTAAACTCACGCCATGTGCATGTGCATGTATGCCCGAGAGAGAAGAATGGAGGAGAAGGGATTGCGGCATGGCCATCCCCCAAGGGGGTGATTTCTCGCTTTCTGTATCTGTGTCTCTCTTTTTCTGGCAGGCGTATGCGTCCTATAACAAAAACCTCTCAAAAATTTTTTTTTTATGTTTTAATTTAAGAAATACAGTACATATTCATATAATACAGAATTTCAAAGATACAAATGGCATTTGATCAAGGTTCTCTTCCACTCCTGCCCATAGCTGTGTAGTTTTCCTCCCCAGGTGCAGCCAGTTTTGCTAAATTCTTGTGTCTTAATGGAAAGAGTAATTATTTCCCAATTAACTCAGTTGTCTGTTAATGTCCCCACCTCTGAAATTCATGGCACATCAAACTCATTAGTACTGGTTTGTGTTATATTTTGCTGCTATTTTCTTTTCCCTAAGTGATAAATGTTCTGGTGATACTTATGATGTGCAGTGCTCTTTGGATTCTTTATTGTGGGCACAATGCCCAATTTGTAATAATAGCTAATGTTATTAAGCTTGTCACACATTAACTTACTTAAAAAATTTTTTTGAGAGGTTTTTGCTCTAGTGTGTGTGCACTCGACAGAAAGACAGAGTCAGAGAGACAGAAAGCAAGAAATCACCTCCTGGGGGAATGGCCACGCTGCCATCCCCTCTCCTCCATTCTCCTCTGGGGATCTTGGGCAGGCATGCACACATGCCTGGTGTGAGTTTAAGCCACCAGGTCCGGGACTTGAACCGTGGTTGGCTACATGGAAGTCCAGCTATATAGACATTGCGCCAACTGCTGGTTCCAACTTATTTAAAATTTATAACAGCCCTGTGAGGTAAATTTTGTTATCATTTTAAAGATGAGAAAATTGAGATATAGAGGATTTAAATACTTTGCCCAAGTTTGGGGCTTGGAGCCAGGCTTCCATCCCTTTTTATTTATTTATTTATTTATTTTTGAGATGTTTTTGATATAGGGCACCTGTGCCTCTCCAGAAAGACAGAGAGAGAAAGAGACAGAAAGTGAGAAGAAATCACCCTCCATGGGGGATGTCCACACTGCAATCTCTTCTCCATTCTCCTCTTGGGATCTTGGGCACGCACACACACGCCCGGCGTTAGTTTAAGCTACCAGGTCCAGGACTCGAATCATGGTTTACTACATGGGAGTTCAGTGACATAGCCATTATGCCATCTGCTGGTCCCAGCCAGGCTTCCATTCTTACCCATTGTCTTCCTGTTCTCTGCCCAATTGATGTGTATTGGCAGCACGGGACATCTTTTCTGCCTTTGTGAAGAGGAGGTATATGATTATGAAGGGAGGGGAATTCATTTTTATGAGATTGCGGGTACAGGGAGGAGTGCCTGAGGTAAAGAAGTTTGGCCGACGGCAGCTTGAGTAATCTGAGGATGAAGTTACATGGCCCGCATAGTGTCTGTGCATGGGCACTGAAAATGAACGGAAGAGATACTAGGAAGCAATCACTTAGGTTTGGTTTGTTAAATTGTAATTTACAATATCTGGTGAAGCTGAAGATATCTATACTCCTTGATACAGTGTTTTCAACTTTTAGGTATGTGCTCGAAAACATGTCTGCACAAATGCTTAAAGAGATTCATACAAAAACATGCAATAAAGCGCATGTAAGAGCAGAAAAATTGACAACAGCTAAATGTGCCTCACGTGTGGCAGTGCACATAAATGCACTAGAATGTAGCTCTCAGACATAAATGTTAAGGAAAATGAAAAGTTACATATGATACATACAATAAACTACACTTACATGAAGTTTAAATTTGCAAAAGAAAACCATATGAGGGGATTTCAAAAAGTGTGTGGAAAATGGAATTAAAGTACAAATTGTTTTGGGTGCAAAAAATTTTTTAAAGATTTTTGTTACAGGACGTGTGTACTTGCCAGAGTGACAGAGATAGAACAAAAAATCATCCCCCGGGGGTATGGGCACACCCAGTCCTTTCTCCATTCCTCTCTCTGGATCTTAGATATGCACACACACATGCCTAGCGTGAGTTTTTTTTAAGTCGCCAGGTCTGGGACTCAAACTGGAGTTGAGTATGAGGGAGTCCAGCAATGTAACCAATATGCCATCTAAGGGTTTTGCAAAAAAATTTTTGAAATTCATGTATAGTTTTTTCACAATAAGCATTTCCCATGAACTTTTGAAGACTTACGTTCAAAGGATACACATGTATATCAAGTATTGAAAAAAATGCATGGGAACAGTAGACCACAAATTCAGAGAGCCGAATCATTGAGAAGGTTCCTCTGTGTGTTTCCAGGGTTGGAAAGTGAGGAACAAATTGTGAATGGTCAGTATTCCCAGGACGCATCTCCTTTGTTGTGTATAGTGATGGGTAATGTAATACACATAGCCACATTTAGGGGTCTTGCTGAGATTCACTCTGCACTCTCACCTTTTCCAACTTCACCCGTCTTTCCTGCAACATTCGGACAGATCCCTGTTTTTTGGTTTTGATCAGACTTCAGATTAATTAGTAGTTGACTTTTAGAGCCATTTGCGATGAAACTGTCCATCTTTGAGCTTATTAAATCCTAGGGTCATTAAGAGGCTCAGGACATGACATACCCTGGATGTTCAGAAGCTTACTCTCTGAGACGGGAGCTGAGACAGGCTGTGTTCTCTTTTCTATCACGTGTGTTTACGTTCTGGCACTTATGGTCATGGTAAATATCAACTATGTTAATGTTAATTTTTCTCTTCCCTCCTTTGTATCAGGCAGTCGCAGTTCATACTTTCATTTGCACAGATTAAATGTAAATTCAGTGTAAATTCACTGTTTGAGATAATTTCCGAAGAGAAAGTACTTGAAATGGTGAGAGGCCTGGTATTGAGAACAGAGAATCAGAACTGTATCCTGGTTAAATACTATGTGAACTATTGCAGGTGGGAGGGATCAAAGAAAATCATAATTTCTTTCTTTCTTTTTAAAGAATTATTTTATTTAACTGTGTTTATTTATTTAAATTTTACCAGAGAGGACAGAGAGAGAAAAAGAGAGGCAGAGAAAGTGAGAAAGGAAGCCGCTAGGTCTGGGACTTGAACTGTGGTCAGCCATGTGGGAATCTAGCGCCCTTAACCACCATGCCACCTGCTGGCCCTGAAAATTATAATTCCTAAGAAAAAACTAACGTTAATTGCTTTGGTGAAATAGATATGAATTCCTCAAAACCAAGACTAATTTTAATAGTGATTCTCTTATTTTCTAAAATGTTAGAATTTACTTGGTTTATATTCTTTTTCATCTCTTTAAATTTTAGGAACTATGAACTATTATTTTGCTTTCCAGTATTAAAATATGCTTTTCCTGGTAATAGTTCTTGTTCTGGTTCCTTGTTTTCCTTTTAGATGTTTAATAATTTATAACCAAAATATGAACTTTTTTTTTTTCAAACTGTTTTTCTTTTCCTTTGCAGGTATTTCTGACCTAGGTGAGTAATCATGTGTATTTCATATTTAAAGGTTTTCGTTATGAGTATTAAAAGGCTGAAAGCTCTTTATTGTGCCTGTGTTTTTTATATGAAGCCATCAGTAGAATTTATCCCATGTAGTAAGTCTGGATGAGTTATTTATGACTTCATTTGCTTTCAGGGACAAAAGTGTTTCCTCAAGTGATCCATAGATGTGAGGGATGTGTGTTCGTGTCTGTGTGGTGTCTGTAATGGGCTTCCTTAAACTTATTTTGGAGATGGGGAACTAGCAAGAAAATGATAATAATCTCCATGGACCCATCATGCAAGTATTTTAGTTACCAGTGCATGACCAGCTTTGTCTCCTCTTGTCCACCCTCCACAACTGATGTAGCAGCAGACCCCAAATTTCACACCCTTTCACTTGTAAATACTTTTTTGTGTTTTTATAAGAATAGTCAGTGGAAACCAGCAGGTGGTGTGGTGGTTAAGGCGCTGGACACTCCCACATGACCAACCACAGTTGGAGTCCCGGATCCAGTGACTTGTTTTCTCCCTCCTCCCCCCCACCTCCTGTGTCTCTCTCTAGTCAAATTAAAAAAATAAATAAATAAATGGATGAATAAAATTAAATAAATAATTTTTTAAAAAAATTCACCATACTATCATCACACCTAAAACGTAGTAATTGCCTACTATTGTCAAACATAACATACAGTGTTCAAATTCTCCAGTCATATCTTAGAGTAAATGTTTACAGATTTACCTGTTGAATGCTGTCAGTAAATCTCTTATTCCCTTTGTTTTTCGCTTTTCAGTTTATTGAGTAATTGGGTCAGTTATCATATAAAATTTCCCATTCTGTATTTTATTGTTGGAACCATTTTTATATATATTTTTTTTTAAATGTTTATTTCTTTATTATTCTTTTTAAGATTTGCTCTAGGGCACTTGGATTTGCCAGAGGGACAGAGACACGAGAGAGACTGCGGTGGGGGAGGGTGGAGTGACAAAGCACCACCCAGAGGAGTAGCAGTGCCACAGTTCCTTCTCCATTCTCCTCTCGGGATTTTGGCCATGTACACACACGCGGCCATTGTGCTTTTCAAGTTGAGATTTACAAGGGTCTGGGATTTGAATCATGCGGTCAGGTGTGTGAAGTCCAGCCACCTTAACTACCATGCTACTGGCTGGACCCTTTTTTTCCTCCCTCTCTCCCTCTCTCCCTCTCTCACTCTCTCCCTCTCTCCCTCTCTGCCTCTCTGCCTCTCTGCCTCTCTGCCTCTCTGCCTCTCTGCCTCTCTGCCTCTCTGCCTCCCTCTCCCTCTGCCTCTCGCACTTTCTCTCTCTTTGTCTCACTGTTGCTAGAGGGCCTGTGCACTCACCTGAGAGAGAAATGGAGAGTCTCCCCCAATGGGGTGTGGACATACCACAATCTCTTCTCCTGTATTCCTTTATCCTGTTGAGATTTTGAGCGCACATGCACACATGCCTGATGTGTTTTCCCAGCTGTCAGACCTGGCAGTTGAACTGTGGACAGCCATTTGGGATCAGGCTCTCCTAACCACTAGGGGAGGGGCAGGCTCTGGAGCTATAACTCTGCCGTATGTCTTTGAAAGTTTTTGGAGTGTGAGATTTAAAAAAAAATAAATGCATGTGTGTAAGCCTTGAACCATGACTCTTTTTAGAACATCTACAAATAACGGATTGTCTGGTATATATCACTATGCTAGGTAATGTATGTTTAGGAAAAACAGAAATTCTCATTAAGGAAATGTCTGAGAGAATTTGAATTTGAATTGAATTTGAGCAGAAAATAATCTTTATTGGGTGCCTATTAATGGCTAATTCACATCATGCATGGAAGAAAATATAGACAAGATTGCATGTGTAAGCTTTGTCTATAGAGGCGAAATTACAGTAAGTTAGTTAATTTATAATTAGTTCAGATTAGAAGTAATGATTTGGATTCTTATAAAAGAACTAATTATACAGTGCCTCAGAGCCAACCTGACTTACTTTGCCTGGAATTGAGAAAGTTTAGTTGTCGGACACTAGCTATCAATTTCTGATTGCACTGGAGAATTAAAATTTCTCTTCATATTAGTTACTTTTGACATTTCTTTTTTCTTTTTCTTTTTTTTTAATAATTATTTTATTTAACTTTATTTGTTATTTTAATTTGGCCTGGTTGGAACAGAATAAGAGGAGGGTGGTAGAGAGTGAGAAAGCAAGCCGCCAGATCCGGGAGTTAAACCTTGGTCAGCCATGTGGGAGTCCGGTGTCTTTAACCATCACACCTCCTGCTTGACCCCTTGACCTTTCTTAAAAACTGTTAAATTAAATCATTGGAAGTAAATGACCTTTTAGTGGACTTTAATTTTATAATGTGTTTTTCTGTTTAGCTGACAAACTCTCAACCGATGACCTGAACTCCCTGATTGCACACGCACATCGTCGCATCGATCAGCTCAACAGAGAGCTGGCAGAACAGAAAGCCACGGAGAGGCAGCACATCGCGTTAGCCTTGGAGAAGCAGAAGCTGGAAGAGAAGCGGGCATTTGACTCCGCAGTGGCAAAAGCCTTAGAACATCACAGAAGTGAAATACAGGCTGAACAGGACAAAAAGGTAGAAGAAATGAGAATCCCTGCCTGGTGTGTAAAGTAACTGTGATTGTACTCTCATCCAGGGATTCTGCTGGCACTGCCGACTTTATCCGGGATGGAGGTCATGCCAGCCCACCTTTAGCACGGGCCACAGGCCCTCGTTTTCGTGATCAGAACTTGTAGGGACGGATGGATCTAGCAGAGTTCCTTTATGTTGAACAGATGTAGAGTTTAGGAAAGTAATAAGCTTCTGGATTATTCACATCTTTCCCAGAGGGACCTCTGTCCCCTACAGCAGCACTGAAAGAATCTCTGTTGGATTCTGAGTATACTTTTTTCTGCCACTGTTGTTAGGTGGTGGTGGTTAAAAATGAATGAAATAGGGACCAACAGTTAGCATAATGGCTATGTCGCTGAACTCCCATGTAGCCGACCACAGTTTGAATCCCGGACCCGGTGGCTTAAACTCACGCTGGGCGTGTGTGAGTGCATGCCCAAAATCCTAAGAGGAGAATGGAGGAGAAGGGATTGCTGCATGGCCATCCTCCCGGGGGGTGATTTCTTGCTTTCTGTCTCTCTGTCTCTCTCTGTCTTTCTGGTGAGTACATGTGCTCTACAGCAAAAACCTCTCCAAAAAAAAAAAAAAGGATGAAATAGCTCCTTTATCCTTTGTCTGGAACGTTATGTATTAAGTAGGTGTGCACAGGCAGATTTGGGAGCCTGAATGCGTGCCCACTTCTAATCCTCCCCCTCCTGCTGGTGTTCTAGGCCACAAGACGCTACACACTTCTGGCCTTTCCCACTTTGCCAGCCACTCCTTGGCCATCTCCTCTGCTTAGCCTCTCAGGTGCTGGCATGCCTGTATTAGCTCGGAAACCTTTTTCTCCACCAAAACTGTCCCTGACCTAGTCCTGTGGCTTAGATATTTAGATAACTTCTGTGCCTGATCAATTTCTGTCTCTGGCTTTGATTTAAGCCTTGGCATCAGGTTCCTATCCAGTAGTCTGCTTATTATCTCCAGCTGTGTTTTTAAAAATTTTGCCAGAAGGAACTTGTGTTTGGTCATGGGAAGGAGGAACGGAGGGAGAGAGGGGGAGAGAGAGAGAAAGAAAGAGAATGAACCCTGTGGAGAGACTTTTAGACACTGGTGCTAATGTTTCTGTTATTACACAAAGACATTGACCCAAAAATTAGCCTTGTAAATTTACTAACTCCAAATTAGAAGGGGTAGGATATATTAATTCACCAACAAAAAATTCTGCGATTCTTACTTAGACAAATCAAGAGGAGCGTACAAAACAGTTTCAACCTTATATTTTATCTAATATACCTTTAAATCTATGGGGAAAAAATGTACTTCATAAAATTATATAGACCTTCCTCACCTATAACAAAAATATACTTAATCAAAGCCTTTTGCCATCTCAAAATTAAACAAAAAAGCCCAAAACTGACACACCCCTTTTTCAACACTCCAAAATTTAGACAAAAAGGTAAATTTTAAATAGGGGCCTTAACAAACTCCCCAACTATGCAGACTACAACTCCAATAAAGTGGCTTTCAAAGGAACCTGTCTGGGAACCAGCAGTTAGCATAATGGCTATGTCGCTGGACTCCCACGTAGTTGACCGCAGTTCGTGTCCTGGACCCGGTGGCTTAAAACACGCTGGGCGCGTGTGCGTGTGTGCCCAAGATCCCGAGAGGAGAATGGAGGAGAAGGGATTGCGGCGTGGCCATCCCCCCTGGGGGGTGATTTCTCGCTTTCTGTCTCTATGTCTCTCTCTGTCTGGCGAGCACACGCGCCCTATAGTGAAAACCTCTTAAAAAAGAAAAAAGAGAGCCTAAGTTGACCAATGGCCCCTAACTGAGGTAAAGATTAAGACAGCTAAATTGCTTATTTGTAAGCAGTTAAAACTGAGACATATTAAGCCTTCTTTTAGCCCTTAAAATTCTCCCATTTTTGTCATTAAAAAAAATCAGAAAAATAAAAATTGTTACCAGACCTAAAAAAAGTTAATGCCACCATGCAAACAATGGGGCCATTACAACCTAGCCTTCCTAGTCCAAGCACTGTTCCCCTCAACTTTCATTTAATCGTGTTAAATCATAAAAATTGTTCCTATACTATTCCCCTACATCCTAATAATTACGTTTTGCCTTCTTCATACCTTCTACTAACCATAAAAAAACCTTTAACTAAATTCCAGTAAAAAATACTACCTCAAGGCATAGCCAACAGCGCCACCTTATGTCAACATTTTGTCAGTACAGCCTTACAAGGCATCCAATAACAATACCCTAATTATTATGTTATTCATTACATAAATGACATTCTCTTAACATCTCCTACCCAAAAAAGTTATTAAATTTATTTACAAACACTAAATTAAGGCTAAAACAGTAGAGACTAGTAATAGCCCCTAAAAAAATACAGCAAATGACTCCTTTTAATTACTTAGGACATATTTCTAAAAAACAAATACTACTTTTATGTATAAATACTTTTCAATAGTCTTACTAAAATAACTTACAAAAACACATATTTAAATGTGTCTTCAAGCCACATATTTTAATCACATATTTTCAAATTACTCTCCACTTAGAACCCTGTGGGGGATGGCTGTGTACACACGCGTGCCTGGCATGTTTCTCAAGCCACCAGGTCTGGGGCTTATTGGCCACATCAGATTCAGCTGCCTTAACCACCATCCCAGTGACTGGCCCCCCAATAGCCTTTTTAAGCTCAGTGTGTTCCAAACAAATAGTTTGATTCTGTCCAACCTGTCTCCCAGCCTTTTAGCTAGTCTTGCTAATAAACCACCACCTGCCTGGGTGTTGAGGCCAGAATCGTGCTTGATTCCTCCCCCATCCACTCCATTCGGTGTATGGAGATCACTGCAGTTCTGCGTCCACAGCGAATCCTAAGTATTCCCCCTTTTCTCTTTCTCTGTGGCTGCTAGTTTAGTCCAAGCTATCATCCTAACAGATTTGCTTTTTCATACCCTTCTTTCTGTGTCTGTTTATACAGGTGGGGTGGTCCTTATAAGCCATAGTCTAATCAGCCGCTACACTGCTGAAAAATCTTCCACTGGATACTTCAGTTAATATAAAATCCAAACGGCCTTTAATCTCATATCTGTCTGCTGTGAGCCAGGATCCCCTTCATTTCACTGCTCCAGACACGCTGGTGGTGTTTTTGGGACCCTTGCGGTTGCTCTGCCTCATACAGTTCTGGCTTCTCATTTTTTTTGGTTGGGTGGGGGAGAGGTTTTTGCTGTAGGGCACATGCGCTCGCCAGACAGACAGAGAGAGACAGAGAGATAGAAAGCGAGAAATCGCCCCCTGGGGGAGGATGGTCATGCTGCAGTCGCTTCTCCTCTATTCTCCTCTCCGGATCTTGGGCATGCACGCACATGCGCCTGGCGTGAGTTTTAAGCCACTGGGTCCGGGATGTGAACCACGGTCGACTACGTGGGAGTCCAGCGACATAGCCACTACGCCAACTGTTGGTCCCAAGTTCTGGCTCCTCATTTTAAACCTTTATTCTAAGTTGCTATCACCTTCCCAGCCAGGCCTTTCCTAGTCCTTCATGTAAAGAAGGGCCCCTGTATCACTCCGTCCCATTGCCCTCCTGATTTCTAATGTCAGAGGGCTGAGGGAAGGAGGTTGAAGAGTTGAGCAGATTCATGCTTGGAAACAAGCACCACAGTCTGAGGCCTCCTTTGTCTGTACTCGTGTACGGTCTGCTTCCTCCATGGAAGTGTGGCCTGCATGAGAGCACGACGTCTGTCTGTCCTGAGCGCGGTTGCATCTACGCAGGTAGTAGACACTCCCTGGCAGAGAGCTAGCACTTCATGAGTATTTGTGCACTGACTGAATGGATTTATTATATTGCCTTAGAGAAAAAATAAGTTCTGAATTCCAACATTAAGTAAGTTATAATAGGACTCAAGGCTAATTTTTAGGCAAGACATGATGGACTTAAAAAAATTTTTTTTAAGAATTACTTATATAATTTTATTTATCATTAAATTTGCTATAGGGCATGTGTGCTCACCAGAAAGTAACAAAGTGGGAAAGCAAGCTGTCAAGTATAGGACTTGAACCGCGGTAGGCCATGGGGGAGGGGAGTTCAGTGCCATAACCACCATGCCACTTGTTGGACTGACATGATAGACTTTTAAAGAAATTATTTATTTAAAAATTTTTATTTATTCATTCATTTTAATTTGACCAGAGAGACGCACAGGGGGTGGGAGTGAGAAAGCAAGTCACCAGGTCTGGGACTTGAACTGTGGTCAGCCGTGTGGGAGTGCCTTCACCACCACGCTACCTGCTGGCCCCGACATGATAGACTTAATATTCTTGTTTCACTTTGGCCCATTTTGAATCTATATTCATTTTTAAATAAGCAGTTTCAAAGCACTTTGATTTGGAGAAATTATGTTCAGTTACTGCCAGATACTTGCTACTTTTCTTAGCATTCTTTAAAGTAGTCGTTATTTTCATAAATGAGAAAATGCAGAATTGAGAAGATGAATAATATCCCCCACGGTCACACTGGGGGCTATAATAAAGCACATTTGATCCCAAGTCTGTGTAGTTGTTTTTTTTCCACGTTCTGTAATTACTTCCTTCTTGGAGATCACGCGATTCAGGAAATGACAGTGTGTTTTATATGGGAGGCAGCCTGATTATGTGGAAGAAATAAAAGGTTGGGGACCTGTTTGAAGCTGACTTTTGCCACTACTGTGACGTTGTATGAGTTGCCCTGCCGCGCCCCGCTGTCTGGTTCTTACGGTGACGGCGGAGTAAAGCATGTGTACACCTGCCTGGCACGTTGCAGGGATTGGGGACGTAGAAGCTGCTGCTGTTGCTGCTGTTGCTGGCGTTTGTCTTTCCCTTTCCCTGAAAGTGTACGTGGAGCATTGAGCGCTGATGTCTCAACTGTGTTTGGTTTACACAGGTAGAGGAAGTCCGAGATGCCATGGAGAATGAAATGAGAACTCAGCTGCGGCGACAGGCGGCTGCCCACACTGATCACTTACGAGATGTCCTCAGGGTACAGGAGCAGGAGCTGAAGTATGAGTTTGAGCAGGTGAGGACCTCTGGCAAAGCGTTGGCTCCCGCTCGGCCCCCTTCCTGCACGGCTCCACCCACAGTGATGGGCAGGCTTTCCTTTCCTCTAATGAACTCTGATGTTGAAGAATGGAGAGCGCGTTCTGATGTCCCCCAGTCTGGGTGGAGTGAAGCTTTCGTCCATGGGAAAGACTCCTTTTTACATAATGGTCTGTCCGTGATCAGATGTGCTTTATACACACATACATGCATGTGTGTCCAGATATGTGTGTATACACACACACACACACACACACACACACACTCCCTGCTCATTTAGACTTTTCAAAGCCATAAGAAGGGCTGGTAAAGGGTATCAGGAATGTACACAGTAATATTTAAAGTATCACGTATTGCTCCCTCCTCCCCGGTTTTTTTTTTTTTAAGATTTTTGCGATAGGGCTTGTGTGCTTACCAGAGAGATAGAGAGAGTGAGAAGTCACTCCCCAGGGGGGTTGGCCATGCTATAGTCCCTTCTCTACTCTCCTGAGATGTTGAGTGTGTACACACAGGTGCCGGTGTGAGTCTCAAGCCACTCAGACTGGGACTCAAATGGTGCAGTCAGCTATGTGGAATCCACTGTCTTAACCATGACACCATCTGCTGTCCCTTATATGTCCCACTTTTTCTGTACCAACTCCTATAGAATATATTGCATGATCAGATTGTATAACTGAGGACATTACTCAGAGAGGATGTTTTAGAATCACAGCAAATCATTAGGATACTGTTAAGAACAATGTTTCTACTTAGCAAGTCATTTATAATACTAACTTGGGTCCGGCCAGTGCCATGGTGGTTAGGGGTGCTGGACTCCCACATGACTAACCGCAGTTCGAGTCCTGGACCTGGCAGTTTGCTTTCTCACTCCCCTCCACTCTTGCTTGCTCTCTCCCTCTCTGGTCAGATTAAAATAAATAAATACAGTGAAATAAAATAATTCTTTAAAAAATTAAAATTTTGTCTTGTAAGAAGGAAATGAGGTTTTCTAAGTAAGGAAACCTTCCAGAAAATTGAAATTTATGCCAATTTGAGAAGGTATTTTATTTTAAATTCTATTTGTTGGTTATTTTTCTGAGAAAAACAAATGTGTAAGCTCTTTAATTCTATAAAATATAATTTAATTTGTGCCAGTCCCATGGCCTAGGTTACTGGAGCTAGATGCCACATGATCAACCACGTGATTAGAAACCTGGCCCTGGTGCATTGAAAAGCATGCTGGACACATGTGTGTGCATGCCAAAAATCCCAACAGGGTGGGGAGAGGAGAAGGGATCGTGGCACAACTGTGCCCTATTAGGAAATGCGTTCTCCTCTCTCCCTGTTTCTCTGTGGTGACTGCGCATGCCCTCTGGCAGGGGAAAAAAAATTTTTATATGTATATATAAATAAGTAAGATATAAATAAAATTTAATTTATTATGCTTGAGGTGTAATGTAGCTACCTTACTTTGGAAAGTTGGCAGGCAGTTTGTTTCTGACTTAATAGTCTTTGTCTTCTCTCCTTAGTCTGCTTCCTTTAACATTAGGTTCCATCAGTAAATCTGTACGAAATTGACCAGCAAATTGAGTCAGGAAGTATTCTAAACCTTACTCATAATGTGGGAGTTTTATGACAATTGCCTTGAGATATTGAAGGCCCTGTTTGCTTCAGGAAGTTGGGGATGCTGGAAGACTAGCATGCACTGAAGCGGCGTGACTGCTTTTTCCCTCCCGTACACTGTGTCTTGTTTCAGGACCTGTCTGAGAAACTCTCTGAGCAAGAGTTACAGTTTCGTCGTCTTAGTCAAGAGCAAGTAGACAACTTTACCCTGGATATAAACACTGCCTATGCCAGACTGAGAGGGATCGAGCAGGCTGTTCAGAGTGAGCATGATCCTTTATTTTTTAAATTTACTTATTTTACATTCATTCACTGAACATCCGCACAGCATACAAAATGTGATTTCCCATTCAAACACACTGTCCATTGGCTTAATCATACATGTTATCATCAACACATAATTTTCCATTTCTTGTTTCTTACATATATATATATATTCCCCCCTGATTCCCTATTTCTCACCCTCTGCCATTATTTCCCACCGTCCTCCCATGCTGAGAGTGAGCGTGATCCTTATTGTCTTATGGATCGCTGTACTCAGTGCTCGTCTCAGGGTGTCCTGATATTAGGAGGTTCTTTCACTGATGTCTGCATAAAGGCATTAAAGTCACTGTCGCCAGATTTCTTGGAAAATCAGCTCCACATCTGAGAAATGAGAAACAGAATGTTGTGAGATATTAAAAACAAAAAAAGATCTGAAATTTAAATCTAAATAACTCGAAGTTTACTCCTTATGTGATCAACATGAGATTATTTACAAGGCACTTGACCCAGCACGTTTTAGTTACGACTTGAGTTTCTAGTGTGGAAATAAAGCTAAGTGTGTCCCCAGCTGGAGGTGGTGGATTGCTGAATTCTCCCACCAAGTCACCAGTAGTTTTGCTGAGGCCTCCAGGTGCCACAGTGAGAGGGAAATGCCCTGGCAGTGAGGGTATTGATGAAATGGGTTTCTCTGGGATGTTAGGGAATCTTTTTTCATGTAAAATAAGCTCAAGTGATTTCAGGATCTGATAGTCCATTAAATGTATTTAGTCTTCCATTCCTTAGCAGGAAATTTCTGATGGCCTTGGCACAAGTCTTAGCCTGATTTAAATACCATGTTTCTTTTTCACCTGCTAACAATGAAAGTACCTAAGTTAGATGCCATGCAAACGTGAATGACTGTGGTGCACAGTTTACCATGTTTGCCCTGGGTGTCACAGGCAGGAGGGAGGAGACTTAGTTGTGCTTCTGTACACACATCTTTGTGAGTTTAGTGAAAACAAGCCCTCATCCAATTCTGCAGTGCCTTACTATCCCATATGAAGGGGCCAGCTAGGAAGGGACGCCAGAAATGTGGTGTGAGGTGGGGTTGTGAACGGCCCTCGCTGGGCTCATCTTCCACCCTGGTGGGCTTAGTTGGCTGAACATGCGTCACTTCTGTGTATGGGTGTAGTCAGGTGAGAATGTTTTTTTTTGCCTTTCATTTGTAGGTCACGCAGTTGCTGAAGAGGAAGCCAGAAAGGCCCACCAGCTCTGGCTTTCTGTGGAGGCACTGAAGTACAGCATGAAGACGTCATCTGCAGATACGCCTACCGTTCCGCTGGGTGGTGCAGTTGAGGCCATCAGAGCGAGCTGTTCTGATAACGAATTTGCCCAGGCTTTAACTGCAGCCATCCCTCCAGAGTCCCTGACCCGTGGGGTGTACAGTGAAGAGACCCTTAGAGTTCGTTTCTATGCTGTCCAGAAACTGGCCCGAAGGGTAGCCATGATTGACGAAACCAGAAATAGCCTGTACCAGTACTTCCTCTCCTACTTGCAGTCCCTGCTCCTATTCCCGCCTCAGCAACTGAAGCCACCAGCGGAGCTCTGCCCTGAGGATATAAACACGTTTAAGTTACTGTCCTACGCCTCCTATTGCATTGAGCATGGTGACCTGGAGCTGGCAGCCAAGTTTGTCAATCAGCTGAAAGGGGAGTCCAGACGAGTGGCACAGGACTGGCTGAAGGAAGCTCACATGACCCTAGAAACTAAACAGATAGTGGAGATTCTGACCGCGTACGCCAGCGCTGTAGGAATAGGAACTACTCAAGTGCAGCAAGAGTAAGGTCTAGGGAGAGCACTGTCCGGTCATGTTTTATGTCAAAGGAAGTCAGCAGTGATCCATGAAGGGCTGGCAGCAAGGGTCCCAGATTGGTCTAGAAAGCAGGTTACAAGTACTGTTCTAAATGTTCACACCTGTTGCATCATTTACATTCTTTCCACTCGCTATCATGTCAGTGAACTCCAGGAGTGCTTTTTTTGCAACTTGTGTAACATTTTCTGTTTTTCAGGTTTTACCGATCAGGCTTGTGAGCCAATCAAAATAATGTTTGTGATCCCTTACTATTGATTTTGCCCTTGGAGCAAACTGAATAAAGCAACAAGATGAAAACTGAGTACCTTATCCCTTTGAAAAAGTACCATTTCTAGTTGGTTGTGTGCACAGCAAATTTTCTTGAAAGGCAACAACAGCAGGAGCAGGAGCTTGTGGCACGTGGTTCCCAGGCTGTGGTTTGGGCCGCCAAGCAGTCTTGCGGCCTGCTTCCTGGCTTTGAAGAATCTGGTGAATTGATCCCTGTCGGTCCAGTTCGAGAGTGATGGACAAGCCAAGTGCCAGAGTCCTTGTCCTTGAGGATATGATTACAAACTACTGGTCTCTGTCCACACATTTCGCAGTCCTCAAATGGGCACAGCGCACGTTCTAGAACACCGCTAGCGGACCATGTTTCTTTCTAGCGCCTGGACTGTGCACCTCTTCACCAGAGCAGGGGTGGCGAGCCTGTCATCCTAACAAGGAATAAGTCATTTTGTGGGTGTATTTGATCTGGACTGCCACACAGAGCAGAGCATTCTCAGTTCACCTTCCGAAGATGAGGGCGACTGCCATGTGGATAAATACTAACAGTTCCCATCTTTTTTGATTTCTTACTCATGAAGATCACCACCTCTACATAAAAATATGGTCAACAGGTTTTGTTTTTTCTTTCCCAAATTTGCAGTTTTTTTGTTGGGGTGTGCATGTTCCTAACAAGGTGACTAAGGGGACGGTTTTATCTGAGCAACACATCTGCAACTCACGCAGTTGGGAGGCAGGCTCCATCTTGTTTCTGCAGGTGTATGCCAGCCCCTGAGTTTGGATAGTCACATTCAAGTCTCTACACTGCAGTTGACCTTGTCCTTTGTTCTGGGGATGCACTGGCCAGTCTTGGGCTTTATGTTTATTCTTTAGGTTCCCTCCTAAGGGACAAGGTACACCTGTTTCTCTGGAGCACAGGCTTTATTTCATGGGCTTAATCTCTGAAGGTAGAGGCACTCTGGGCCCCTACCTGAGGGTTAGAAGATGTTTATTAGAAGGCAACGACTGTTTTAGGTCTTTCTCCTCAGGAATGGCATGAGATTGCAAAATACATTAACTCGCAAAACTTAAACTTAACCTGTTGGTCCTGTTAGGAAATTGCCATTTCCATTTTACTTATGGGATATGCAAGTTGATAGGTTGTGGGGATAGATAACTTACTTTTGGGAGCCCTGGTAACTTCCCTCAGATGTTGTAATGAGCTCACAGGAAGTAAGCAATACTGACAGGTTTCTTTTTTATCTCTGTAATCAAAAATAATAAAGACATGGGCTTTCACATTCTTAGTTCTTGGTAACAAACCTCCTCACCTCATTGTTTTTAGTAAACAGTGATACTGAAAAGATGACTTTGCTTGGCTAGCTCTGGTTTTCCTTCCTCAAGCCTAGTAAAGTGCTTCCTGAGATGTCATGTAGTAGCCACGTGAGTGGAGAGCAGGCTAAGCCTTTGGGTTCTCAGCTCTTGTCAAGGTGGTGGACACGGTAAGGCCAGGCCAGCCTCACTCAGCATAGTTTCATTCAAGCTAGAATTGATAACTCACTCCACTGCCACTTCAGGCCAAGTCATCATTGGCCTTAAACTGCATCGCCTTACCTGCCTACCTCCTCCTGACTGCGGTAGGATAGCGTTTAGCATTTTAAAACTCAGTCCTCCTGATAGTTTATTAAAACTCTTTGCTTTAATGTTGAAAGTTTCAAACTTAGTAATGTAACAAACAATTTTAGGTAGTCATCTTAAGGTATACTACTTCTGTACTCTTTGGTATTAATTTAAACCTTCTGCTTTCTTAACAGGTTGTGGATAGCAGCAGTCTCCAGGTCCCAAATGAGTTGTCCCACCAGTTTTAAAGTAACTTGCTTGAACTCAGTGCAGAAGAACAGATCATTTAACAGAAAAGGGAAATAAAAAGGCTTGAAGTCAGGCAAATTATTTTCATCAGGTCCAGTGGTCATCCTCCCAAATCACAGGTCTGTGCTTGCCTGGTTACCTTCCCTTGCCTTATCCTTGGGGCCCTGAGGTCTGCAGGGAGCATGAGAAAGCAAAGGCTGGGGCAGGGAGGAGGGTCACCCAGCCACTCCAGCTCCTACCTGTGTTGATGAGGTGACATGGTTTCTTCCACTAACTTGTCAGTTTACTGTAGGGATTCTGGGGTGGGGTTATGTGGCAAGAGTCAGTGAAGAGGCCATTGTGGAAATACACTTGGTACCCAATAGCAAAGATTAGGGAAGAAGTTCTGCCATGACCTTTAATCCTCTGGGACATAAAGGTTCAAGAGTCTTGGCTCTGAAAAATGTTCTTGGCCTTGATGTTGAGCAGTTCTGATTACTTTTATGTCCACACCTGGGCAGGTTCAGCTGGAGAGCGCTTTTTAAATAGGCTCCTGCCTGAATTGGGTTGGAGGCTTATTTACTGCCCACACCCTGTGGCCTTTCCTTGCCCCACGTCCTACACATCACCCTACATCAGCCAAGCCAGATAATACCTGATTCTCTGACAAAATGGCTAGTGTGCCTTTAAAATCCATTCTGCATGATTCTATAAAACTAGCCCGGCCCAGCCTTGCATCTAGGCCTTGTAACATTCCAGTGTTTTTCCAGGTTTGACAACTAGCAGTAAAACATGTGTATCATGCTCTAATACCTTTACTGCATATACGTCTGTCTGTGTTGTAATATAAAAGTGCACCAGTGTCATGAAATTGCACATCTGCTTAGGTTTATGGATCCATTTCAGTGAGAAATTCTGTTCTTCACCCAAAGTTCAACCCCGCAGTTTGAAATCAGACTGCTTCTACCCTACTTCATAGACTGTAGACACACCACTGACCAGACACCCTAACTCCTTTCCTCTCAGCCAGCTGCCTGGTGTAAGAAGTAGATCCTAAATGAGTAAGGTAGTGACAGTAAGATGTTGGCCACTAAAATCAGTTCAGCATTTGCTGAGCACCTGAGTGTCAGGTTTGAGTTGATTCTAAAGACATTGGCTGTCAAGCCTTTAGCTTGAACAGTTAGAGCTGTAATATGACTTTGTTGGGAGTACCCACATGTTCTATTGAACCAAAAATCGAATTTCTAATTTCCACACAAACTCTGAGAAAGCAATAGATGAGTTCTTGCAGATGTATTGGACTGCTCCCTTCCTCTTCTCGTTTGCTCCTTGTTTGGTTTATCCTGTTCCTTCAGTTTTATGATCTTCAGTTCCCATTTACAAAGGGCTGTCTTCTGATGATAAACATGGTTGTTTTAGATGCCTCTCCATGCTTACATGGTTAAATCAGCAAATACCCCTTTAATGTCTAGGGTTTTTTTAAAGCTTGGTCTGGTTCTTTGAATTATAATTTAAACCTTTCCTTCTCATATCTGTTTAAAATGCTGAACTGAGTTTCAGGTTGTATGTGGAACTTTTCCTACATGTGCATCAGCTGAGAAATGTTTTATAGATACTGTTCTACAGTGGGTCTTAAAAAAGCAAAGGGTTCCCCTGTACCTCTAAGAAGTAGTTCTAGCAAATGCCTTTCAAGAATGCAGTACTGGAGTTGTGTAAGTGCACATGGTGCCAAGGAGCATAGACAGACACAAAGACCAGTAGTGAAGACCGACAGAATAGCCCTGTAATGGTCAACATTAGATTTTATAAGGGAAACCCTTCTCATAAAAACCTTTTCCACAAGCTTATGAACATAGGGATGGGATCACAGAGCATAGAGAATACTGGAGCTGGGAACAAAAGCCAAAAACAAAAGTGATTATCACTGTTGGCATGTAAAAACATCTTTTATTGATAATAGAGGTTAAGACTATGGTGAAATAAACATTTACAAATTAGAGACTGGTGACTCATCCTATAAACCTTTTTGCTCAGTAGTTCAAGGTATTTATGCCCAGAGTGGGGGTCTGGGCTATCTGCAGCACATAATCAGAGCCAGACTACATATCAATCTCTTGAAAGTCCACTACAAAGTGAGTACTTCAGCTCAAAGATCAGTGAAGGCTGGCTGAACATATTACAATAACCAAATGTATTTATGTACATTCATTTATATATTTACAGCGCTCATTTACCAGTTGTTCAGCCCATATTGCCATTACCCTATTTAATCTTTTATATGCACACATTTTCAATCCTAACTATCCCTGAAACTTGGATACTATTGACCCAACAGCAACTGTGATGTAATTTTATGAAAACCTTTAGCCACCATCTCTGAGCTCAAGGAAGAAGGGTCACGGCAACACATTAGGCCAACAAAAGCTCAGTTAGCCACAGGGAGAGGAAGGCAGCCCGGCGATGGCTCTGGGCTGTCAGCCACTGACAAGCAGGTGTCTGGGCTTCACCTGAGGCCAAGAACTACAGACCCTGTGCTGTCAGACTGAAAAAATGGAAATGTTAATAGTTGGTTTAGTGGAGTAGGAAAGGACTAGATAAACTAGGAACCAGCAGATGGCATAGTGGTTACCATGCTGGACTCGCACGCAATTCAAGTCCCAGACCTGGTGGCTTAAAATTTGCTCTGGGTGTGTGTGCTCAAGATCCCAAGAAGAGACTGGAGAAGGGACTGTGGCGTGGCCATCCTCCCCAGGAGGGTGATTTCTGGCTTTTTGTCTCATCTTTCTCTGTCTCTAACAAGTGCATGCACCCTATAGCAAAATTCTCTTAGAAGTGTTAACATCTCAGTTCTGAAGTCCGATTCCAGGAGCTGAGGCAAGCCCATCCATGCCCCTGAATCTCCCACTTTCATCTGCTTTCATCACTGTCGCTGTCACTACTGCTGTCACTTTCATCCTCACTGCTACTGTCATGGTGGTCATTGGTCAATGCAGTTAATTTGCCCAGAGCTTCCCTGTAAGGAAAAAAAAAAAAAAAGTTATACTGGTTCTGGTGTCTCTGATACTCGAGTATAATTTATCAGTGCTTTAAAACACCCCACAGCTGCTCTGATTTATAGTAACAAAGGAAAAGGTTCCAGAAGCCAAGTTTATAGATACACATGACCTGTACGACATAATATAAAGATCTGTAAAGGCAAATAGACATATGGTCTGCTTCATTTTACAAGCTTTCCTTCATGGTAGAGACAGGACCCACTTACTTTTGTTCCTGGTTGATCACAAACTCAGCCATCAGTCTCTGGGTGAGGCCCTCACACACGGGCAAGCTGAAAGCACTGGCCAGCTTCACTACCTCGATGGCCTGAGCAGAGCTGCTGGATGCTTTGGCACTGTCCATAAATTCATTCAGGAGCTCATCTCTAAGAAAAGCAAAATGTGAACATTACTCAACCAAGCGCTTTAGCTCTTTCAAAGATTTACAGGCAGAATTCAGTTCAGTGGTAGCTTTGGAGGCAAAGTTGTATAAAGCATAACTTTTTTTTTTTAAAGAGATTTTTGCTATAAGGGTACATGTGTTTGCTGGAGACACCAAGAAAAAGAGTGATAGGAAGCAAGTAATCAATCACCCCTTGGGGGTATGGCCACACCACAGTTCTAAGGATTTTGGGCACGTATGCGTGCACACACCTTGCATGAGTTTTAAGCCACAGGGTCTAGGACTCGAACCACAGTTGACTACATGGCAGTCCAGCGATGTATCCATGACACCATCTGCTAGTCCCTGTTGTTGTGTTTTTATAATGCATAACTTTAAAGGGCCAAAATGTTATAAACATTCACTCAACAGGACCTTACTGAATATGAGTATATTCTAATGTGGAACACAAGATACAAATGCTGCTTGCCTCAGGATGCCTTGGGCAGTGGGGCACACTGAAAACCGTTGGCTTGCCCAGTGACTGGGCTATGTGAAGAAATTCTAATAACCAGAAGAATCAAGGAAGTCCATGCAACTACTTCCAGACTGTAAGGCCTGTTAATTTCAACTTACCTAGGAATCTTATTATGCTTCCTGAAAAGCCCCAACATTTTCCTGTTCAAAATAAGAGAAGACAAAGGTTATGAATAGAGTTGTGTTTTACCGGGACTCAGGCTGTTCATTTCTTAACTACATGTAAGCTCCTGAAGACATGGCTGGGGGCTCCACCAGCTCCCAGCTGCTTGTGTACCTCAGTCTCCTCAGGTGCTTCCACCCCACCCCCACACTACATGCATGTGCATGTGGAATTTCACAGGGACCTCTGATCTGCGCCAGTCTGTGCTCTAGAAAGAAGGGAGGGCACACACCCCATGCACAGCTGGAGAGGAGGCATGAGCTACAGCATGGGCTGTGTTCCTGACAACCTGGCATGGGTTCAGTGTGTCCTAGTCATGTTATGACGAGCAGGCTCAGATTGAGGCAACAGTCTCATGTAAGTGCTGACATCACCTGCCACATGCAGGAAGACGACATGCACGTACATTCAGCTCCCATGACTCAGCTGAGGTCCGTACCCCTGCGCCAATCATCACTGCCTGCTCGCAGCAAATGTGTGCCAAGCTGCCTGAGCCAACTAACAAACGCAGTGCCAAATGCTTCTGGTACAAGCAGCACAGCTGTTAGCAGGTTGTGTGTGAGCGCCACCCTTCAAAGACGAGCTGAGGCAGCAAGCCTTCACGATCTATTCCAGGGACAGTTAACAGACACATTTTAGACTGGCAATGTTCAGATCAAGGTCCTTTCATGTGCAAGAAACCATACAAGTACCCTCCACCCCTGCCACTTACTGACAGAACACACACTCAGCTCAAAACACGGAACTACCCCACTGTGGCTATCCCACAGAGTATCCTCTGGCTGACTTCTCTGCTTTTGCAAAAATGAGTACGTGTAAGGTCCCCACTCACAAACACCAGAAATTAGTATGAGACGTGCCGACGAAAACAGAACCGGAATACACTGGCACACGCCAAAAGTGGCTTCTAGTCATAGTCATGTCCAGTAAATGCGAGTGAGGGCCAGTCTCCAGAAGACCAAGGACACAGACCACATTTTAAGCTGGGGATTGGGGGTGGAAGGAGTACCACAAAGGATACTTTAATAACTTAAATGAAAACGGTTTGGTCACTTTGCTCCTTTGACTGATCAAACAGTGAAGTGACTGACATACAGACACAAATTAGGGAAGTTAGAAACGGAAAGAATTTTCAGATTGGAACCTCCCTCTTTTCCAAGTTTACCAGTCATACTTGTTTTTACCCAAAAGCTGGTTTCTATTAATAGCTTATATTTTACAACTTCTCATCCAAAAGTTATGTATTCTTAAATTGGCTCCTGATAAGCTATTAATACATATCACACGTCCGAGAACCTCTGCATAAGCTGCACAGAGCCACGCACAAATGCTTCTCACTTACGCCTGCGGTACTGAACTCACCAGGCCTCCTGGGTTCTCCCAGCCCTTAACAAGAGGACTGCCATGCAGTTGAGAGGGATGGCTGGCCACTCTGGAGCAGTATGTCTGGCATCTTGGCTTTCGTAGGTAGATTTGATATCTGCAGCACAGTCAGCAAACGCCACCTGAAGCTGAGAGGCTCCGAGAGTTAGCAGAACTGCCTAACTGGTTTAGAGGGGCCTCAGTTTGGGAGCCTATTACAGGACCATTGTGTTTTTGAGCAATTCATTTTAGTCATTTGAACACAGTATGTGTAGACTGCATAAGTAATAAATATTAGGTCATCGGGAAAGTCATGATTTAATAGTCCATGCAAAAATACATCATGACTTTTCTGACAACCCAATAGCTAAAAAACCAGCCAGGACCCTGTCCTGAGAGAGACAAATTTGACTAGCCATGTCTTTTAAATTCAACTATGAGTTTTGTTTTTAAATAGAAATTAAAAAAAAAAAGCTGCTGTAAATTGTTTGGTCAGAGAGGAATGAGGTGACTTTAGGAATAGTATTTTGCTAATGGCAAGTTCAGATGTGCATCATAACTTAATACATGGTTTAGCAGAACTTGCCACAGTGATAGAAAACACCAGAAAATCTATCCTTAAAAGGAGGGGTCCACAACCCCTGAGCAGCACAGCAAGGTTGACTGGCGGGCCAGAGAGCAAAGCTTCATTAGTTTGTATTTACAACCCCCTCCCCATCACTCACATTACCGCCAGAGCTCTGAGCTCTGTCCCGTCAGATCGGCAGTGGCATTAGGTTCTCACAGGAGCCCTCATCTAGTTGCAGGAAAACAAGCTCGGGGGAGCTTCCTCTGATCCTGCACTATACTGAGCTATGTGATTTTTTTCATTACATATTACAGTATCATAGTAACAGTAGAAATACAGTGCACAATAAATGTAATGTGTCTGAATCATCCTGAAACTACCCCTTCACGCCCGGTCCATGGAAAAATTTTCCACGAAACAAGTCCCAGGTACCAAAATGGTAGGGGACTGCTGCTTAAAAGGACCTCAGTACTAGAAGATAAACTGGTTAGCAGAGATGTGCTGAGGATAATGAAACGAGTTTCAGGACAGCCCTACCTCTGGTGGGTGCTTCTCTCTTGCCATGAGCATCAGGATCTCTTCTCTCACGTCATTGCGAAAAGTGTGACCATATTCTTTACTGTCTTAAATCAAAAAAGCAACACAGGAATAATCACCATCATGTCATCCCTGTTTTGGGGTGGGTATTTATCTACTCTCGGCTGTCTCAGGATTCCAGAAAGCCAGCAGGCTGGTTCATGGTCAGAACGACTGAGTAGTGAAAGCCCGTGCAGTGACCTTTCCCAGTCAAACGCAGCACGCACACTGCGTGTGAGTGGAAACTGGCTCCATGTGGAACAAACACTGTTTTACAGACATGGAAAGTGAAGCAGATAAAATGCCCTTCACCATAATACAACAGTCACCTAGTCGAAGAGATACAGATTATGTCCCATTTTGCAGTCAATTTACATACAAAATGACTAACACACACACACACACACCCCAACTCATGGGTGTCACTTGGAAACATTATTACTAAATTCGGTTATTAGTAGCTGAACAAAAGTTGATGTAATACCAGGAAACAGCACAGGCTTCTGGGCCAGAGACCCCCATTTAGATTTAGGGTCTGCCACATCACTTTTCTTCCCTAGGTCATGTCATGTAACAGGTGCATAAAACCTAGCTGGTTCCTATGTCATGAAGGGACTACCTCAGGTCATTTTCAATACACTTTTACTCATCCTAACCAAATTTACTCATCCTAACCAAAATGCTATATAAACAAGTGACCTTGAAGAAGACCTCAACTAAAGTATTCAACTGGGTCAAAAAGGAAAGTTTTCATTCATAACAATAATATTTGCATATTCATTAATCAAACTGTAGGACACTGAGACAGGCTTGAATATGCAATCTGAATCCAACCTTGCCAAATCTGAGGAATCATTTCCAGCCGGTTGGCCACATCCAATGCTCGGAGAAGGTCGATCAATGTTTGGGACCGAGGAAAGAAGACCTGTTTAAGAGAAAAATATAAGGGTATTTTAAAAGCATTAATCAGCAAAGATACCCACAAATTCACCTACAATGATAAATAACAATGAAGCATCTTACTGAAGGTATCAGGTCCTTGTACCACTTCAAGGTGACATCAATCTGTTCCATTAGACAAAGCAAACTGAAGAACTTGGAACTGTGATGGAGAGAAGTAAGTATACATGGTTTAAAATCCCTATGTCTCACAACAGGAGAATTATGAGGGAAATAATTATGTGATGATGTGTTACACGGAATTTTCAAGTACTTATAAACAATTCAAGGTAATGGGGCAAGGTTTGACCCAGGCAGAACGAACTGGGCAGAACTTCACACTCTCAATTGGCTATTTCTGACCTCCTGCACATATTCTCAGGTCATGGCGGAGGTGGGAACATCATGTTCACTTTAAGAACATTCAGTGTGAAGCAAGGACTTACACACATGCAAAACAACCCTCATACACCCATTATCAAACTGCTTTATCCTAAGTTCACGTTTTTAATCTGCCTACAAGCAAACCCACTTAAGAGCCTTTTTGGGCTCTAGTACCTTAGAAAGCAAAGGGCTGGGATTAAATTTATGAGGATGCACCCTGCTATTATAATTGGAAAACCTAAAATATGAAGTAGGTAGAAGAGAAAAATTAGGATTTTGGAGTGTTACAAAGTCAACCCCGATGACACCCAGTATACTTCCAAATCCAGCAGTTTTACCACTGCTTTAATTTCTAAATGTTCAGTATAGAGCAACCTCCTACAACCAGAATCTACTAAGTAAAAGGTCCATTTCCAATACACTTACTAGTAGAAATTTCGTCGAAAATCATGTCCAATGAATTTCCGGTTGTCGCCGGTGTTTAAAAGGTCGTGTACTTGGTAAGCGAGTTCTAGATCTCTGAGAGATGAGCACTGAAAATGTGCAAGTGGTATCATTCTGATATCCTTTATCAGCCAAACAGCTCTCATAACATAAAAAAAGGTGTAGTTCTCTGTGGAAATACTTACGCTGACACAACTATTAGTTGGCAGCAAGTAAGTTAAAAGAAATTGGGAAAAAAACAGTAGATTCTCATGTTTTATGAAACTTTTCATAAGAGACAGTACGAGAGCAAGCCACACTGCAATCCCCTCTTCATTCTCCTATCCTGTCAGGATCTGAGGTATGCATGCACCTGGTGTGCTTTTCAAGCCACTGCGGCCAGGATCTGAGCACCAGTCAGTAACGTGGGGTTTGGCTCTCTTTAACCACTAAGGTACAGGGCTGACCCATGAAATTATTTTGATTCAGCCACTCTTTTATCTTTGGAAATGAATTCTGCAAAAACATTTGGTCAAGTGCACAGGAGACACATGGAGTACTCGGCTAGTACCCCTGTACTAGTAAAACCCATGAATAGTTCTCGAAATGATTGAAAGAAGAGTTTAGTTATGGTTCTTCCCTTCTGGGAAATACTGCTGCTGTCCACGAACAACACTGTGGAAGTGCGACTGGCTGTGCACACATCTGAGTGCCCAGATGAAAAAGCTGGGACTATACACACTAAACTGTGAAGCAGTTCTCTAAGGGAACAGGACGTACTTTATTCACCCTAAAACTACTGGAAAATCTTCCTGTGATGAGCATGACAAAATGAAAAAATCAAATAAAAACCATTATGAACTTTAAAAGTTACTAACAGGTGGGGCTGGGTGGTGGTATGGTAGTTAAGGGCACTGGACTCCCACATGGCCGGTCACGGTTCAAGTCCCAGATTTGGCGGCTTACTTTCTCACCGCCCCCCGCCCCATCTTGCTCTCGCTCTCACTCTGTTGCTCTCTAGCCAAATTAATATAAATAAGTTTAAACAAAATAATTATTTTAAAAAAATGCTACTAGCAGGCAAATATGAAATACTCTGAAAGCTGATCTGAACAGAGGCATAAAAAAGGTAAAATTAAAAAATGCTACTAGCAGGCAAATATGATACTCTGAAAGATGATCTGAACAGAGGCATAAAAAAGGTAAAATATAGGGGCCAGCAAGTGGTGTGGTGGTTAAGGTACTGGGTACTCCCATATGGCCAACTACAGTTCAAGTCCCAGACCTGGTGGCTTGATTTCTCACTCCTCTCCCCTCTATATCTCTCTCTCAATCTGGTCAAATTAGGATAAATGAATAATTAAATACAATAAAATAAATAATTCTTAAAAAAATGAAAAGTTAATGTATTCAAACGCAGGATTAAGCAGCACAGATTTTAGAGAAAGAAAAAAGTAGAAGCAAACACATGAACAGAAGAAAGAAGAGTAAGGAAGTAAAATAGGGCGAACCCTCTAGTTACATACAGATTATTAGTAAGAATTTATTAATTTATTAGTAAGAATTAATTTTTCTTAAAAAAATGAAATCAAGCAAGAAATGATACTTACAACTTTCATGGCTGTCTGAAAAAACATATCTGAAAATCAGAGTTCACAAGAACTTTGGTTACTATAGACAAAATGTACTTTCGAGTTAATTAACAATAATAAAAATCCTGCCAATGAAACTGGAAAGCAATGTGTAAAACAGACAATCTCAGGAGAGAACTACCCAGGAATGCGCCTCAGACATGGTCGCTTTCTCAGAATAAACTCCTAAACATTTCTAAGCTAAATCATGCCCTGTTAATCATAAGGTCCCCAGTAACTGGCACTGAGGAAAACAAGGTGTCCCTAGAGAAGGAAAAACAAGCCGTTTCTGTACATACCATCATCTACGTCCCTCGGAGAAAATTTCTTTCCTACTAACTCATTCATGATACCATAGATGATGAAAGATGAAACTTTGGAAGAGTTGTCTGCAGAACAAGGAAAAGCATGGGTTTTATCATGCACGTACTTCCTGTGCCACCACCAAACCCCCAGGACCCAGCATGAAGGGATCTATTTCTCTTTCCTCTATCTCTGGCCTAAGGCCTGGCCTAGAACAGAGCAGGGGAACAGAGGCTTGCTGGGGAACTAACTCCATGTTGCAGAATGCAATTCTCTATTAGAACAGGGACAGCCACAGCTCTTTGCTCTGAGACATTCCCTTCCGCTTAGTCTGCTCACAATAGGCCCGACTTTCACTGGAGTGGGAATCAAGCAAAAACCATAGTCCCTCACCAAACCAACATTCTTAAAAAAATACATGGTTTTGCTAGTAACCATTTTTATTCCTTTTAATATAATCAGGAAGAGAAAGCTCAGAAAAATGAAACTTAATGGCTAGGAGCAATTCTTAAATAGTCACATGAGCTTAGTTAGCATTAATAGGTTAGAGAAATCAACCTACAATATTCCCACTCAAATATTTATCTACGTTCCCTTCCTTATCTTTTTTTTTACACACAAATGATAATGGTTATGACATTAAATTTTTACAAAATTTAAGTATATTTCCATTTATTAACAATCCTAATTATTTCCTTAGTTAAATAATATTCTATTTTTTTAAGAGATTTTTGTCTTAGGACACGTGGGGTAGGGGATTAGGAGAGAAAGGTGGGGGGGGGACTGAGAAATCACCTCCCTCCAGGGGGGATGGCCATGCCGCAACCCCTTCTCCTCCATTCCCTTCCCAGGATCTTGGGAATGCATGCACAAATGCCCATGTGAGTTTCAAGCCAGGTCTGGGACTTGAACTGCAGTCAGCCATATAGGAGTCCAGTAATGCTGGTCTCAATGAATTATTTTATTTAACTTTATTTATTCATTTATTTTCATTTGACAAGATAGGGACAGCGTGGGAGAGACAGAGAGAGAAAGAGGGAAAGTGAGAAAGCAAGTCACCAGGTCCGGGATTTGAATCACGGTCAGCCACGTGGGAGTCCAGCACCCTTAACCACCACACTACCTCCAAGCTCCACCCCAATAATATTTTATTTTATATTAATTTTTTCTTTATTTTAGGCTCTCTCAACAGGGTGAATTTCTAGAAATTATTACTGCAGAGTGCCAGTTTATGTACCTAATAGAAATCACAATTTTGCTCCTAGCCCCAGCCCCACAGTCACAGTTGTGACTTGGAAACATTAAGTACCACTGACTTTAGATAGTAACCAAATCATAGCGTCATGGGAGGTAGAGTAAAGAAATCGACGCTGGGCCAGATACACGACAGTTTTACCACAACCTCACCAATGCTGAGTAAAATTTTAGAGGGTACAATCATCATGTAAACTGTTTCCAAGATAGTCAGTTACCTGTTTTTCCCCTAAAAGATAAAAACCTTGACTACTGTTGAAGATGCAGACTTGCAAAATTAGCCCTCCAAACCAGACAGCATCAAGCTGCCTTTTTTAAAACACAGTCTGCTGTAGGAAGCATGACTCAGACTGGCATTTCTGAACTCACAGGTTCTTCCTCAGGTTGCGGCAAGTAGATAAAAAGCTACCGATGGAGCGCCTACTCTGTGCCTTACAACCACGGTCTGACATCGTGTGTAAATCATTCAATCATCGCACCCCAACGGTTCACTCAGGTAGGTATGTATCTAGTCTCTTCTGACACAGCTGGCAAATACATGGTAGTTGAAAGGTGTGCCTTGTGCCAAAGCCCATTCCACAGATCAGTTCTGAGGAGATCAAACTGACCTAAAAATAGGACAAATGGAGCCTTAAGGTCCTCTCAAAAGGCTTTTTGAGGCATTTTATAAGATTAACTTTCCTCGGAAACAGAACTATCTACCGACTGTCTGCAAAGATGGAAATGTTATGTATCTGCATCCCCGAATATGATAGCCACTAGCTAACCATGTACCACTAGTGTAGAAACGGAATCTTTTTGTATGACTTAACTAGCCACATGTGGTTTGTGGCTACTGTACTGGCCAGCACAGAACTGGAAGCAAAAGGAACTACCAACTACAATGCCCTTTGTCTATCCCCACTGCTACGACACCATGCCAATACACGTTATGGCCCTCTCCCCTCCAGCTCAAGCTTTACATACATGGTTACTACTATCCTCAAGAATAACTGTTCCAGCTGTAGATACTAAAAAGGTGAATTTGTTATCCTTAATTAATATGCAGAGAAAGTATTCTCAACAATTAACCACATATATTGAAGGGAGAGGGTCAATTTTCTCAAGTTTCAATTAACGTAAGTTTATATATACATACCATGTTGATGAAACAGCTGAATAATATAGTGATAGGTTGCAAGCGAGGGTTCTTAAATTACCAGGTGCACAGGAAAAAAAAAAAAAAGAAAGTAAATACATGGATATCCAAAAGATAGCTCACTGTGACACACTGAATTAAAAACATATTCATGTAAAATTTAAGCAAAAGAAGGGCGTGGTGGCGCCCACCCTATGGCAAAATTTAAGCAAAAGATGCAGTTCTCTTCCTTTGTGTCGGCTCATCTAATTAATGTAAAGGTTACCAGTCATAAAGACTGCATCACTTTCAGAAAGTTCAAATGACTATCACTAATATGATTATTAAGAACTATGAAGTATATTGAAGCAAACTGACCCCCAGAGCAACCTTTAATAAAGTAATTAGTAAAAACATAAAATCACATTTGGGTTCGAATGCCAAAATATGCTAGAAAAATGTCATGGAGTTTAGAACCAGTTAATTCAAAGTATGAATTCTCAGAATGAAGAAATTCATAAAATAATTACCTAAAATATTAAATGACCATTGTTACTTACTATAAAGAACATGAAGATGCAAAAGGCACTCCAAATGGAGTGTACCATTGGCAGAAAGGAAATTCTTAACACGTTACATAAACACAAAAGACGAAACATACAGATCTTGTTTGCTCTGTGGCCCTGGAACCTCTGGCTAACAGTCTGTCTCCAGTGAAGATTTCAGGTGCACTCTCACCTATTCCAATGGCTTTCATTTCACGTAATATCTCTAAGGCTGGCGATCTTCCATAAATGTTAAACCTTCGAAGATATTTCAGAATGGTATTAAAAGTCTGTAGATTTGGTTTCACATTCTGTGCAACCATTTGTTTAAGCAGCTCCTAGGTGAATCAAAAGAAGTATATTTTATGCCTGGGTAGATAGTTTACCTAATACACTCTATTTCACACAAAAACAGAGTTTGGGCTATGTCCAAAGGAGGTTGAAACTACATCCCTGGAACCAGCAATTGGCAGAATGGATATGTCGCTTGACTCCCATATCGTCGACCGCGGTCAAGTCCTGGACCTGGTGGCTTAAACTCACGCTGGGCGTGTGTGTGTGCATGCCCAAGATCCCGAGAGAAGGGACCGAAGTGTGGCCATTCCCCCAGGGGGTGATGTCTTGCTTTCTATCTCTCTGTGTCCTGCACATGCCCTATAGCAAAAAATCTCTCCCAAAAAACAAAAAAAAAATACCACCTACATCCCTAAGCAAGTGAAGCTTCTTCTCTATTCACAGCTGCTCCCCACTGCTTACATTACCACCTGAGCTCCACTCCTGCCAGACCAGCAAGAGCTTTAGCCTCAGGAGTGAGAGCCCTACTGTGAATTGCACATGTGAGGGATCTAGGCTGTGGGTCCTTATGAGAACCTAATGCCTTATGATCTGAGGTGGAGCTGAGGAAGCGATGCCAGTGCTGGGGAGTGGCTGCAAATACCAACTAACATTATTAGCAGAGTGGTCTTGCTGCACAGAGATCATAATAAATCAGTTGTTGGCAGACTCACCAAAATCCTACTAGCGAATGGCAAGTGACAATTAAGCGGCATCTGGCAGCAGGCTCAGGGCACCCACTGATTATGCATTATGGCGAGTTGCATAATTATTTCATTATATGTTACAATGTAGCAACAGAAATAAAGTGCACAATAAATGTAATGTGCTTGAATCATTTGGAAACCATTACTGCCCCCCATGCCCAGTCCATGGAAAAACTCTTCCATAATACCAGTCCGTAGTGCCCAAAGGGTTGGGGACCACAGTTTTAGAGATGCTCCCAACTCAGTCATCTACCCCCCCTTGGTATCCAAACGTCTTCAGTTCTCCTATTGAGTCTTCTAAGACTTGAGTAAAAGAACAGCCCAGTATAAAGTTTCTATTTCTGTATCTTCATAGTGAAGACAAGAATCAATCCAGCTGTTTCTATTTTCTGAAATGACCTCACAGAGATTTTACAATAAATGTGTGTTACTTTTGTCACGACAACAATAAAAAAATTATGAGAAGTAGAAGTAAATTATTAACATGACACAAGTCTTTCAAAATCCTAGCGGTATGCTCTGGTCTAGTAACAGCCTCTCAGGTGTAGACACAGCTACTTAGAGGGTGCTGGGAAGGTGGGTAACAGGTAAGCACCTTCTGAATACAGTGACTGCCGTGCAGATGCTCAACGAATCTCTTCGTGACCCCTGTATTTACAGTGAGGACACAGAAGGCACTCCTTACCAATATATTATTCCATTTTTCCTCAAATTTCTCATTTGGTATCAATGCTGTTGCTACAATCAGTGCGTTGAAGGTAAATACATCAGCTGTAAAAGAAGAAAAGTACTTTAACAGAATGTGGGGTTGATGGCTCAACCCTAACAGCTGAGTTTAAGGCCCAGTCATTTCGACGTGCCCCTTGATTAAAGCTCTCTCCTTTCTGACTGTTGACAGAAGGCAAAAGGAAAAGGGGAATGAAGGGACATTCTCAAAACAAACTCACCCCGGAGCCTGTTGTTTAGTAACTCGGTGTATAAGTTTAATGCCTGTGCATTAGCTCGGTGCTGGAAAAGGACAAAGAAAAATGAAGCATCATATTAATTAAGGAGTATTTTAAGGGCTTGGTAATATAGTCAACAAACCAGAGCAGGCCCCTGTCCATGTGGGGCTCATACTCCAGTACAGTGGTTTTATACCCAGCAGATGCTAGGCCAAGCTTGCAGACACTTTCAGTTGTCATGACTTAGGGTGAGGGAGGAGTATATTGTTGGCATCCACAGGGTAGAGGCCAAGGAGCTACTGAACATATTACAATCCATAAAATAGCTCCCACAGTAAGTTACTTGACCAGAGGATGAGAAACCGTGACTGAGCAGAAACTAAAATAAAAATTTAATAGGCTGATCCCATAGTGCAGCAGTTAGCCATGTGTACAGACGGAACTACATCCCACATGGCCAATCCTGGCTTGGGTCCTGGCATTGACAACTTAAAAAAAACATGCCAAGGGACCAGCAATTGGCGTAATGGCTATGTCGCTGGACTCCCACGTAGTCGATCGTGGTTTGCGTCTGGGCCCGGTGGCTTAAACTCACGCCGGGCATATGTGCATGTGTGCCCAAGATCCTGAGAGGAGAATGGAGAAGGGATTGCGGCGTGGCAATCCCCCCGGGGGATGATTTCTCACTTTCTATCTCTCTGTCTCTCTCTGCCTGGTTAGCGCATGCGCCCTATCGCAAAAAATCTCTTAAAAAAAAAAAAAAATGCCGGTGGGACCAGCAGAAGGCGTAATGATTACATCGTGGGACTCCCATATAGTCAACCAGAGCTGAAATCCCAGACCTAGTGGCTTGAATTCCCACCAGTGTGTATGCGTGTATGTCCCAAATCCCAAGAGAATGGAGGAAAAGAGGCTGTGGCATGGCCACTTCCCCCCGTGGGGAGTGATTTCTTGCACGCGCGCTCTCTCTCTCTCTGTATCTTTCCGTCAAGTGCATGCTTCCTACAGCAAAAGCTTCTCTTAAAAAAAAAATAAACAAATAAATAATAAATAAAACCCAAAATATCATGCTGGGTGGACCCCAAATCCTGACAGGATAGAGAAATGGAGGAAAAAGGACCGTGGCATGACCATGGGTGTTCCCCATCCCCCACCCCAATCCTGGGGAAACACATGCATCCTCTGGCAAATAAATAAAAAAAAATAAATAAAAATCGTACCTTCACCATCCCTCGGATCATTGTGCAGTAGGAATGTGCATTTTTCTCTGGCATTAGAGCGAATATTCTCTCAGCATTGTTTTTTGCTCTAGATACAAAAGAGCGAAAGTAAGCCAGGGAAACAGGAAACAGGTGCAGCCTCCACCATTTACTTATAGTTTCCAACGCTCCAGGTGATGAGCCAAGTACTTTATGCATAGAACCTCAAATAATTCTCACCGCCCAGAGGGAAGTATGGCTATCATTTTGAAAATGGGGAAAATTGAGATTCAAAGACCTTAAGTAAGGGGTTATGTGGTGGTTTGGTGGTAATACACCTGGACTCACGCGGGACTTCACTGAGCACACCAGCCTTGTACCAAGTGATTCTGGCTGGCTGAGACTGGGGGCGAATTGTGGCAGAGAGACCTGGCTGAAAGTGCTTATCTATTTACCCTTCTTTCTCGCTCATGGAAGAAATAAATAAAAAACAAAACAAAGCCCTAAGTAACTTGTCCAGAACTTTTCAGTTAACTGCTAAAATAGGAATGAAAAAGAAACGTTTATGAACAAGGAAATACTCCATAGTTAATTTGATGCTTCACTGTTCTTTTTCCTTGTCTAGCTCTGAGCTCATGTAGAGGCATTAAACTTATGTACCATGGTATTAAAAAGAAAAAGCAGGGGCTAGCAGGTGATATGACGGTTACATTCCTCAACTCCCATTACTGGCTGACAGTGGTCTGAGTCTTGGACTCAGCAGCTTAAAAGTCGCACTGGGCGCATGTGTGTGCCCCAGATCCCGGGAGGAAAACAGAGAAGGGACTGCAGTGTTGCCATCCCCCCCAAGGGGATGTGATTCCTCACTTTCTTCCCGTTTCTCTCTCTCCCCAGGTTGGCGAGCACTTATACCCTGAGGCAAAATCTAAAAAAATCCACCAACCAACCAAACCCACCAAACTATAAGATAGGGCACAAAGTGCAATTCCCTCCCTTCCTTCAATCCTCAGATACAACTTCCCAGAGGCAACCACCACCTTCTTCTAAATCCTGTCATATTCTAGCATATGGCCATGAATTACTGCTGACTTTTTTTTTTTTTGGAGAGGTTTTCGCTATAGGGCGCGTGCGCTCGCCAGACAGAGAGAGACATAGAGACAGAAAGCGAGAAACCACCCCCCCAGGAGGGATGGTCACACCGCAATCCCTTCTCCTCCATTCTCCTCTCGGGATCTTGGGCACGCACACACACGCGCCCGGCGTGAGTTTTAAGCCACCGGGTCCGGGACGCGAACCGTGGTCAACTACGTGGGAGTCCAGCGACACAGCCATTACGCTAACTGCTGGTTCCCACTTCTGCCTTGGATGATTTCTCACTTTCTATCTCTCTGTCTCTCTCTGCCTGGTTAGCGCATGCGCCCTATCGCAAAAAATCTCTTAAAAAAAAAAAAAAATGCCGGTGGGACCAGCAGAAGGCGTAATGATTACATCGTGGGACTCCCATATAGTCAACCAGAGCTGAAATCCCAGACCTAGTGGCTTGAATTCCCACCAGTGTGTATGCGTGTATGTCCCAAATCCCAAGAGAATGGAGGAAAAGAGGCTGTGGCATGGCCACTTCCCCCCGTGGGGAGTGATTTCTTGCACGCGCGCTCTCTCTCTCTCTGTATCTTTCCGTCAAGTGGATGCTTCCTACAGCAAAAGCTTCTCTTAAAAAAAAAATAAACAAATAAATAATAAATAAAACCCAAAATATCATGCTGGGTGGACCCCAAATCCTGACAGGATAGAGAAATGGAGGAAAAAGGACCGTGGCATGACCATGGGTGTTCCCCATCCCCCACCCCAATCCTGGGGAAACACATGCATCCTCTGGCAAATAAATAAAAATAAATAAAAATCGTACCTTCACCATCCCTCGGATCATTGTGCAGTAGGAATGTGCATTTTTCTCTGGCATTAGAGCGAATATTCTCTCAGCATTGTTTTTTGCTCTAGATACAAAAGAGCGAAAGTAAGCCAGGGAAACAGGAAACAGGTGCAGCCTCCACCATTTACTTATAGTTTCCAACGCTCCAGGTGATGAGCCAAGTACTTTATGCATAGAACCTCAAATAATTCTCACCGCCCAGAGGGAAGTATGGCTATCATTTTGAAAATGGGGAAAATTGAGATTCAAAGACCTTAAGTAAGGGGTTATGTGGTGGTTTGGTGGTAATACACCTGGACTCACGCGGGACTTCACTGAGCACACCAGCCTTGTACCAAGTGATTCTGGCTGGCTGAGACTGGGGGCGAATTGTGGCAGAGAGACCTGGCTGAAAGTGCTTATCTATTTACCCTTCTTTCTCGCTCATGGAAGAAATAAATAAAAAACAAAACAAAGCCCTAAGTAACTTGTCCAGAACTTTTCAGTTAACTGCTAAAATAGGAATGAAAAAGAAACGTTTATGAACAAGGAAATACTCCATAGTTAATTTGATGCTTCACTGTTCTTTTTCCTTGTCTAGCTCTGAGCTCATGTAGAGGCATTAAACTTATGTACCATGGTATTAAAAAGAAAAAGCAGGGGCTAGCAGGTGATATGACGGTTACATTCCTCAACTCCCATTACTGGCTGACAGTGGTCTGAGTCTTGGACTCAGCAGCTTAAAAGTCGCACTGGGCGCATGTGTGTGCCCCAGATCCCGGGAGGAAAACAGAGAAGGGACTGCAGTGTTGCCATCCCCCCCAAGGGGATGTGATTCCTCACTTTCTTCCCGTTTCTCTCTCTCCCCAGGTTGGCGAGCACTTATACCCTGAGGCAAAATCTAAAAAAATCCACCAACCAACCAAACCCACCAAACTATAAGATAGGGCACAAAGTGCAATTCCCTCCCTTCCTTCAATCCTCAGATACAACTTCCCAGAGGCAACCACCACCTTCTTCTAAATCCTGTCATATTCTAGCATATGGCCATGAATTACTGCTGACTTTTTTTTTTTTTGGAGAGGTTTTCGCTATAGGGCGCGTGCGCTCGCCAGACAGAGAGAGACATAGAGACAGAAAGCGAGAAACCAACCCCCCAGGAGGGATGGTCACACCGCAATCCCTTCTCCTCCATTCTCCTCTCGGGATCTTGGGCACGCACACACACGCGCCCGGCGTGAGTTTTAAGCCACCGGGTCCGGGACGCGAACCGTGGTCAACTACGTGGGAGTCCAGCGACACAGCCATTACGCTAACTGCTGGTTCCCACTTCTGCCTTTCTTTAAAAAAGAAAGGTAAATAGGCATCTTCAGCCTTCACCCTTTCTTTCTGGTCAAATTAGAAAGTATTAATAAATAATTTTCTAAGAAAATAGTGTGTGAATTTAAAAGTGAAAATGGCAAAATGACGTTTTATAAAAGAGACCTGGTTCCATACTCCATGCTCTTAACTACTATGCAATGTTATTAAAAGCTATCAAGAAAATGTTCACTGTATTACATTCCTAACTTCGAAAGTCTTTAGATATTTTTTTGGGGGGGAGAGTTTTCTTTTTTTTTGAAAGTCTTTAAATTTTTTTTTGGGGGGGGAGGTTTTTTTTTTTTTTTTTTTGCTATAGGGTGTGTGCGCTTGCCAGAGAGATAGAAAGCGAGAAATCACCCCCCCCCCGGGGGGGATGGCCACGCCACAATCCCTTCTCTTCCATTCTCCTCTTGGGATCTTGGGCAGGCACGCACATATGCCTGGCGTGAGTTTAAGCCACTAGGTCCAGGACTTGAACGGTGGTCGACTACATGGGATTTCAGCGACATAGCCATTATACTAACTGCTGGTCCCAAAAGTCTTTAGATTTTTTAATGACCATATTCCTTCTCCAGATATCTACGTGAAATCTTTCTTTTCTTTAGACTTCTACTTAATTTAAATTCTCAAATGAAATTAAATGGTGTTCACCTTTAGTTCAGAACTGCTGAATGTTTTAAAAATTTTCACCATACCCTAGGTATCTTTGTATTTTTAGTAAAAAAAAGAAAAAAAGATTAACTCCTGGGCCAGTCCCATAGCACTGTGACTTACGCCCTGTGCATGGGGACCCGGACCTATATGGCCATCCATGGTTCAAGTTCCAAACTGGCTGCTTGAAAAACATGCTGGGTGCATGTGCATGAATACCCAGAATCAGGATGGAAAATGGAAGAAAAAGGACTGCTGCATGACCTTGTTGCACCGAGAGGTGATTCTCTCTTTCTGGAGGGTGTATGCACCTTTGGGCCATTAAAAACAAAAATAAAATCTTAAAAAATTAGAGGTCTATTCTAAGGTAGCATTGTGTTGAAACTATCATAGGAACCATACGATGTGAGAACAGACTGTGACAAATGGGAGAAAATCTTAAATTAATAGCATCCTCTAAAGAGATTCTTGTGCAGCTGGATGGAGGTAAAGACCTTATAAAAACGGTCTAAATGTATCTGAACACGAGCTGTAAATCTTACACAGCGAAAACACACTATTCCAGATCATGGGATTGCTGCTCTTCAGGAAAGCGATAGGGCACACACTCCAGGACCACAGCAGGCCACAATGCAAGGTTCTCATTACGTGGGTCCTACCTCCACGTCACTCCAGACTGATGCCCGGTCTCCTTCGGTTTCTCGCTATTTTCCTCTGTGGCCTCTTCCTGGAATGAGTGGTCATCAAGAGAAATAATGCAGATAACTAGAGTGCATTTTCCCAGTGTAACTCCTCAAAATCAAGAGCGCAAAAGAACTCAGAAACACCTCAGAGGTTGGCGCAGGTGCTGTAGCCTGCCTTCAGAGCTGGGGCTAGAAGGGCAAAGGGCCAGCCAGGCCAGGGCTTTAGGAGATGCTCTGGAAAGTAGAGTGTGACTAACGACCACGACCTGCCACCTATACACTTTATGACTGAAAAACTACATATAATTTCATATTTCATGGAGGAAAAATTTGAAAGACACATAAACACACTCCTAATTTTCATCACTAGGAAACACTAGGATTTTCCTGAAAGGGGACTTCTGAAAGTTGAAGAAATGGGACTAAAGTACAAGGTTATTTTGAGGTTAAAAAAATTTTGAATTCTATGTATAGTTTTTTGAAAATGTTATTTTCCATGAACTTGTTGAGGCTCCCCATCAAAAAACATTTTTACAAAACCGCAATGCATCTATTGTTGCATAGCCTGTTTCCTTCTTGTATGATGCACTCCTTCCACGGCCAGATCTATAATACACTAGTGCCCTACATGGCTACACACAGCCACTACTTAACTGGAATTTGATTGTCTACTTTTGGACATCTACATCAGAGGGTCTCCCAACTTCTTTGGCATCAGGAGAGGGTTTCATGGAAGACAATTTATCCACGGACTGGGCAGGGGAGATGGGAGGGTGGTTTATGAGTGGGCAACCCACATCTCTCACACAGGCAGGTGACCATAGTGTTCAGGCTCCTGTGAGAATCTAATGCTGCTGATCTCACAGGTTAGGAAGATATGAAAACACTCTTAATCCCAAACACAGGAGGCAGAGTTCAGGCAGTAACGGGAGCGATGAGAGCAGCTGTTAATACAGACAAAGCCTCATTCACTCACCTGTGCTCACCCCTTTCTATGCAGGCTGATTCCAAACAGGCCTTGGACTGGTACCAGCCCTTGGCCTGGGGGCTGGGGACTCCTGATGTAGATTGCTTTCAACATTTTCGCAGTTTTAAGTGCCACATTACGAGAAGTATATCTCTGAGTTAAGAGATTAAGATTTGCCCTACAGGCAGCCCTTGGCACAACCCTGCTCTGTACTCCAGCCTGGTGTGTTCCCTCCTCTCTGCTTAGGCATGGATGAATCACTGAAGGGCCCAAGCTCACAGTGTCTTCCCCTGGCCATAACACATCATGTGGTCAGTGTAAGTGATGGGCCAGCTCAAACATTTCTGGTTGAAGTTCGGGCTGAATACGTGGTAGGTAAAAACAAGTATTTCTAAGGAGGGATCCAGGGTCGATAGGATTGGTTAAGTCTTGTTCTTCTTCCAACAGCACTTATTCATCTAGGTTATTGCACTACACCACATCTCAGTACTCCTGAACCTCCTACCACTCTGACATGTGGCGTAAGAAATTCTCTTATTACTTCGAAAAAAATTCATATATATATAAAATGCCAAAAGCTGTTACCAAGTCTTCTGATTGCTCAGTTTGTTGAAAAGGAGAATCAGCTGAGGGCTCCTGGTCACCATAGTAACACAGTAAGTCCAAGAGACTATTGGTTGTCTCAAGAGACACAGTGGTTCCTGTGTGAAGGAGAAAAAAAAGGAAGATACCTTAAACCACCAGAACTAAAGCAAAAGTGCATTATGACCTTCCTGATGACCCAGTATTGTATATACTCCTATACTGGCTTAACTACCACCTCCAAACCACTCTGCAATCCTTTCTCATTTAGTTACTAGCCTAAGTCCACTTGAACAAACTCAAGTAGAATTATTTCACTTGGAGCCAGGATCTCAATAAAAATCTGTGCAGAAATACTTACATGACAGCCTAATTATAACAGTCTTTTAAGAACTCTATCTAGTTCAGGGCCAGATCTGGGGCCTGGTTTGGTTAAGACAGCTGAGTCCCACATGGCTAGCTGGCTGTGCAGTTTGAGTCCGGGACTTAGTGGTTTGAAAAGTATGCTAGGCTTGTGTGTGTGTGTGTGTGTGTGTGTGTGTGTCCCTAAAAAATCCCAACAGGAGACAGATATGGAGAAGGGTTTGTGGTGTGGTATTCCCCACAGGGGTTGTTTTCTCATTCCTTCTCTTCTGCCTTTCCTGGGCAAGTGCACATGCCCTGAAGCAAAAAAACCACACTGTTCCAGCTTCTCACTCAACTAAAAGGTAGAATAGCGTACAGGAATGACTGAAGTAGGAGAAATAATTTAGTATTTTAAAAGAAAATGAACCACATCTTTCCAAACAAAATAAAATGTTTATCAAGAAATTCAAAGCCCAGAAAGTAAACACGGCAACTAGGTCTACCACTGAAGACGTGAAGGACCCTGGAAAAATTATAAAATTACTGTAAAATGCCCAACTTATAAAGTATGATAAAATTGATGACATGAAATGCCTAGCAGAGGGTTTGGCACTTGCTAGGGGCTTGATAAGTAAGTGTTCTATGATTCCTTCCCTGTGCACTGGCTTACTCCGTTACTGAGCTGTGACACTCTTTTAAAAACATTTACTGCTGCTTATACTACACCACAGTGGGCAAAACCAGAACAAGACTCAGCATTAAGACACTCATGCAGACTCATACAAGTGCTAACCACATTCAACAAGCACAGGAAAGAGCCCTGCTCAATTATGCTCTGCTGCCATCATTCTGTTATACATCTGATACTGTAATAAGCTATCTACCAAAATTCTCAAAACACAACCACGCCCCTACCCGCAAATGTGTCCTGTTCTGCTCAAGTCTGTGTCGAGAAATGTAGTCCTATGTCTATTCCATGTCTACCTTTTATCCTGACCAAACAGTACTCTGGATTCCAAAAAAATAATGCCAACCTCCCCTGGAGGTTTATCCAGATCTAATTCCAAGTCAAAGGACCTCTGAATTAGAGCTGGATAGACCTTTCTATCTGGATAGAGCTTCTAGACCTTTCAAGAAGCTCTGAGAAATTAAGTGACTCTCTTATGGCAACAAGACAATTAATATCAACAGCAATGTCTCTCATCCCAACTTACTCCTCTTTCCTTTCTACGTATTTCTTTCATTTTTCTGTTGGCCTGTCTTCCAGACATAAAGAGCACAAGAAATCTCAACACCGTATGCACATATGCAATATTAAAAACAAAAACAAGGGAAAATGGTTGCATAATTTCTCTAGTAGTTGTGCAACACAAGAGCAAAAAGACTAACATTGCAATTCCCTCACCTTCATTAAAACATGAAGTTAATGCAGAACATAAAATATTATTATTAAACTATTAATAACACGTATAATATAGCCTCTAAGCAGAGTTACTTCTAACTTTTACTCAAAACTATCAAGATCATGAAACTGTGGTCCCCTTCAAAGCTCGTGTCCCTAGAGGGGCTTTAATTGAACTCAGTCACCTGCTTGCAAGAGCTGATCAAACATGTTCACTGAGGCTTTGACTTTTCTGAGCCTGATTCGTTCCTTTAGGCCAGCCTCACTTATGTCTTCAATCTGAGGTTCAAGGTACTCAGGCATTAGACACTAGGAAAACAAGATGGCTGATGTTACTACAAACAGGTAAAAGTGAAAGGATAACTGAACAAGATATATGAATAATTCCCATCACCAACACACTGAAATAAAACATCGCTGCTTCAATTCATTTTTCTGTATCAGATACTAATCATTTTATCAAGAATATCTTTCTAGGGAATCTTAGTTAAAAAACATTTAAAAACAAAACAACCTCCAGTCTCTGAAATAAGATCAGTTATTATCTCCTTGTTTAAGAATTTAAAAGCAGGGGCCAGCAGGTGATATGGTGGTTAAGGGTGCTGGACTCCCAGATGGTGGAAAATGGTTAGAGTCCTGGACCTGGCGGCTTGCTTTATCATTCCCCCCAACCACTCTGTCCCTCTCTGGTAAAACTAAAATAAAGTTAAATAATTCTTTTTTTTGGGGGGGAGAGGTTTTTGCTATAGGGCGCGTGCACTCGTCAGACAGAGAGAGACAGAGAGACAGAAAGCGAGTAATCACCCCCTGGGGGGATGGTCACGCCGCAATCCCTTCTCCTCCATTCTCCTCTTAGGATCTTGGGCACACACGCACACGCGCCCGGCGTGAGTTCTAAGCCACCGGGTCCGGGACGCGAACCACGGTCGACTACGTGGTAGTCCAGCGACATAGCCATTACGCTAACTGCTGGTTCCCAATAATTCTTAAAAAAGAAAAGAATTTAACAGCATGTAAACACAAAATCTGAGGTTCCCTAGTTCTAACTAAACTTCCTGACTTCATGCTCAGCTATTTTTTCCTCTGCTGAAACCATTCTCCTTAACTCTCAATTCTGGTTAAAGGTGCAGTTCAGAGTACAGTTCTCCAGAGGCAGAAATCTTCCATCCCTAATGCTCCTTTCAGCCCGAACACTTAATACCACCAAGTGGCACTGATTTTACCCCATTCACGAATTTATTCAAAGACTGCCTTATCCCAGGCACTAAGATAGGCACATGAAGAACTAGAAGGTGCTCTCCCCTCAAGGTGCTCAGCACCTGATGGAAAACGTAGAAAACCATAACAATAGAGTATGAACGGATTGCACACCATAATGGTGGGGAGCCCCTGGAGGGATTCAAGTAAGAGTGACCCTGGAGCTAAGAACAGCAGAGTAATGGGTATTCAGAAACACAAATTAGAGGGCTGCCCCTGAGTGCAGTGGTTAAGGGAGCAGGATCCCATATGGTCAACCTTGGAATCTGGTTCCAGCAGCTTAAAAAATGCTGCATTTGGGCACGTAAGAGCCTAAAATCTGCCCAGGATGGAGAAATGGATAAGGAATTGTGGCATGGCCATACCACAAGTTCAGAAAGGTAGGGGCACACCTGTCTTGCTCATCTCTATACTTCAGCACTAAAGCATGATGCTTAACAGGAGACGCTGCATAACTGCAGAACAAAGAGGCAGCTGGAAATGCAGTTTGGAGTTCAAGGTAGAGGCATCAAGGCTAAATATACAAGAACGCCAACTGGAGTATAACAGTTGTTGAAGTTGGAGGAGTGTAGACAACAAAAAGACAGTAACTGAGCACAGAAACCTATGAAAGACACCAATGCCCAGGGAGTGGAGGAATAGTCACTGAGGTCAAGATCCAAGAGTGTGGTGTACAACACAAGTCAAATGGGGAAAATACAAAGAGAAAAAGCTAATACACTCAAATGGGATTTTTAAAGGTTTGTACGGTAAACAAAAACAACTCCACATGTAAAATGTCTTGAAATATAAGGAACATCTGAATGGCTATTTAAGTACTAGCCTTGGAAGCTTGATGTATACATATAAAACATGAAAAACAAAACTAGTTCTCCTTACCGGTATATGAGGTTCGGCAATGTCCTTCTGAAAATACTTGGGATATGAATTAATAATAAACTTTGCTGCATTCTCCCCAGACTTCTTTGCCAATAAAAACATACGCTATGTAAAGAAAATGATTAAAATCAAAGTTATATCCTCAGCAAGAATTACCAATCTCCCCCAACACAAAAGAATGCAATAATATATGGAATCCCAACTAGAAATTAAATGACAAAGTATCACGTGTCCATCTATTTTGGATGTGACATAATTTCATGTCATGTGTTACATGAAGTTTGAAGTATATAAAAAGATGTTTAAAACTAAGTGTTTTCACTCCAGTGTAAAAGAGTCCTAAGAGTTAAAAAAGAAAACTAGGGCTAGCAGATTGAATGGAGGCTGGATCCCACATGGCTAGCTGCATAATTCAAGTTCCAGATCCAGCAGCTTGAAAAACATGCAGGGCGCCTGTGTGTCCATGCCCAAAACCCCATTAGGAAAATGGAGCAGAAGCAATTGCAGTGTGGCCATCCCTGCTGGGGGAAGTGGGATGGGGGATTTCTCTCTCTCTGTCTGTCTCTGTCTCCAGTGAGTACACAGGCCCTATAACAAACAAATAAAAAAAGAAACAAGAAACAACAACAAAAATACTCCACAAACCAAAACTCCTCTACATGCACAAATATCTAAATCTCTTTAATAAAAGCAGTAAAAGGATTCAAGCCCAGCCTCTGTAGTGTAGTCAGACTGCAGAGCAGGAAGCCATCTGTTGACCAGCGGTTGAATCCTTAAGCCTGGCTGGCTTGAAGAATGCATTAGGTGTGCACACCTATGCTCAGGATCCTGGACTGGAGAAAGGGGATTGTGGTGTGACCAAGCTCTATAGAGGGTGCCTCTCTGTCTCTTTTTCCCTCCCTGTCTTATACACATGCTCTATCATGAATTTAAAACAAACAAAAACTGAAAAATAAGTAGTAAAGGAGTCACAAAGTTTAATTTATCAGCATCCACAACTTTTCAAAAGTTTTTGTTAATTATAATATATACATGTACACAAGTCTGCAAGATACCAGATAAGTAATGTAAAAATACTCACAGATTCCATAGAGGATGTCGGTATGAGGTAAGGATCATCCTGAAATGCATAAGGGGCAGCCGTAGTGTCCTGTGGAAAAGACAGTCTTTTCAGCTAGATTTTTATAAAGAGGACCTCATGATTTTTGTTGATAGCCAAATTTTCTGTAAAACTCTATGTATCTAATACATGTGCAAAGATACTATGTATGCATGCATATCCATACTTACACATACGGATGAACAGAAACAGGAAACATACACTAATGCCTGTAATACTGTATTCTCAAGTCTGAAAGACCTGTCTACAGTCACATGCCACTTAGTACAAACAATGACTCAAACCTCAGAGCTACTCCTTAAGGTTTTAGTTTCTCTTGCTAAGGTCTACTATTCTTTCAGACTCTAGAGGTACGGATGGATCCTCTGAATTAACTAGTCCTGGCACCAGTTTCCTGAAACAGAATTTCCATTAAAGCATGGTCACCAACCAACCATGCTCAATTTAATCCAAGAGTCCTTCCTCAGAGTGAAGGATACTCCTGGGCCTCAGGAGGTATAAACAACAGTAGCTTCTTCTGTGACCTGCTGCCCAAGGTCTAAACTTCATATAAATGTTCCAAAATTGCTCCGTTGCCCTGAGTAAAATCAACTCTCCAGCCCCTCTAGGAGATCCATATAGAAGTACCTCCATCTACTCCATCTTCTCTTAGCTCAACTGCTACGGCCTCAATCTGTTTTTACTATTAATTCATTCACTATTTCCCGAGCATCTCACATGTGCTGGACATATTCTAGCTACCAGAAAGACAGTAAAACCCCCGCCCACTAATATGGTTTACAATCTAGTGAGAAATTTCTAGAAAATAAGCAAAATACCTAAGAAATGGGAGCAGACAAGGACAGATGCCATTAATCCAGGCTAGTAAAAGATGACAACTGAGGTGATGATACTGGTGAAAACAAGAGTTTGGAATCTGCATATTGTGCAGAATGTAGTTAAGAGGCCTGAAACCATTGTCCTTCAAGGCAGGCCCTTGACTGGCATCTGGGACTTTGGGGAAGGTTGCCACCATTCCCAGGAGAGGCAAGAATGCCCCATGGCTTAGCCTATTTGTACCACAGGGTCTATGCTGAACACCTCTTTCCTTCTGCTAGTGTGGAACTTAGTACACACCGACTAGACGGTGCCCACATATCAGCCTCTCTAAGACGCTGGGCACTGAGTATCTAACGAGCTCCTCTGGTAGACATTTCATAAGTGCTGCCACAACTCATCAGAGGATTCAGGCATGTCCTGTGCGATTAACTAGGAAAGGATTCAAAAAAGGTTACGCCTTGTTTTCCCTGGATGTTACCCATGTGCCCTTTCCCTTGGCTGCTTTTTCTTGGATCTTCTTGCTGTAATAACCTCAACTTTGGGAAAAACAGGTTTTACTAACACAGAGTATAAGAGAAAGGGGAGCCACAGATGACTCCCACGATTTTGGCCTCAGTAACTAGATGGATGGAGATGCTATTAATGATACCAAAAAATGTGAGAGGAGTGGGTTTAGAGGAGAAAGAGCTTGGTTTGGACTGAAGATCTTTACCATACTTGCATGTGTAAAGGTTTCACATTCTCCACATTGCTGTCTTTCCTAAAATATAGGTAGTTATGCCAGCCCCGATTAAAATTCCTCAAGAAAATCTGTACTTCCTAGCACTATATTCACAACCTTGCTTCACCTTTCCACTCCCACCTTGACTCCCCCCACACAAGCTACGTGACCCTCACCTCTGCACCTCTGCTTATGGTGCTGTCTCTGCAAGGAACACTGGTCCCCACTAACATAGCCTTACTTCTAATCTAACACTGTCAACTCTCTGGGAGTCCTTTCCCAGGCCCTTCCCAGTGCTCTTTCAGTCTTCCTTTCTAGGAACTCTGAATCTGAATCCCGCACCCAGCACAGTGCTTGGTAAGGATCTTTACAATACACGGTTGATGGATGACTGAACAGATACAACTACCATTTGATTTTAAGGGCCAAAACCCAGCTAGGTCAAATAATTCTACAACTTCTTTGATTTACATGAAAATACTGAGAATAATTCAGAGGCCTAGTTACAATTCTGGTATCAATTTATAGATAAATGAGCTTCTGGGGAAAAAAAAATCTGTTGTAATATTTAAATCCTCTCTCAGAAGCTAGTAGTATATTAGCACACATTTGGTCCAGAACTCTCGAAGTTCAACACTTAAAAAAGAGCAACTCCAGATATTTGTGGTAACAGACCAATGGTAGTATTCACATAGATAGAATGGTAGGAGAACAGATTTCATTTTTTTAGACTCCCTACCTCCCAACAGGTTGATAGTAAAAGTAGTTTCTAGCTAGTGAAATGCAATGCTCTCAATAACATGTCAGTCACATGAACATGCCCATGATCCAGGGCTGGCTGGGCAGGGCCCACAGTGTGACCACCCTGTAAGAACTGCTTGCCTCTCTCTCTCTCTCTCACTCATGGAAAAAACAACTCTTAGACAAAGAAAACAGAAAAAAGAAAAAAAGCTGACTTATCCTGAATGCTGGACACCAAAAATACGCTGGTTTTCAGATTAAACCACCGCAAAATAAGGAGAAAGTTCCATTTTTGACATATTTACCAACATTTCAGCATCATCTACTATAAGCTATTTTTGAGTTTCCAACTGACAAATGAAACCAAGATAGGAGTAACATTAATAAAACGATGATCAGGTACAAAGCATTTCCCTCCTGCCAGACACTGTCCTAAACCGTTTTCCATATACTTAATTTACTTAATTTTCGACATAACCTAAAAGTTTGGTGCTATAATCAATCTCCATTTTATAGATCTGGAAACAGAAGCAACAAGAGATAAAGCTGATCACAGGCTAGTTGCTCAGCTATTGAACAAAACAATGAAAAAAGAATGGAACTAAGTCTGAGGGTATCTTAACAGCCTGAAACAGGTCACTTTAAAAGCCCTAACTTCCTCATTTATCAGATGAAGGGGTTAAATTAGATAATTAAAAAGAATGTTTTTTAGATCTATAGAAGTTTAATTCAGAGAAATGAAGAGGTATGAACACCGAATGTGTCATCAGCCAAGTTAAAACGCTAAACATCTCACTTACCCTGCTCACTGTGGTTGCAAGTGCCTGAAGAACGGCCACTTTATCCCTAGGAACAAGAACCACAGGTTAATCCTCATCAGGGTCCCTCATACTCACAGACAAATGACACTACCATCAGAATGCACTAACTAGCCAGTAACGGAGTTCAGGTCTCACCCAGAGCCAGTTCTCGTCTCCCAAGATTAGCAGAACAAGACAGAAGGGGAACCGTCTCGTTCTTTCGCCTGCAGCTCAGTACGCGTTCCTTCCCTTGCCCTCTCTGGCCTGGCCCCTGACACCATCAGCCAGGCTGTAACTCCCACCTTCCCCTCATACAACGATCTTGCTTACTTCCTCCTGGCCTCTTTCCTACGCATTCTTACTGCAGTTTTTTTTTTTTTTTTTGACTATTCTTGCCTTCTCCTAAATTGGTAGCTCTTAATTCAACTATACATGAGAATAAATCACAGGTTCCACTGTGCACCCATGGAATCGGAGTCCAAGATCCACAAAGGACTGTCCTATGTATCCTTACTGAATTCCTGGATGATTCTGATACAGAACCTCTCAGGCACGTACAACCTTATGAGAAGACCAGCTAGCTTCCACTGCACCTTTGAGAAGAAAGCTTCACTAAACTATTAGAAAATCTCTCACTAGAATAAATGAAAACGAGATAAATTTACTTTCAATGTGCTTTAATTCCAAAAAGAAGTTGTAATAAATAATAAAAAATACTTTTATAATAAAATTCAATCTAACAGCCATAAACGTATAAATCATCTGGGGAAGAAAAAAATGCAGGAAACTTTCTATCAACACAGAATAATTCCTTGGGGACACCAGATGGCATAGCAATTACATCACTGGACTCCCACATGGACTACCACAATGAGTCCTGGACCCGGAGGCTTAAAACTCATGTCGGGCACATGTGTGCACATGTCCATGATCCCTAGAGAAGAATGGAGAAAGGGACTGAGGTATGGCCATCCCACCTAGGTGGGAGATTTCTCATTTACCCTCTCACAGTCTGTCTCTGTCAGGTGAGCACATGCACCCTAAGGCAAAATCTCTTAAAAAAAAATTTAACAGAATAACTCTCTGTTGTACATAATATCCAGTGACTTTTATATTCATTTTTTAAAGTCATATTTACATAAGTTCAACAAGAGTAACAAAGACATACACTCTCATCTCTCTGCATTCTCTAACTAAACTGAACATTAGCATATTTAAGTCTTACCAAACTAGGCAGGCCCCATGGCCTAGTAGTTAAAGGAAAGCAATCCCACATGGCCGGCTGCAGTTCAAATGCCAGGTGCATGTGCGCGCTTGCCCAAAATCTAGACAAGAGAAATGGAAGAGAAGGGACTGCTAGAAGATCATGACCCACCATGGGGAGGGGTGGGTGATCCCGCCTTCTGCCTAGCAAGGGTACAAGCCCTCTGGCAATGTAAAAAAATAACAAATCTTACCAAGTCAGCACATCTTACTAACAAACTGACAGATGCCAGTGAAAAACTGTAACATTCAGATTACTTACTAATTCTCTTTTTCTTAAAAAGAGAATTGTTTTATTTAACCTTATTTATTTATTTTAATATGACTAGAGAAAGAGGGAGGGTGGGAGAAAGAGAAAAGGCAAGTCACCAGGTCCAGGACTCAAACTGTGGTCAGCTAAGTGGGAGTCCAGTGCCCTTAACCACCACACCACATGCCAGCCCACTCAGTAGCTCTTTTCTTAAAGCATTGTTTTAAAAAGTAACCACAGGGGGCCAGCAGGTGGTAGTTAAGGCACTGGGCCCCCACATGATGTACTGTGGTTCAAGTTCCCAGACTCTGTGGCTTGAAAAACACACCAGGGCATAGGCAAGCATGTCTCAAATTCTGAGTGGAGAATGGAGAAGGGACTGCGTTATGGCCACCTCCCCACTGCGGTTGTGTGTGGTGGGTGATTTCTCAATTGCTCTCTGGCAAGCACATGCACAGAGCAAGAAAAATAAAAGCAATCACAGGTAGGTCCAGGCTGCTAGCATAGCAGGAAGGTGCCAGGCACAAGTGTATACGTGCCCAAAATGCTGACAGGAAGGAGAAATGGAGGAAAAAGGAGTGTTGCATGACCATGCCCTATTTGGGGTGCTCTCTCTCTGACAAACAAAAAAGTAGTCACAATGAATATATTATCTTTAACACTCACACTAGATTACAGGTTAACTCAAGGTGTCCAGTGCCTCTCATGATGAGTATTCATTTACAGCCCAGAACGTTTTAAGGTTCTTTTATACGTTTCTCTACAGAAAATATATAGTCATGCTGTTACGGGTTTAAGTTTGACTCTCCTATTCGTGTTATCACACACAGATCTAACTCCTTTGAATGTTACACCGTATGGGGACTAGGCAGTGGCACAGTGGTAACACAAACGGACCTACATGGGAAAGGTGAAAGGTCCTGGGGCATACCTTAGCATGCTGCGATTCCTGGTCCAGGCTGGCTGAGGCTGGAGGTGAATCACAGGGTAAACACCCTGTTGTTGGTGGTGGTGGTGGGGGGTGCCTGTCTCTATTTCCCTGACTCTTACAGAAGAAATAGGAAGTTTTAAGAAATGTTACATTGGAGACCAGCAGGTTGCATAATGGCTAGCTATGTCGCTGGACTCCCATGTAGTCGACCGTGGTCCGAGTTCCGGACCCAGTGGCTTAAACTCATGCTGGGCGCATGTGTGTGCGCGTGCCCAAGATCCTGAGAATGGAGAAGGGATTGTGGTGTGGCATCCCTCCTGGGGGGTGGTACCTCGCTTTCTGTCTCTTGTCTTTCTGGCATATGTACGTGTCCTATAGCAAAAACCTCTCCAAAAAAAAAAAAAAAAAAAAAATGTTCATTTTTCAAAAACCTTTTTTTTTTTTTTTTTTTGCTATAGGGTACATGCGCTTGCCAGACAGAGAGAGACAGAGAGACAGAGAGAGAGAAATCACCCCCCACGGGGGATGGCCATGCCACAATCCCTTCTCCTCCATTCTCCTCTCAGGATCTTGGGCACGCACGCACACATTCCCAGCATTGAGTTTTAAGCCACCGGGTCCGGGACGTGAACTGTGGTCGACTACATGGGAGTCCAGCGACATAGCCATCACGCTACCTGCTGATCCCAAAAATAACCATTTTTCATGATTCATTCATTTATCAATTAGCATTATGACTGTTTCAACTTGCTGCTTATTCCAGAGTTATAAATAATACACTCATGCAAGGACACACGGCAATCCCTTCTCTCTTCCTCCATCCTGTTCAGATGTGGTGCACACACATACACACACATATGATATGTTTTTCAAACTACCAGGGCGAGGATTCAAACTGCACAGCTGGCCATGTGAAATCCAGCTCTCTTAACCACTAGGCCACAAGGCCAGACTGCATATTTTAAATCCTGATTCTACCAAACTTCCCTCCGAACAACTGTTCCACTTTGTGCCATCAACAAACATATTTGAGCACACATTTTACCACATGCTTTCCTTGCCAATCTGTTAAATTTTAATTTGCATTTCTCTTATGAGCTCAGTTACCTATGTGTTTATTATAAATGAGCTCCCTGCTCTCCCTAAAACAACTACGCAATTCAGATGAACCTGTTCACAATACTGGCTTTATTGTGCCATGTTCACATAAGAAAATTTACGACTCCTTGCATTTAAAGTCTTCTATGGCACAAGTGCAATCTGGGAAATCACATTTAAAAATGCTTCACCTGTAAAACAAGGCAACAGGATCTTGTCCTTAGAGTTTCTTCCAGGACCACAAGCATAGAATCCTGAGCCTGGAAATCAGTGGCTCTTTACCAAGGGTCAATCATTTCTGTCTGTAAAGGAACAGACAGTAAATGTTTTAGGCTTTATGGGCCGGCACTTATTTCCACAAATTTAAATTTCCTATCATTTTCGTGTCATGACACCTTGTGAGTTTTTTAACTACATAAAAATGTACAAATAGCGAGCTCAAGTAGTCTAACAAAACACATAAATAGGCCGTAGTTTACTGACCCTCTATTCTAACAGTACATTTTCCACAGGCCTGCCTGAACTCCTACCACTGGAAATATTATGATCGTACCCCACTCTGCCTTACTGTTCACTGTTCAAGGGGTCCCACACTTTAGGGTTCATAAAATCTACCTGCAGAGTCTTTAACAAATTCCTAAGTTGATTCTGATCCAAGGAAGATAAATAATCTTATTCATCATAAGGTATAACTAAATTTGTTTTCAACAAAAACCACCTTGATTAGTACAATATAAACCATTCTGGATTACACCACGTCTTATGTTCCTGGGAATCAAGTGTATGTTATTACACGTGATAGGAGTATACAGTATAAAACGTGCATGCGACTAGATTACACCACACCCTCCAAACACTCCTCTTTTTTTTTTTTTTGCAATGGGGTGCATGTCCTTGATGGAGAAAGAGACAGAAAGAAAATGAGAATCACCCCCAAGGTGGACAGCCAAACTGCAATTCCCTCTTCCATATTCTTCTTTTGGGATTTGGGACACACATGCACAAGTCCCCAGTGTGATTTTCATGTAACTGAGTATGTGACTCAGACTGCAGTCGGCCACATGGGAGTACAGAGCCTTAAACACTATGCCATTGGTTACTCCCCAAACATTCACTCTTAAATTTCCTGTAGTACCTTCTTCAGGAGGAGAAGAACAATGGGTTGATAAAGTACTTTGGATTTGAATACCATGAGGGATATGCCTCATTTATGAATACCTGTATTTCTACTTTTTTTTTCCTTTTTGGTAGGTTTTTGCTATTGGGCGCATGCACTCACTGGAGAGACAGAGAAAAAGAGGGACAGAAAGCGAGAAAGCACCACCCAGAAGGGATTACCATGCTGCAATCCCTTCTCTTCTTGGGATTTTGGGCATGCATGCAAACACATCCAACATGAGTTTTAAGCTGCCGGGTCCAGGACTCGAACCATGATCAACGACGTGGGAGTCCAACAACATTACCATTATGCCATCTGCTGGTCCCTGTACTTCTACTCTTAATCTTAGTTCTAATTCTCAGTTTGCCCAGGGAAGACAGAAATAAACTTAAATGTACCTATATGATGAAATACTATGTAACCTTGAAAAATCAAAAGCAGAGTATAAAAAATACATCCAACAATTCCATTCTATACTATATTTAGTTTAAAAAATAAGGCTATAGCCTGAAATTTAAAAACAGTAACTATCACGTCACAATCTGAGTATGATCAGCACTCTTTCGCTTATTTCTTTCTTTGAGGTAAGTACAATCATTATCCACATTTGTTATTTTTTAATTTATTTTATTTTGGAGAGGTTTTTGCTATAGGGCGCGTGCGCTCGCCAGACAGATAGACAGAAATCGAGAAATCACCCCCCCGGGGGCATGGCCACACCGCAATCCCTTCTCCTCCATTCTCCTCTCAGGATCTTGGGCATGCATGCACATGTGCCAGGCGTGAGTTTTAAGCCACCGGGTCCGGGACGCGAACCACGGTTGACTACTTGAGAGTCCAGTAACATAGCCATTACGCTAACTGCTGGTCCCCACATATTTGTTATTTTTTAATTTGCCAAAGTGCTTGTGTGCACAGTGGAGAGAGAGGCAAAGAGAGAGAGGAAGATGGAAAGAAATCCCCCATAATGTGAATGGTCACATTGCAATCCCTTCTCCTCCATCTTTCCCTCCTTTCAGGATTTTGGGAATGCACACATATGTCCAGTGTTTTTTTCTTCAAGTCTTCTGGTCTGGGACTTGAACCACACAGTCGGCTATATAAGATCCAGTTCACTTAATCACCAGGCTGGTCCTCATTACCCCAAATTTTACCATGGCTAATGTAGATGAAGAAATCTGCCTCAGAATACAAAGTAATTTTGTTGTCACTTCCGCATTTATCCTAACCCCTTTTTGAAAATAATCAGTAACTATTCAGTAATTACTTATCTAATTTAAGAGAGCCTTTCTTTTTAAAATAAACCTTAGTCTTCAGGTCATACTAAGATTTGAAGACTTGGCTTTCCCGGGAGTTTAAAATATACTCAGTAATATATTACAAGCAATTCTGTTAAGTTTTACTTCTTACACACTCAAGTGTTATATAAATAAGGAAATTTGTTCAGGGACCTATCTGGTGAATAAAATGTTTTGCATCTACATCACTTATTTTACTTCATTTGAGATCATAAAGGTAATAGTTTTGTCTGGTGTCCCAATCACATGTGAGAAAACTTCCTTTAAGAAAGGAGTAGCAGGGACCAGCACATGGAGTAATGGCTACATCGCTGGACTCTAACATAGTCAACAAAAGTTCAAGTCCCAGACCCGGTAGCTTAAACTCACAATGGATGCATGTGCATGTGTGCCCAAGATCCTGAGAGGAAAATGGAAAAGGGATTGCAGCATGGCCATCCCCCCAGGAGGTGATTTCTCGCTTTCTGCCTGTCTGTCTCTTTCTGGCGAGCACACGCACCCTATAGCAAAATCCTCCCCCCACCCCCCAAAAAAAGGAATAGAAGCCAACAGCTGGTGAGGTGGTGGTTTAAAGTACTTGGACTACCACATGGCCAACCAGTTTGAATCCTAGACCTGGTGGCTTGCTTCTACCTTAAGTAAATCTCATTGCTCAAATAATGAGTACTACTCCCCGCCTTCTTCCTGTCTTTTAAACTCCCTAGGTTACCCTCCTCAGCTGTTCCCTCTTCAAGGATGCTCTCCCGCTGTTCTTCATGTCAGACTCCCCACCCATCCCTCATGTCTTATTCCTGATGAGCACACAACCCTGTGCTGAAGGAGCACAGATGGACACTTACCATGTCTTCTTTTTTGGAAGAACTACTTCTCCAATCCCTTAAATTGAAAATAAAACAAATCAGTTTCCTAATATCACAATGACAAGGAATAAAATGTGTAGATATAAAAATGGGATTATCTCAAAAGATGTTTTACATACCTGGTACATCAGTTTGTTCTATTTTCTGAACAGCTGCACTTCCAGAATAAAACCTATATATATAAAAAAAAAAAAAAGCCCCAGAGCTAATACTCACTAATGAAGGTCCCAGTTCACCTCCAACTGTGTGCATTTAGGGCCCAAATGTTCCAAATAACATGGATCAAACTGACTGGATAACACATTTAGACTTGGAACTGCTATTTTCCATTTTTACAGGCTAAAGAACAACATTATTATTATCTTTTTTTTTTTTAACCAAAAATACAATATCGTTGGCCGGTGACTGCCTTTTTAAATGTTCTGGTCACTCTACAATCAGCACCACACACTGTAACGCGCGTGATGAATGAGATCTGTGCACTCCTTTCCTAGATGACATCGCTAACACTCAGAAGTGTCAAGATGTGGCTACACAGAAAACACTTCCCCTACTGGTGTCTGGTCTCACACGTCGGTTCTCTCCTCCTGGCTCTCTGGCATCACTTCAAAACAACAGTATCTTTCTCTGCTAAGGACATTTCAGAAAGGGATCAACTGTTTTAAATCACGCTTTTTCTTCCAAAAGAGCTGAGGGAGAGGTGCTGCTGGGAGGCAAAGAATACGGGAGGGAAATGCAAACACTGGGCAGAAGTATGAAAAGGACTGGAATTAAAAGGCAGCACGAGGAGTCTACCATACCAGGGGAAGTGTTTTCCTTTTCTGAAGGGAAAGCATGTACAAAATATATATATATATTGTAAGTTACATATCTCACTTATTCCTCACAATTTTTCTGGATGGTTATTACCAGCTCCCAATCCACAGATGAGAACATTTACCTATCACTCAACTAAGAAAATGGCAAACAGTGATAAAATTAGGCTTTTTAAAAGTTTTCACTAGATGTTACTGCCTCTCATAGGAAGAGAATTCAAAAAGTTCATAAAGAAAAAAAAAAAAAAAAGGAGTCAAAGTATGAGTTTAGGACTAGAAGGTGACGTAGTGGTTAAAGAGCTAGACCCCACAGAGCTGACTCTGGTTTGAGGCTGGAACCTGGCAGCCTGAAAAGTACACAGGAAGCCAGTGCACAAACCCCAAAACCGATGAAGGGATGATGGTGCAGCAATCCCGCTTGGGGGTGATTTCTTAACTTTCCTCTGTCTCTCCAGAGATTGCAGGCACAGTACAGGGGGAAAAAAAAAAGAGAGAGAGAGAGAGAAATAAAGAAAGTAAGTTATGAGTTTATTTTCATGCAGAAAAATTCTGAAATCCATGCAATAGTTTTTTTCACGATCCAATGTCTTTTTTAGATTTTTACTATAGGGCGCATAGTGCATGTGCTCGCCAGAGACACAGACAGAAAGGGAGAAATTACCCCCCAGGAAGATGGGCAACGCTGCAATCCATTCTCCTCCATTCCCCTCTAGGGGCTTCGCACACGCATACACATGGCACCTGGCCTGAGTTTCAAGCTACCGGGACCAGACTCTAACCACGGTTGACTATGTGGGAGTCCAGTGACATACACATTACAACATCTGCTGGTCCTAATCCAATGTCTTTTTGAAGAGTTTCCACTTATTTCTGCAATCTGAAAGTTTGCAGGAAAAGGGGAGGAAAAAAATCATATAAATGATACAACCTGTTTACCATTAGAAACCCAGGGTATTATCCAGCTTTCTTTCTTTTAAGAAATTATTTATTTATTTAACTATTGCCAGAGGGCACGTGCAATCACCCAGTGGAGCGAAAGGAAGAAAGCAGAAGACACTCCCCACTCCACAATGGGCCTGGGTCACACAACAATCCAGCCACGATTTTAGGCCTGTATGCCTGCAGTGAGTTTCACACGGCCAGGGCCAGGAGTCCAACTGCACTGTGGGCTATGAGGGATCTGGCTTCCTTAAACACCAGGCCATGATGACCCCAAACTCTCATCTTTTCCTTGGCCAAAAGTTCCCACAACATCAAACACACAGAGATGATCATAAACTGCCTCTCATTTAAAAAATCTTGCACATTCTTTCCTTGCTCCCGACTGGGTTACGATCAACAATTTTGTATTATTTTTTCCGTAAATTTGGAAGGGGTTGGTAACGGCCACACTCAGTGGAATGTAAGTTTCACGAGAGCATGGTCCGGGTTTTGCAGTCCTAAACCGAGAGGACTGCAACCAACCAAAACATATCCTAATGAATAAATGTGTTTACCAGCCACACTGGAAAGGCTCTGAGCGGCTCCGCATGGCCGGGCTTCAGAGCCCGCCGCAGCCGAGGGGGCGCATGCGCAAACCACTCCATTGACCTTGACTCCACGGTTCGCGGGAAAACACAGGAAGTGGGTAATACCTGAGTTTTCCTCGTGGGTCCCCCGAGATATTCTTACCTGCAACTCGGGGCCGATTCACATGAACCTGCTCGCCGACCTGTCAACGGCAAGCAAAGCCTGCTGCTGACCCTCAGCCAGGGAACAGATGCAGCCGCTGCCGCCGCCATCTTTGGCTTCTCGCACAGCTTGCCGGGAAAGCAACCCTTGCCCTTCCTTTAGGAAGTGGGCGGGGAAACGTGAGTGGGGGAACAGCTCAGCTATTGGCCGAGGAGGAAGAACACCGAACCAATCTTGAAATGGGGGGGGTGCAAGCCCACGTTAGAACTATTTTCTCACAGAAATAAAAAGCATAAGTAAGCCTCATTTGCCTCGAAGAAACTTTCTCAAGTGATTATCTTGATGTCTTAAATTTCTCCGATTGTTTCCAAGATAAAAAGGCAAGTGAGTGTCGCAGGAAACTACTGCCCTCCTCCCCGACGGTGGAAGTGATCTCGTCCACACACAGAGCTTCCAGCCTGCGTTTTCCCCGCGCAAGCGCAGTTTGAATCACATGGTGGCTCGGGTCTTGAGGCTGAGTTGAGAACACAGGGGTGGACTCTGTCTTTGGGTGTCAGAACTGAGAACCAACCTGGAAGATGTTGGGCTCCAAGAACGTGCCCTGGCGGCGGCTGCAGGGCATTTCCTTCGGGATGTATTCGGCTGAAGAGCTCAAGTAAGGAGTTGGGGGAAAGCATGCAGAGCCTTGCTGTTGAGGTCGGCGCCACAAACTACGAGTCCCAGCAGATTTGGCGCCCCGTCTGCCCTCCGAGGCCCTGGTTGTGTGGCGCGTGGCCTGCTGGGATATGTAGTTTCGGGGACGTTCCTGGGCCGGCGCGCACTGCCTAGCACACATGGGGTGGGAGTCTGAGTTTCCCTGGAGAAAAGAGAGTTTGGGATGGCAGCGGTATCACCGACCCGCCTTCTCGTTCATTGACAAGCATTTGTGGTGTTAGTACAACGTAATGTCTCGGATGCGGTTAAGTATGTAGTCTCTTCTGTAAAACGATTATCTTTCAAGTCTCAGTTCAGGCAGGAACTTCTCTTTGCCAGGACGCCGCTGGATTCTCCGCGTGTTTACTAAATACATCGAGGGAACGCTCTTTAGTCCTCATTTTGATCACGGGGGCATTTGACAGTCTCTACCACATCAAACTTGAAACTTCCCTCTCTTCTAGTACCTCATTGTTTTCAGGTTCTCCTATTTCTGTGACAAGTACTCATTCCCTGGATCATTCCATCAATCCACAAATATGTACTGAACATCTTGTTTCTGACAGGCATTAAGCTAGGCATGGATGACAGTGGTGAACAACATCCGTTCCTTTTTTTTTTTTTTTTTGAGATGTTTTTGCTATAGGGTCCTTGTGCTTGCTGGAGGCAGACAGAAAGCGGGAACCCCCTAGGGGATGGCCATGCTGCAGTCCTATCTCCTCCAGCAGTTTTGGCACACATGCATACACACCTGACGTGAGTTTTGAGCCATCGGGACTCCAGCCTTAAACCGCAGTAGATTACTTGGGAATTCCGTGACATAACCATTATGCCATCTGCTGTTTAGGATGAGGTTCTCTCTTTTTTTTTTTTTTTGGAGGGGTTTTCGCTATAGGGCGCATGCCCTGGCCAGAAAGACAGAAGAGAGACAGAGAGCCAAAGCAAGAAATCACCCCCCAGGGGGGATGGCCACGCCGCAATCCCTTCTCCTCCATTCTCCTCTAGGGATCTTGGGCACGTATGTATACGTGCCCGACATGCCTTCCTCTTTTTACTCCATAATTGTTGGTGTTCTTCGAGGTTCTTTTCTGGTCATGCTGCTTTTCTTGTCCTTAATGTTGTCCCTAGACAATCCCACCATTTTTGTAACTGGTACTCTGAAACTTAAATCTCTAGCTGTGATTTCTTTCTCTCATTTTCAGACCCATATATGTTCATCTTTTTCTGGACATCTTAAATTTCACACACAGATCTTAAACTCATACCAAAAGAAACCTCAAAATGTACCTCTTCCTCACCAAAAGGAGAGGTTAGGAACTTGCTTCTCCAAATTAGTGTATGTGGTCTAGTGCAAAATGGTCCCTGGAAACTGGGAACTAATTCTAGACTGCTCTACCCTGACGTTTGTTTATTGGGCTCACGTCGTGTGTTACCATATCTGTTCTGTACCCTGCTTTTCTTCCCTATTGCCACTGCCTTATACCAGGTTCTTATCTCATGTTTGAAGTGCCTTTTCCTTCTACCTCTCCCTTACACCTGTCCAGCCCATCTTCCACAAAATTACTCTTCTAAAATGCAAATGTGATCATGTTACTGACATCCTTAAAAGCCCCAAAAGTTTGTCCGTATCCTTCAGATAAAAAGATTTTATTTGCATGGCTCATAATGTCCCTTTATCAGGCCAGTGCTGGTTTTAGCTGTAATGTCATCCCTTCTCTAGCCCTACTAAACCACCTGCACTTTACTGAAAGTGTCATTGTGTTATTTTGTTTGTTTGTTTAAGGTTTTTGCTCTATGGCATATGCGTTCCCCAGAGAAGAAAGAGACAGTGAGAGGGAAAGTGAGAAATCCGCCCCTTGGGGCCCCACTGCAATCCCTTCTCCATTCCTCTCTAGGAGTTTGGGCATGCACACACATGTACCCAGGGTGATTTCAAGCCAGTTAGGCGGCTCGAACCACTATTGACGGTGTGGTAGTGTAGCACCTTAACCACTACACCACCTGCTGTCCCTGTGGCATCATCTGGCCTGTTGCCAGGCTCTTTGCTGTATATCCAATGTCCCTTGTGCCAAAGGTTCCTACTTCGCTCTGGCCCTCATCCTACACCCACACCTGAAGGCTCAGGTCAGCATTCCTCATTTTCTGAGGTCTTTCTGCAGAAAAATCCAGCAAGGCCCTGCCCTCAGGTTTCCTCTAGGGTGCAATATGAGGATGGTTTCTTTGTCCTTCATTTTCTAAATCAAAAGAAAAAAATGTAAAAAGCAAAGTTGGCTTAATAAAAGTAGTTATTTAAGTGTCCTATGTGAGTCCCTTTACCAAACATAAAATGTGATGACACATCTTGTAAAGCAAGTTATATCTCATAAAGATGTGGATATTCATTTAATTTCATTTAGTTTACTCTTCCTGCATACAGGGGTTATTGCATCACATCGCCATCATTGAATAGTGTGGGCTTTGGATTTAGGTCTAGTGCGTATGCTGCCTCTCCCACATTCTGGCTGTGTCACATGAATTAACTCAGCTAACTGCTCTGAGCCTCAGTTTCTTTTTCTTTTTTTGGAGAGGTTTTATAGGATGCGTACGCTCACCAGAAAGACAGAGAGAGACAGAGAGACAGAAAGTGAGAACTCACCCCCCAGGGGGGGATGGCCATGCTGCAATCCCTTCTCCTCCATTCTCCTCGAGGAATCTTGGGCATGGGCGCACACGTGCCTGGCATGAGTTTAAGCCACCGGGTCCAGGACTTGAACTTTGCCCAAGATCCCTAGAGGAGAAAGGATTGTGGTGTGGCCACAATCGAACTGTGTCGACTACGTGGGAGTCCAGCGACATAGCCATTACGCTATCTGCTGGTTCCAGTTTCTTTTGTTTTTTGAGAGTTGTTTTCTTTTTTTTTTTTGCTATAGGGCGAATGGCCACACCACAATCCTTTCTCCTCTAGGGATCTTGGGCACGCACACACACGCGCCCAGTGTGAGTTTAAGCCACCAGGTCTGGGACTCGAACCATGGTCGGCTACATGGGAGTTCAGCGACATAGCCATTATGCTAACTGCTGGTCCTGGTTCCAGTTTCTTTTGAAAAATACATGTAGTGATGCCCATCTCAGGGTTAAGACCGAAACTAAATATTGCGTGTACAGCTCTCATTGTGTCACATGTGCTTAACTCCTTTTAATGAACAGTCTACTGATGTACTCAGTGCAAATTTTGCACTAAATCTCTTTTTTAAAGATATACCGCTCTTCAGCACACATTTACTGACTAGCCGTAGTGTGCCAGTCTTGCACTAAGGTGTTGGGGAGCAGAGATGAACAAAGCAGACAGAGAATCTGCCCCCCTCACCGCGGTTTTGTAAGTGCAGTAAAGGAAATATCAGAAAAGCTGGTAACCTTAGTTTTCCCTTGGTCTTTTTTATCTCCTTAGGAAATTAAGTGTTAAATCCATTACGAACCCGCGGTACCTGGACAGCCTGGGGAACCCATCAGCAAACGGCCTGTATGATTTAGCTTTGGGTCCTGCGGATTCCAAAGAGGTGTGCTCCACCTGCGTGCAGGACTTCAACCACTGCTCTGGGCACCTGGGCCACATCGAGCTCCCACTCACCGTGTACAACCCTCTCCTCTTCGATGTAAGTGCTGCCCATGCGCGTAGGTCTCGGGGCTGCTGATGCTGTGTGTGAGTGTGGCCTCTCCCCCCAGAAGAGATGGAGCTCTAGATAAAATGAAATAAAATGTTTCTTACAATGAAATTTAAAACATTGAGGAGCTAAATACAATAACTTCAATGTCTACAGCTATTACTAAAGAAATTTTGGTTTGATTCCAGCTGGGAAGAGCCAGGCTTGTTTCTTTTCATGTGGGGAGAAGGTGTGGTCAGAGTCTTCTCCATGCCTTTTCTTTCAGTCTCCTTGGTATAGGAAACTAGTGTTCTCAAGGCTTCCCTGGCCCTTCCGGTGGAGCCCTAGAGGGGCTTAGAGGGAGGGGACACAAAGCCCCAGAAAGCCCAGCATTTAGTTCGGAATGAATCCGTTGGCTAGAGACTGACTGGTACATGTTTAGCTCTTATATCCGCTGCCCTCGGCTCCAAGATATTTTCTAAGCTGCACTGATTATGGTACACAGTATTTCTTCCATAAGTGAAGGAGAGGCACCCCCAACAGGGTCCCCAGGCTACAATCCACCCCAAGTCAGCCTGAGATAATGAGCATCTGTGTACCCAGTGTGTTCAGGGAAATTGCCAGAGCGTCCCCACAGGGGTGAACCTTGCAGAGTGCTACATGACTGCCACACCACTGTCTGGATTTTTTCTTTTTTTGTCAATCATATTAAAGACAGTTGTCTCAATTACATACTTGAAATAAAATAAAGATAGTTCCTTACCTTGGGTCATATAGCCAAAGATGTTTTCAAATCTGAATGGGTTTAAATGAAACCATAAAAGAAAACTTAGGAGACTGTTTGCTTATTTCTTGGGGTCAAACAGGGTGTTCTGAGTATATAGGCTGAAGTGAAATTCTTAGCAGAGCAGACTGACTCCAAGATAAAACTCGGGAGTTCATTGGAAGTTTCTACGACCACTGTGTCTCTTTATAATCGTTTTATCCTCTCGCTTCAGAAACTCTACCTGCTGCTCCGAGGCTCTTGCTTGAACTGCCACATGCTGACCTGTCCCCGGGCTGTGATTCACCTCTTAGTGTGCCAGCTGAGGGTTCTGGCAGTTGGGGCCCTACAAGCAGTCTACGAGTTGGAGCGAATTCTGAACAGGGTAAGTGAATAGTGGCAGTCGTGGGAATCACAGAAGCCAAAGTGGTGGGACAAGACATGCATGTGTGTAGGCCCTCACTGAGATTTTTGAAATATTTTGTCCTATCTTAGTGTTTTGTAGTCCTAGGTGTTTCTGAATTATCTAGTCCACTCTAATCGAAGCATAACATTCTCTCTTTATTTTTAAAACAGAAATGTAGCTTCATTACTGTTTTGTTGTTGTTGTTGTTGTTTGGGAAATGCAATACAGCAGCCATGGTTTCTTTTTCTCCCCTCGAACTAATCTGTTCCACCCCTGGAGAGGCTGACATAGTGGTTGTGCACGTGAGACATAGACTTAATGGTCCTGCGGCCAGATGGTTTTCCTCTTTGTTTTTCAGTTTCTGGAAGAAAATGCTGATCCTTCTGCTTTCGAAATCCAGGAAGAGTTAGAACAATACACAGCCAAAATTGTGCAGAACAACCTGCTGGGGTCTCAGGGTGCACACGTGAGTTACTGCTGCCTCTTTTTCTGCGGCACTGTTTTTAGTATAACCGTCACACTTTCCTTAACTGCTGCTACGTCATCGTCCCCTTCACCGCACGTGTCTAAGTATTCATTCATTCCATGAATGAGTGGATGGGATAGAGAATCAGCTGCAGCATGAATCTTGCAGTCTGACTCACCTCATTCCCAGGTTTCACAGCAGAGATTCTGATGTAATTGCTGTGGGGTAGGGCCCAGGTGGGGGTTTTGAGTCCCTGCTGTATTCCAACCTACCTCTGCATTCAGAATCTTTTCATCTTAGTGGCAGCTAGCTGAGGTGGTTACTCTCCCTGTATTATGAATGGGGACATGCAAGGCTTAAAAGAGGTCAGCCACTCAGCAGTTGGCAGAGCTTGGCAGGGTTAGAGTTCTGTGCCAAATAGCGTTTATCAAGCAAGGGTGGTTTCCTGTGGTTAGTAGATAGAAGGTGGAGGGTTGGTACACAGTGCCAAGGTGCTGTGCATTGCAGGCTGGGACCACATGGGAGGACTGGGTTTGATTCCTCGTCCAACCTAAATGCTGGATACAGTGGAGTGCAACTGTCATCTCAGCAGTTAGGGAGGCTGAAGCAGCAGGATCATGAGCTTGAGACTGGCTTGAGCAACATAGCAAAATCCTCTCTAAAAAAGAACCAGGCATGGGGACCAGCAGTTAGCGTAATGGCTGTGTCGCTGAACTCCCATGTAGTCGACTGTGGTTCGAGTCTCGGACCCGGTGGCTTAAACTCACGCTGGGCGCGTGTGTATGCATGCCCAAGATCCTGAGAGGAGGATGGAGGAGAAGGGATTGAGGTGTGACCATCCCCCCTGGGGGGTGATTTCTCGCTTTCTATCTCTCTGTCTCTCTTTCTGGTAAGCGCACACACCCTATAGCAAAAAAGGAACCTCCAAAAAAGAAAAATAGAACCAGGCATGGTGGCATGTGCCTGGGTCCCATCTGAGAGGTTGAGGCAGGAGGATCATGACATGGCAAACCCGTCTTAAAAAACAGTTTAATTTTTTTAAGAGAGGTTTTTTTTGTTTGTTTGTTTGTTTGTTTGCTTTACAGCACATGTGTTTTCTGGAGAGATAGAAACAGAAAGACAAAGTGAAAAATCACCCCTTAGGGGTATGACCACGCTGGAATCCCTGCTTCATCCTCATGCCATAATTCCTTTTCCTCTGGAGATTTTAGACATGCATGCACTCGCATCCAGCAAGAGTTTCAAGCCACTAGGTTTGGGACTGGAATTGTAGTTGCCTATGTGGAAGTCCAGTGCCTCAACCACTACATCATCTGCTGATCCCAAAAAAACTTTTTTTTTTTTTCATAGTGGTTTTTTCTATAGAGCACATGTGCTCGCCAGAAAGACAGAGACAGAGAGGCAGAAAGCAAGAAATCACCCCTCGGGAGGGATGGCCACGCCGCAATCCCTTCTCCTCTCAGGAGCTGGGGCACACACGCACACATGCCTGGCGTGAGTTTAAGCCACTGGGTCCGAGACTCAAACCGTGGTCGACTACATGGGAGTCCAGCGACATAGCCATTAAGCCAAATGCTGGTCCCACCAAAAAACTTTTGTTAAAGGTAAACAGTGCCTAGGACAGGCAAGTGTTGTGGTGGTTAAGGTGCTGGACTCCCACATGGCCAACTATGGTTCAAGTCCCAGACCTGGCAGCTTGCTTTCTCGCTTTCCCTTCCTCTCTCTCCCTGTCTCTTTCTATTTAAATTAAAAAATAATAATAACAAATGGAATTAAATAAATAAATAAATAAATATTTTTTTTAAATCAGTTAAAAGTGTAAAATAAATACATATTGGGTTCTCTTACAAGTGACTTTCTAAGGTTCTCTGGCTTTTTTCACCAGGTGAAGAATGTGTGTGAGAGCAGGAGCAACCTCATTGCTCACTTCTGGAAGACACACATGGCTGCCAAGCGATGTCCCCATTGCAAGTGAGTATCGGACGCTTGCCTTTCTTTCTTCCCAGGGGAGAGGTCTGGCCATTGAGCCACATGTCTGTCTCACTGGGTTTTTTTCTGCCCTTAATTATAACTCCTCATGCAGGACTGGGCGGTCAGTTGTCCGAAAGGAGCACAACAGCAAACTGACGATCACGTATCCAGCCATGGTGCACAGGAAAGCTGTCCAGAAAGAGACAGAGCCTGCAGGTAAGCATACTGGATCCCGGGAGGTGCCACTCTGCCAGGTTTCTCATGTGGGGCCAGCAGATGTGTCTTAAAACTTGGAAGAACCTGGTCTTCCTTGCAACATGACTCTAACTGCATATTTGGTATGGGACAGTGGAGGGTCAGTGCTGAGGCCAATTTTTCCAATAATGTTCCTTTTATGTTCTAGGATCCAATCCAGAATTCTCACTGCACTTACATATCCTGTTTAATCTTTTTAAGAATTATTTAATTTTGTTTATTATTATTAATTTGTTATAGGGCAATTGGGCTCACCAGAGAGAGAGAAGGAAAGTGAGAAAGCAAGCTTCCAGGTCTAGGAGTCGAACCATGGTCAGCCATGTGGGAGTCCAGCACCTCAACCACCATGCCACCCGCTGGCCCCTAGCCTGTTTAATTTTGATGAATGATTAACAGTTAGCACCATAAGAGTAGATTGTCCTACACTTACCTATAAATAATCCTTAAAACAATTATTACACCAATTGGGAATTGCTGCTCCTGCCCTTAGGATGCCTTCAAAAATGGTTACAAGTTCAGAACAAAGATGGTCGCGATTCTAGAAAGTAACCGATTCTTTGAGGCAGATGTCCAGCAGTTAAGTAATATTTCAATGTATTTCCCAAACCGTTCTCAAGTAATCCTTCACTACCACCATTTGTATATGGTAGTGCAACCAAAGGTCTGTGCATTAGAAACAAGCAGACGATAGTCTTCAACAGTTTCAGGATTGAGCTTTTTAATATTGCATGTAACAAACATTTGCTTCTTCTTATTTTTCTTTAAAGAATTATTTATTTATTTACTTCCAATTTTTACTATCATTGTCCAAAAGGAGCACAATTTGACCTGAGAAAAAGAGAAAGGGAAAGGGAGAAAGCAAGGCATCAGGTCCAGGACTTGAGTTGCCGTTGGCCATGTGGAAATCCAGCGCCTTTAACCACCACGCCACCTGCCCCCACCTCTTGCCAAGGACCATGATAGGGGACAAGCACAGTGCCAAGGTGGAGGTCAGACCATGTGGCTCCTGCTCTCTAGAGGCTGCAGGCCACACAGATCAGTAACTCCAGAGAGCAGATAGAGAATTCTGAGTCTGGGTCTGGCCATGTTCCTCACACGAGAGTGGGCCTGTGCCCGAGTGACCCCACATAAGCTGGTAAATTGCCGCATGTGCCCCAGTGTGCTCCCTGGGCCCCATGAGGCACATTAGCAATTTAAATGGAGGATTTTTTTTGGGGGGGGTATAGGGTGTGTACTTGCTAGAGAAACAGAGAGAGACAGAGACGGGAGACAGAAAGCGAGAAATCATCCCCCCAGGGGGAATGGCCACACTGCAATTTCCTGTCCTCCATTTTCTCCTCTGGATTTTGGGCCTGTGCACACATGTGTCCAACGTGAGTTTTAAGTTGCCAGGTCCAGGGCTCAAACCATAGTCGACTATGTGGGAGTCCAGCGATGTAACCATAATGCCGTCTGCTGACCCCTAAAGTGAGAATTCCTGCAGCCCACACTCTCCTGTCTGTCATGATCCAGTCTTCACCAGGCTATATGAACCCTTTTCATAGGCCAGCTATTAAAGCTGAAAGAAATACACCTTCCGTTCAGGGTGCTCTGAGATCCCAGCGAGGCAGTTCATTATCGCCAGCTGCAAGAGTGTCTTTTAGTGCTGCAGCCCATTGGAAAAGGTGGCCTCCTGTAGGTTCTTCTGAGTCTAAAATTCTGTGATTAGAAACGTGTGTCTGCCTCCGTGGGGGGTAATAGGGCGGAAATTCCTGTGCCCTTCAAGCCCGTTCAGTAGGCTGGAAAGTTCAGATACTCATTTCCAGAAATGCCCAGAAAATTGTTTCCATAGGGTAACAGCATCTGTTTTTTTCCCACTGAATGTACACAACTTTTGCCATACTGTGGTCAGAGCCACTCTTCATTGCATACTCACACTTCTGTCAGACTGCATTAACTTAATTGAAATGTTTTACTTTTGTAAGTGTCAGAAGTTTAAATGTGCAGACTCGACCGAGCAGCTTTACTTCCATGATCGTATTCTAAGAAATTAGAATACCCACTGTAGCCTAAATAGTTTAAAGTTGGACTTGATTGAAATGCCTCTCAGTGTAGAGTAATTAAGGGGCCAGTGACACCGTGGTCACAGTGCTCCGTGATGTTAGACCCACATGGGGAGGTCCCAGGTTTGCATCCTGAGGCTTCCCTGTGGACACCAGCGGGGCACATGTGGGCCCATGATCCAGGCTGGCTAAGGCTAGGAGTGGATCACGGGCCCGTGAAGACCCGTCAGTGTGTCCCCCACTTTTCTCACATGGAAGAAATAAATAAGTAAATTTTAGTGTAAAAATATTAGGTAAATTATGATGCTTCTCTTAATGGTTATGCAAGTAAAAAAATTCTCTAGAACCTTGTGATGACATCCTCGGCAGATTGGAAAACTTGACTGAATAATTGCAGATGGGATGAAGCTAAATTTTAAAGTGCAGAAAAAGGACCCAGCAGGTGGTATGGTGGTTAAGGTGCTGGACTCCCACATGGCCAGCCACTGTTCGAGTCCCATGCCTGGCAGCTTGCTCTTTCACTTTCCCTTTCTCTCTCGTCTTTCTCTAGTGACTGTACATGCCATGTAGCAAATTAAAAAATAAATAAATAAAATAACTCTTTTTAAAAGAAGTCAAAAAAGGCAAAGTGGGATTTTTAAGTATACATTATTTTAGGATATTTTGAACATGTGTATTTGAATCAGTGACTTTTGGCATCTGCTGAGCTCTAGACACTGTGACAGGTATTAGGAACACAGACAAGCATAGTTCCCATTCTGATGAATACATAAGAAGAAAAAGTTGAGCCGAACTTGACTTCAATGAATACACCCCAGAAAAGGTTGATAGTTTCAAACTTACAGGATCTACTGCTTCATTCTATCTGCTAATCACCTAAGTGCCTGGAGCCCAGTCTTCGGAATGGCAGCTGCTAGTCTGATATTCTCACTTAATCCAGGTATAGCTGGCCAGACGGATGCCCAGGTTGATCTTGAATAGTCTGATAAACCAACTCAATCTGCTCCTCATGTACTGGTGCGATAGTTGCAGAAAGAAATCAGTGTGCATTTACTTATAAAAACGTTCACACTCGTTTATCCATTATTTTACTTTCCGTTAAAAACCGTGTTCATAAAGACATCATAATGTTACTTCTAATGGCAAAAAAATTGAAGTTCGTCCAAATGTCCAGCTAGGAGAGTATGGTGTGGTAAATTAGGAACTGTTCCCAATGGATTACCATGTAGTCTTTAAACGTGGTGGTCATGGCCTGGCTGCAGTGGCTCCACTGCTTAGAAAGCTGGAAATTTCATGAGAGGCCTGAGTTTAGTTCCTGGGCCAGCCTGAATATGTGGGGTGCAGGTGCAGTCACTTGTTACCCCACCCCCCAACTAGCCAATTGGGGGTGGGGTAAGAAGACCGCAACACAGTGAGATCCTATCAAGAATGTCTTTCTTTCCTTCTCTCTTCCCTCTCTATCTCTCAAAATGGAAAAAAATACAGTGACAGTCAAGCAAAGCCAATATAGCAAATATGGAAACACTCACCATATGAGACTGAGCAAAGCAGGATACAAACTAAGGCCACACTTAACATTAGTTATGTGAGGACCAGCAGATGGTGAAATGGCTATGTCGCTGGACTCCCATGTAATCAACCACAGTTCAGGTCCTGGCCCCAGTGGCTTAAACCCAAGCCAGGCATGTGTGCGTGTGTGCCCAAGACCCTGAGAGGAGAATGGAGAAGGGATTGTGGCGTGGCCATCACCCCTGGGGGGTGATTTCTCACTTTCTGTCTTTGTCTTTCTGGTGAGCGCACGTGCCTTATAGGAGAAACCTCTCCAAAAAAAAAAAAAAATTAGTTACGTGACACACTTGTATAAACCAAAGGACTGGAAAACGTATACAAAATAGAAGTGATGATAATTATGTTAATGTTATCAGATGATAGGTAATGGTTTTCTTGCTCTATTTTATAGATTTTACACAATAGCTAATTTCTTCACTATTTTACAAATTAGATTAGGTGGGGAAAATCCAGGGCTGAGAATATGCTGTCCTAGAGATTAATTTTTATGGTTAGATTGTGGGCTTTGCAGAGTGGGGGACAAAGAATTGATTAATCCCGTTACAGAAGGAATACCAATTACTGATTATGTTCAATTCCTCTCCTCAGCTCCGGGAATTGAGGAAGCACAGTTGGGAAAACGAGGGTACTTGACACCCACCAGTGCCCGAGAACATTTGCTTGCCATCTGGAAGAATGAAGGTGCTGTTCTAAAGAAAGAACTGTGTCATCATCTTTTTAAATTTTTAAAAAATTTTCCAGAGAGTGCATGCACTCACCAGAGAGAAACTGGAGCAAGATGAGAAAGCATCCCCCATGGGGAATGGTCATGCCACAGTGCCTTCTCCATTTCTGCCTCCTTTTGGGATTTCGGACTGCATGTGCACACACCAGGGCGTTTTTCAAGCTGCTGGGGTGAGCTGTGCAATTGACCACGTGCAGTCCGACCTCCCTAACCACCACGCCATGGCTGGCCTGATGTGTATCTTCTTGAGGCTTCAGTTGTCTGGGCTCACTAACCTGCCTTACAGTTGTTTTTTGTTTGTTTGTTTTGTTTTGTTTTAAGGTTACGATTACTGTAACTCTTTCCTGAAATTGACCTATAGATTTGGGCCAGGCTTCAGGCTACTTTGTCATTGAAGCATCATAGACCATAGAAGGTCACACCGAGACCAAGACGTTAATGATGCATTGTAACTGTAGGAGACCTCCCTTCATGCAGTTTGACGTAATTCTAGATGTTCAGTATAACTCACCTTGTTCATAAATAAGAAGCTTTTTAAAAGTTTCTATGGGAATTCCTTTTGTGAATCAAAGAATTGACCCTTTTTTTGTTTTAATTAGGATTTTTAGACATTTCAGTTTCCTACAGAAAGGGAAATCCTCTATTTGCTTCCGAGTATATAACACAACCCACGCAGTCTACTCAAGACCTGTGTGTGTCCTCTGAGAGTGTGCTCTGGGACACTCCCTCTGGCCTCTGGGATGAGGACTACTTATAGGTGAACTCAGGGTTTTGGCATGTACATACATGCGCCTGGCATGTTTCTCAAGCCACAGGGCCAGAATTGGAACTGTGGTCAGCCGTGTAGGATCCAGCTCCTATTGTACTAGGCTACAAGGCTGGCCTTCAGTCTGTTTTTTATGAATATCAAGGTAATAGATACTTGAGTGCATAGGTAAGTCTAATATTCAGGAGGTAATCTTTAACTTAATATTTATTTTTTTCTGTCTCTGCCTATCTCATCAAGCACAAGTATTTCTGTCCTGTCCCTAGGTGTCATCCCTGTTGTCCTACATGCAGAGACTAAGTTTTGTTCATTTTTCTAAAGGAACATGTGACCTTTATATATACTGCCCCCATCTTCTAGGGCTTTTTTCCCAGTGATGCTTCCTTTTTTTAGGAATTCTTTATCTAATTTTATGTTTTGTTTATTATTATTTTAATTGACCAGAGTGAGACAGAGAGAAGGGGGAGAGTGAGAAAGCAAGCCACCAGGTCCACAACTCAAACTGTAGTTGGCCATGTGGGGAGTCCAGCACCTCAACCACCATGCCACCTGCCAGCCCCGTGGTTAGTAATACTGTTGTGGTCCTCTTGTGCCCTAATATATAGGTTTCAGTGGTCTCTCTCTCTCTCTCTCTCTCTCTCTCTCTTTTTAATCTCAAATGCAGGATTCTTCCTGAATCACCTTTTTTTGGGACTGGATGATGTTGGCATGGAGTCCAGATTCAATCCCAGCATGTTCTTTCTAGACTTCTTGGTGGTGCCACCCTCAAGGTAATGCCCATTAATTAACAAACTTCATTGGAAAAAGGCTTATGGAGGAATAACAACCTCTTGGAGGGGTGCCAGGGCCATGGCGCTGAGTGCAGAGTGGGGTGAGGACTTTCTTCTTTTGTTAAGTACGACAGTTATGCTGGTGGTGGCTTTGGGAGTGGTGGGGTGTGTTGCCCACGGTGGGTGACAGGCTGAACACAAGCCTTCTTTCATGCTGTTGTTTGTTGATTCCATGTGTCCCCCTGCAGATATCGCCCTGTCAATCGCCTGGGGGACCAGATGTTTACTAATGGCCAGACGGTGAATTTGCAGGCTGTCATGAAGGACATAGTTCTGATCCGAAAGCTTCTGGCACTGATGGCCCAGGAACAGAAGCTGCCGCGTGAGGTTGCAGCGCTCACCACAGATGAGGTCAGGACTGCCTTGGTCTGAACCAGACAGAGCTGGGTTCGAACTCTGTGCAGTGTGGTTGCAGAGGCTGTGGGTGCCAGGCAGCGCTGACAGGCTGTTCTGTGCAGCTGGTGGCACCCTTAGTAGGAGCTGCAGATTGGCAGTGGGGGGGGAATAGTTAACATCGGGAGGACTAGCACGGGCCTGAGCATGGAGAGGTTCCGGTCTAGGTTCTGCCCTTCGTGAGCATGCCGGTGACCTAGGTTGAGTTGCTTTAATTTCGTGGGCTGGTCTCCACGGTAATATGTGTGGTTGATGGTGAGATTTCACACCTAGGCTGCTCTGGGCCATCTGCTGTTGCAGCTGAAAGAACTAGTTCCCTCCCCTCTGTCTCTAGGATCATGTGTCCTAGTCACAGCACTGGAGCTTGTGCTACTCAGCTCTGTATGGGGCTTATTAAAGTCTCCAGCACTGGGAGCGCATGTCAGAGAGTGGGATTTTCCCAGAATGGGACTCTCAGCTAACACTTCCTCAGCCTTCAGTGTGCTAAGTCCTGTGCTGGGTCTTTAATGGGTATAAAGATGAAGTGGGGCCCAGATGCCATAGCACTGCAGTAATGCCAGTGCCCTGTAAAACGAAGCTATGTGAACCGCAGGTTCAGATCCCTGGATTGAAAATACTGGTCATGTGCTCAGGCACCCAGCCAGGAGCCGGAGTGCTGGAGAAAGGGGATCGTGAGCCGACAGTACCTTGTCTAGGTTGCTCCTCTCTGTTTCTCTCATGCTGTCATTTAAAAACAAACCAAGAAGCTGACTCCGTCAGAAAGCTTGCTGAGGTCACGAGGGGCAGGCAAGCAGGAAAGGCCACCTCCAACCCTGGGTACAGTCAGGGCTCTCAGACTCCCTTCCGGTCTCTGGAACAATCCTGCTATGAGCCAGGCCCATCACTGGGTGGTGCCACCATCTCCTGGACAGTTGCGCTGTGTCACCTCGTCCTTCTCCTTGGTGCCTTCTGGGGTTTTGCTTATGTTTTCTGATCAGCCAGCACAGGTGGGCTTTTAAAACATCCGCAGTGCAAGGTGGAAGTTGCCATCTGTGTGTCTCAGTCCAGTTTGAGAGGGAAGACCAAATACAGTGACCAGGGCTGACCATTTTGTTTCTGTTTCGTTGTCCCTTTTAGAAAGGGCAACCTCTTTGTCAGAATGAAGGAAAAGTCGGTTTCTGCAGAAACCAGCAGCACCCTCTCCGATTCCTAGGTCACCACGCCCTCTTTCCCCCCACTGACTGGAGGTGTTCTTTCTTCCCCCTTTGCTTCCTGTGGCTCCCCTTGGCAGGCGCTCTTCTAGATACCATGGACATGCCAGTGAGCCAGGGAGACCAAGTCTCACGCATTCGCAAGTGGTCATGTGGCCCTGAGCTAGGCAGTGCCACAAGCCCTGCGTTAGGCTAACAGGCCCCTGTCGTCATGCAGGTGACATCACTCCTCTTGAGACTCCTTCAGCAAGAGCTTTACCGTGAGGGGTGTCTGCAGAAATTTGTCTGACTTCCTGTAACTAAAGAAGGCCCTCGAGGGTCAGTCCCATGGCCTAGTGGTTAGGGGAGCCAGATTTGACATGGCCACCACAGTTCTAATCCCAGCCTTAGTGGCTTGAAAAAACATGTGAGGTGTATGTGTGTGCATGCCCCAAATCCCAAAAGGATGGAGAGGTGGAGAAAGGATTGCAGCATGATCACCCCGTCGAGGGGTGCTTTCCCCCCTCCCTCTCCCTTTCCCTTTCTGGTGAGCATGCACACCTGCTGGTGATTAAAAACAGGAGAAGAAAAAGAAGAGGGCAGTTGCACTCCTCCGGGTTGAGAAGAAGCCCACATCATCCCTGATGATTTTCAAGACAGTCTTATTTACTGTACCTTCCCTGACCCTCACCCCTCCCACTCTGACACTGGCAGCTTTCTCTTGTCATCTGGCCACCCTAGCGGACACGGAACCATCTTACTGTCTCCTTGTCATATCCAGCCAGATGGGACCAGTCAGTGGCCAGACAGTGCCAGTAGGTGGTGCTCTAAGGCAGCTTAAGGCCTCTGTGTATTTCTGTCCCCGGGCAGTTAGTGGGAGAAGGGCAGGGACAGAAATATTTAAAAGGATTGCGTAAATACTCCAGTGAGGTTTGGCAATCACCCAGTAATCTGACACAGCCCAGTTGGGGACACACATCTTAACTGATGACATAGAAAACTGTATAGCAAACTTTTTTCTTTTCTGAAGTTGTTCCTCCTGGTTTTTATAAGTGCTTTGGATCAAGTGTTTTCAAAACCATAAATAAATTTGAAATTGCCTGTGAGACTTGGTTATCTGGCAGGGTAACCGAACTTTGTAAGAGAAGTATTAATAACGTGGGAAAGACTTCAAAAGTTGCCTCAGGAACTAGATGTTAAGGAACTTCAGCAGTTGCCTCACGAAAGGAGACTGCTTGTAAGTTTTGAGTTAAATTTTATTAACAGAGACAAGCTGGTAAATATGCAATAATTTATTGATACATAGGAGACTTGGAAAAAATGGATTGGAAAAATCATTGGAAAAACAAAGTATAAGTTTATTTTGGTGTAAAAAGAATTTTGAAATTGGGCCAGCAGGTGGCATAGAGGTTAAGGTGACTGGCCCCCCCTCCCGTCCCGCCCCCGTGGCCAACTGTGCAGTTTGAGTCCCAGACCTGTGGCCTGAAAATCCTGTGTGTGCATGTGCTCAGAATCCTGAGCGGAGAATGGAGTGGAGATTGTGTGTGGCCATCCACCCTGGGTGGTGATTTCTCACTTCCCCTTTCTCTCCTCCTCTCTCCGGCCAGCACATGCAATTCTATAACAACAATAACAACAACAAAAACCTCGTGTTCAAATCTGTGCAGTTTTTTCCTAATACCTATTCTCCATGAACTTGGTGTAGACCCCCTCGTATTTATGAGTGACTCATTAGCCCTTTTGCTGTCTTCTGTGAGGTTCAGAAAACATAAAGGCAGACCCCAGAGCTCATCGTCTGTTAGAGCTAGGATAAGAAAGAAGAATAAAACCAAACCGGGCCTTCTGGAAGTCTTTTCCATCCTGCCTGCTTTCTGATTGTATCTTCCCAGGAAAAAGATTCCTCGATTGTCATGGACCGATCCTTTCTAAGTGCCCTTCCAGGCCAGTCCCTCACAGACAAGCTTTACAACATTTGGATTCGTCTCCAGAGCCATGTCAATATCGTGTTCGACAGTGAAATGGACAAACTGATGATGGAAAAGTACCCTGGCATTAGGCAGGTGAGCAAGGGTTGGGTAATACACATGTTTGTGGTGAAACAAGGAAATACTAAGCATATTTGGATTTTTAAAAATGATTTCCATGGCCTTTTTTCTCCGTAAAGATCCTGGAGAAGAAGGAAGGTCTGTTCCGAAAGCACATGATGGGAAAGCGCGTGGACTACGCGGCCCGCTCGGTCATCTGCCCAGACATGTACATCAACACCAACGAGATTGGGATTCCCATGGTGCGTGTGCGGGGCTGTCTGCCACCGCTGGGTGGGCGTGCCGCAGGGCTAGGGGCAGGGTGTGCAGCAGTGTGGTAGCTTGGGCGAGAAAGGGTTTGCTCTTACACCACGTGTGGGGGGCTCTAGGCTATGTGGTGGCTTGCCAGATCTCTAGGGACTGTCTGCCCAGGAGGGACTGGGGCGCTAGGAGCTGACTGCAGCTGTCCACAGCCTTGCCTGCATGTCTTCCTCCCAGATACCTTAGCCTGGTCTCCGAACCTTCCTTATCCGAGTGACTGCATGACAGGAAGAGGGCAGGGGGATTTCAGTCTCGGGTACTTGCCAGGCATCAGGAGTCAGGAAGTAACCATTGGTTACAGGGTAGGAGAAGAGCAGAACGCCCCCGGAGAGAAGTCATGTGCATGTCATCCATCCCTGCAGTTCCTCCTCTGTAGGCAGCCGGCCCCAGCCGCCCATTAGTTTCCCTCCGGGAGCCAGCCACAGCTCTTACTTCCCCACCAACTGAAGCCGTGGTGCTCATTAGCAGCAGCCCTTTAACCGGCTTCCTCCTTAATGGGTCCTGAAGTGAGTAATGTGAAGATGGTTTAATCCCTTCTGATGAGAGTCATTTCCTCCTGCATCACCTTCCGCCTCCCTCAGGGGCACTGGTCATGAGCAGAGCTGAAGTGTCCTGATCATCCTGTGCACCTGCTGTTCATGCCTCTCGGGCACTTGTGGGCTTCCCGAGCAAGGGCGTGGCGAGTCAGAGGACAGGAGTCAGAGAAGGCTCCGTCCTGTGCCTTCTGCCTCCTGGGATCATAGGTCTTTGCTTCTAAAAGTTGAGTCAGATGGCAAGGAAAGGCTTTGCAAAGCCCAGTGGTGATGTTCCCAAGGCGGGGACCCTGAGAGGAGAGGCCAAGGGCCTGTGTGCTGTCCCCTCTGGTCCGAGGACAGGGGCTGCCCATGTTTGCTTTGACCTCTGTGCCTGGAGTGCCCCCAGCTTCAAGAAAGACCTTTAGTGCTGCCCCTTCTGCCTCCATAGGGTGCTAAGTGTCTCTTTCTTGAGTCTCGTACATTCACAGTAGCTCGGCTCCTGGGAAGGGACTCTTGATATTAAAGTTACCCCTCTGCCCATCTCCAACCTGCCCCGTGTCTCAGAGCCATGCTGGCCTAGGCATGTTACTCCAGGATGGCTCTTCACAGGAAGAGCAGAGCAGGTGAAGCTGCCTCTTGACCCCTCGGGGCACTCCTCACCCACGCAGCACTGTAGATGGGTGTTGCAGGAGCAAGGAGGTGAGAGAAGGGTGCACAGTAGCTGGAGACCCTGCAGGGAAGCAGGTAGACTGGACTGCTCTCTCATAAGGCTGCTCCCCAAAGACCAGGTGTATAAATGTGCCAGACAGTGGTAAGTTCCTCGACAAGAAGGGCAGGCTGAGGGTGTGGGTAGCGCAGAGGTGGGGTGGTCAGGGGAGGCCTCATTAAGTGCCATGGTGCAGAGACCTGGATAAAGTGCAAAGACCTAGTCCCTTTCTGGAGGACTTTGCAGAATCTTGGATGTATTTGAGTGAATTTTGAAACATCAAAGGGATTTATAATATTCAGTAGCTCAGTAATTTAATAAGAGAACTCATTTTTCTTGGAGGGTTTTGTAGGGCTAGTGTTAAGTAGCATGCTGCATTTGCTCATGTGTCAGAAACAGGTTCAGCTTGAGTGCCATCTTGACTGTGGTGTCTGTCAAAACTGCTGAGGTCAGAGATCTGATGCCATGTCTGGGCTCCGGGAAAGTGCCATGATCAATTAGTGATGTCTGCTGGGGTGGAGGAGGGCTGTGATGGTATCTGGGAGCAGGTGCCTTGTTTCTTTCTTTGATGACTTTGAATGTATTGACAGATGAGGAAATAATGAAGTTCTAGAATGAGCTGAAAATATTCTAGTGTCTAAACTACAACACTTGAATTACTCTCCCCAGACTGACCTTGCTAGGAAGGGAGGCCCAGTCTCTGGCAAGATAGCCCTGTGGAGAGGACAGGCGGGATATGGCTGTACTTAGCAGGGCCGTGGCTAATTGAGATAGCCCTTCCGTATCTCAGGGGGAAATCACACGGCGTGTTGACTCAGATGTTGGGTCTGGGTGACCTATCTCTGCCCACTCTGCATTTCTGTGTCCACTCTTTATTTCCAGGTGTTTGCTACAAAGCTGACCTACCCTCAGCCAGTTACCCCCTGGAACGTTCAGGAACTGAGGCAGGCAGTCATCAATGGCCCCGGTGTGCACCCAGGAGCAGCCATGGTCATCAACGAGGACGGCAGCCGCACAGCCCTGAGTGCTGTGGACGTGACCCAGCGGGAAGCCGTGGCCAAGCAGCTCCTGACTCCAGCCACAGGGGCACCAAAGCCCCAGGGGACAAAGATTGTGAGTAGTGGGCAGGTTTGGTTGGGCCCAGTCAGCCCTGCGGGCGGATCCCCTGTGCCTGCTGTCCGTCAGCTCCAGCTCCAGTGAGTGCCGGCAGACTCACTGGAGTCGTCTGTGTCCCGAGAGGAGGCTCCCCACATGTGGCGTGCTGTACATGCTTGTGCTGCTCACTGCTATTGATTTAGACTCTAGTAACGGGGCTCAGGAGTCTTTCACAGGCTTTCAAGAGGGTTCTCCTGCATGCTGAGGTTTGAGACTCGCTCTGTAGGGAGTGCTCTGTGCCAGGGAGACAGTAACTGACCAATTTTTAACTAATGCTTCAGTTCAGGCCAGTTGCTAATACCCACCCATAGTGCTAGGCCGAGACTCGATCTGCATTCCACCGGGAAGAAGAGCTCAGTGTTGATTGCAGTGTTGCCAAGGGTGTGAGCTTGGTGCGTGATGCGTTTGTGTCTCTGTCATATATAGCCTGGGTAACAGGTTACAGTGGCAGAAGTTGTTGGAGCAAAACCAGTAATACCCAGGATCAGGGGTGACTGGCTGGGGTTTCGTGCCCGCCGGTTCAGCTGCGAGACCTCTCCTTGCCCTCTGACCCATCGGTCCCTGATGGCTAATACGCTGGTCTGTAGTGATGGCTCAGGTAATGGGCTCAAGCTCTGGAGTTTGCATCAGCCTTGAAGGATCGTCGGGGTAACAGAGGCGAAAGGAAGCATTGTTGGCCTTGTCGCGGTGGCCATTGGTTCCCGTCATTCTTCATCAGGACAGCAGCGCACGGGTCTGGCCTCTTGCCTTCGTCTTGTCCTCAAAGCTCTCCTGAGGTGGCAGTCACACACCACCTGTTTTCTGCTTTGCAGATGGGAGGCACACGCAGACCCAGATTGGGTCACCTGTTTTGTTCTTTCCTAGTCTTCACGGGATTCTTCTGCTTTCCTGAGTGCCTGGGATTTTGCTAGGAACCATGTGAGGGGTATAAGAGAAACCAAGGCATGTTTTACCCACTGCTGGTGAAGCCAGATAGATACGAAATAAGCTTAAGTCACACGTGTGAAACAGTCTCACGGAGATGAGAATACGGACAGGGAGAGCAGCGGGAGTCAGGCGGCCTGGAGGGCCTGCTCCGTGCTCTGCTGTGCTTTGCCAGTCTCCGTGGACATGATCCCTGCACTCCTGGAGGTTCGGCAGGATGTGGGGGGTGCCAGTTAATATGTTTACAGACGCATCCCTCCCTGCTGGAGGCTTGGTGGACACTGTAGTGAACCGTGATGGGGGACAGTGGCTTTATGCACAGGACTCTTAAGTTTGAGGAGAACATGCTGGGGGAGGGGGGCAAATGGAGTTCAGAGTCCCCAGGAGGCAGTGAGCCTCAAGGGAGGTGGGACCAGGGTCAGTGCACGGGACATTTCAGAGGGGATGCCAGGGGTGCTCGGCTGCGGATTGGCCGTCAGGGCTATAAGAGGGGAGGTGAAACCGAGTCGTGGCTTCCAGCTCAAGGGAACAGGAGTGCCGAGAGATGGGAGCTTTGGGCCATTCCTAGTGTGAGCTGACCCTGGAAAATCTCTTTAAAAAGTAGACACATGGGCTCGGTTACAGCCCTCCCCACAGATGGAGGACTGCGGAGTTCAGAAGTGAGCCTGTGGGAGTGATGAACTCTGATCACAATTTACAATGCGGAGACAGTGGAGGGCCATAGGGGACTGAAATGCAGAGTGTGTGGGACACAGGTTGAGGTGCAGGAGGCTCCAAGGTGTGAGGGCACGTCGGAACTGACAGTGGCCGAGGCACAAAGGCAGGAAAGGACTCCAGGCAGAGCCTGGGAACTAAGGATGATTGCTTTTATTTCCCCAAATCTCAGCGGTGCTGTGATGCTTGGACAACGAATACAACACACGCGTGCCTACGACTTAGACTTTGGCTAATGTGCCGTGTATAGACCAGGACGGGGCCGAAGGGCTGGGTGAGATGTTAGGGAAGGAGAGACTGGATCGAGGTAACGATGAACCAAAGGTTAGATGAGAAGGGGGAAGGGTCTGTTCCCCTGTGAGGTGTGAACCCGTTGCCTCTTCCCCTGGGCCTTGTAAACAGGAGGAAGTGGCCCGGACGGCTGAGTCTCATTTCCCTGCCCAGCGGTCTGCCAGCAGCAGGCCTTTGGCTCTAGGCCTGCCTCTGAAAACTCTGACCCGGGCACTGGGGCAGGCCAATTTTCACTGCAGTATTTATTTAGAGACAAGAGAAAGGAAGGGCCTCGGGTTTGGGTTGGCACGGGGAGTGCCTGGTGCCCCAGGGCTTGTTTGGATTGGCCGGTGCCTGCCAGGCTGGCCCGCGTACCTTCCCAGCTGTGGCAAGCTTGCTTACACTTGGAGGATGTCTCGAATTTGCAAGGCTCAGTTTCTGCGCCCAGCCTGGGTTTTTGGGCTTAGGCCATAGGTCTGGGCAGTTTCTCCCTTGAGAGGCTGAAGAAAGACCTCGGGCTGTATGACGGAGGCAGACAGCAGCCAGTGCCCTGGGCAGATGCTCATGGGACTCCTCAGCGGTCAGGGCTCCTGGGAAACATTGGGTGGGGGTGGTGGGAGGAAGATTTTGATTCCTTGGGGAACAAAGACAGCCTCCATTCTAGGTACTTTCAGGGCTACCTTTCAGAATTTGAGGATTTTGCTCCTTGCTTTTCCTGGACAGGAAGGAGGAAGGTGAGAACCTTCTCTTAATAACCTCTGGCCTCCTTCTTTAGCAGTTTTTCCATGGAGCTCCGGAAATGTGGGCAACAGAGGAGGAAACTATTGGATGGGGTCATTTGTTGTTTGCACCAGCCTGCCAGCTACTATGGTTTCGAGGAGATTCGGGGTACAAGGAGGTTTCACTGAGTTGCCATCATAATTCCTCTGGGCAGCTGAGGTTTGGAGGGGTTTTCGGAACACTTGGAGTGGCTATTAGGTTGTACATGACACAGTGTCATGCATTTGTGTTTTGTTTTTAAGGTTGATTTCTTCCATGAGAGAGAGAAACAGGCACCCTCCGCAGGGCGTCATGCTCCGGTCCTCCCCACAGCCGCCCCAGCTAGGGTCACAAGGCCTCGCATGCCAGAAAGGGTACAAGTTGACCTGGGAACTAACCCCATATGGCTTCAGCACCATGGAGTGGGGCATTACTGTGGCTGGGCCTGTTTGTTTGGTTTTTTTTGGAGAGATTTTCACTGTAGGGTGCGTGCGCTTGCCAGACAGACAGAGAGAGACATAGAGACAGAAAGCGAGAAATCACCCCCCAGGGGGGATGGTCACGCCGTAATCCCTTCTCCTCCATTCTCCCCTCGGGATCTTGGGCACGCACGCACACGTGCCCGGCATGAGTTTTAAGCCACCGGGTCCGGGACACGAACTGCGGTCGACTACGTGGGAGTCCAGTGACATAGCCATTACGCTAACTGCTGGTTCCCAAGGCCTGTTTGTTTTTTAAAGTGTCATTTATGTTTGTTAATAGGAAGCTCAGTAGTTAATACAAGACAAGTAAAGGGCTTACTGAGCTTTGTAAGTCACCTCGGCGAGAAAGGTGTCCTGTCAGAAGGACACAATCAACCTTATATTTGTAAGAGGAAAAAATGTGCACAGTGGTTTTCTTTGAAGGGTAAAATTACTTGTGAATTTTTTATTTAACTTTATGTACTTATATATATATTTTTTTTAATTTGACCAGAGAGGGACAGAGAAAGAGAGAGAGGGAAAGTGAGAAAGCAAGCCGCCAGATCTGGGACTTAAACCATGGTTGGCCATGTGAGAGTCCAATGCCCTTAACCACCACGCCATCTGCTGGCCCGACTTGTGAATTTTTATTTTCTTTTTTAAGTTTGTCTAATTTTATTTTGTCTTTCCCCCTGTAATGAACATATCGCTTGTACATTGTGAACACGTAATGAACATATCGTTTATATTTGTACATATCACTTGCTTTCTATAATAATGACTGAGAAGACCTTCCTCTGACCCCTTACGAGACGGGGGGATGGGGGGAAGGGGAGCAACAGACAGCTTTGACTGGGTCTCTCTGTGTTTTGATCTCCTGCCTCAGCCTCCCAGTTAGCTAGGACTGCAGGCATGCATAACCAGGCCCAGCATGCTCTGGTTGACCTGGGAACTGAACCCTGGCTTCCTGGGCAGCTTCCAGCCTCCCAAGCAGTGGTGGTATTTATGTGCCTCTGCAGCTGGGCCTGAGGATCTTTTTCATAAATTTTACAGAAGCAATGTGTGTTCCTTGAAAGATGAATGGTACCCTGGGGACAACAGGTGTGTGGTGGCTAAGGTGGCTGGACTCCCACATGGCTGACCATGGTTTGAGTCCTAGACCTGGAGGTTTGCTTTCTCACTTTCTCTCTCGTCTCGCCCTTTCTCTCTGTCCCTCTCTGGTCGAATGAAATGAATAAATAAATGAAGTTAAAAAAAAATTAAAAAAAAAGAAAGATGAATGGTACTGAGGTGTATACATGTATACAGTATTCATTGCTGTCACTCTTTATAGTCATAAGCCCCTGAGGTGGCCATAAAAACAGCTTAGTGGAATCCAAGCACCTCTTTCACACATGCACATACACACACACATCCATGCATGTGTTCAGGGTTGGGTTGGGCTTTATTTTAAAATTTTTAATTTTTTTTATTTCTGGAGAAGTTTTTGCTATAGGATGTGTGCACTCGCCAGAAACAGAGAGAGACAGACAGAAAACGAGAAATCACCCCCCAAGGGCGATGGCCACCCCGCAATCCCTTCTCCTCCAGTCTCCTCTCAGGATCTTGGGCACACATGCACATGCACCTCATGTGAGTTTAAGCCACCAACTCTGGGACTCGAACCACAGTCAACTACATGGGAGTCCAGCAACATGGCCATTATGCTAACTGCTCGTCCCTGGGTTGGGTTTTAAATTGCCTCATCCTATTACCTTACCTGCTACCAGGGTTTATTTTCTCTTTCTTATTGTCATACATTATTGCCGTACATTCAGGGCTTGTAAATATTTAAGTAAGCCTTTTTGTCCTTGCGTGATATTCTACGCTGTGATAGATTGCCCCTCTCTGGGACAGTCAGGTTACTTCTGGTTATTGCCTCTGTAAACCTGCCTGCATAAACACTTATACAGCCTTGCAGTTAGTGCTTTTTCCTTGTGAAAGGCTAAGAAGAAATGTGTTTTAAATATCCTCAATTTAACTTGTCAAAAATAAATTAAAAAAAAAAAATTCTAATAGCTACCTTTAAACTTTTCCTGAAAGGCTGTGGCAGTTTACACTTTGGATTAATTTTTAAGTAAGTACAGTATTTTCAGAGGGCATTGAACTGGGAATCAAGAACCCTGTCTTCCCATCCTGGCTCTGCTGTATGAGGTTGGGCAAATTATTTCTAAAATGTGAAATTCACATTTCGATAACGTCCTCATGTGTGACCATGGGGGCTTCACGGGGTCTGCCAAACCCGGGGTTTCACGGTTACATGTAGGTGTGCAGTCTTTAGGAGCTAATTCATGTCTTCAGATTAATTCCCAGGAGAGTCTGTCTCTGGGAAGACTCTCATCAAGACAGAGAGACCTGTAGCCTTATCTGTTCCTTGGGCTTCTGAGCCCGGAGCCAGGACTGGGGCTGTGCAAGGCCAGGATGAGAGAGGCCAAGGAGCGATGTCTCAGAGATTTCTAGGGTTTTGCTCCTGCATGTCACTGACTAGACCATGAGACAAGCCACACTCAGGCAAGGTGAGGGAAACCCTTGGAAGAAGCACTGATGATGCTCAAGTTCCCGTCCATCACCGACCCATTTGTCACTCTGTCCCCAGGTATGCCGGCACGTGAAGAATGGGGACATTCTCCTACTGAACCGACAGCCCACCCTGCACAGACCCTCCATCCAGGCCCATCGTGCCCGTATCCTGCCTGAAGAGAAAGTCCTGCGGCTCCACTATGCCAACTGCAAGGCCTATAACGCTGACTTCGATGGAGACGAGATGAACGCCCACTTCCCCCAGAGTGAACTGGGCCGGGCCGAGGCCTATGTCCTGGCCTGCACCGATCAGCAGTACCTTGTTCCCAAAGTAGGTTAAGTCTAACCTTGAGGCTGTTCCACTGTTTCCACGGGTATGGTTTGGCACTTTAAACTGGGGTTTTTGCCAGCTCTTGGGGTGAATGGGCAGCTGCAGGTCAGGGGCATGTGGAATGAAGGGTCCTGGTTTCTTCCACATGGAGTTCGCAGTTATTTGTTTAGAGGCAGAAAAAGTTTCCACCTTGCTGTGTCTTAAAAATGTAAATTAGGAGAGAACGTGACCGTCTTCCCAGGTTAGATTTGGCAACTCGTTAGCCCCTGGCAAGCCTTAGCATTTCAAGGGGAGGATCCTCCTCATCTGCAAGATGACTTTGATCCTTTGGATTCCAACAAGCGTGAGTTTTCAGAGACAGCTTAACTCCAGGGGCCCAGATGAGATCCTCCCTCAGGGCAGGAAGGCATCTCCTCCTTGAATTGCTTCCTTCTGTCTCTGAGGTCAGTCCTCAGGGCAGTCCCGTGTGATCATGGTTGTCCAGAGGGACACACAGGAACGATAATACATTCTCCCACCTTGCCTGGCCAGCTGCCTCTTTCCCATTAAGAGCAGGAACCCGAGTCAGCATGTGCTAATGAGAGAGAGAGAGTGCGAAAAGAGCCAGGCAGCAGGGAAAGGATGGAGTGTGTTCCAGCCGCCTGCCCAGGAGTCTGCGGCCTTTTAAATTATGAGCCATTTGCTTCACGCTGATTCGCAGTTACAGGTCATTGCTTCGGATCGTGGTGGGGTATGAAAGAACGAGGTAGTACGTGACTGTGTAACACACAGCTACCGTTTACCAAGCCTTTTTTCATTCAGTACCAGACACTGCGTAAAGCACTTTGGATGCCTTTCATTTCACCCTCCCCACAGTTCTTAGAGGTAGGTGCTAGGGATTATCTGTATTTTACACACACAGAGTTGATGTAACCTGCCCAGGGACACTCAGCAGAGAAGTAGGAGGAAGGAAAAGGAGCTCCCAATCTTCTTGGGCTTTGTTCTACAGGGATGGGGAGGCCTGTACCCAGGTGCCACAGAGGCGACTCACAGGTGTCCTGAGTCAGCACCCTCTGCTCCTCGGCGCTTCTCTTCCCCGTCAGCCACCTGCCACCCCAGGAATGAGGTTGTTGCCCAGGACCCCAGTGGTCCCGCTTCTTTTCCCACCAGATGTACTGCTGCAGCTTTGTGTGGGACCCAGATGTTAAACTGTCCCTTCTCGGCTCACCTTGGTGGGCTGTCATTAGCAAAGGAACCAAAAATAGGAAGAGGGGATCAAGGGCCCACTCAGATTACTGGGAAATTAGAAAAATAACTTTGTGAATTGAAAATGGCTTTTTTGTCTTTTCATGGATATAGTAGCAGTGACTAGTCATGGTGGCATTGACTCTGAGGGGCTTGGCCTCAGGTACTTCTCTGAGCAATTTGCAGCATCCTCTTACTTAGTTCCCGCGGCAGCTCAGTGAGGTAGGTGTGATTTTTAGATGAGAAACATTAGGTGAGTAACTTGCTGGCCAGTGCTAAGGCCAAGACTCAGACCCCACACCTTTGGGATCCCAGGCCTGTGTGCTCAGCCCAACTAGACAGGCAGGGATAGAGCTAGGCTGGGCAGGGAATATGGCAGGAGGCAGCTCCCAGGACAACCTCTAGAGGCAGAGTCACATTTCACAGGGTTGGGAACATACCAGGTAGCAACAGGTGGGGTTCTTGCTGGCAGGGACCTGTGAGCATTAGCTACATGGAGCTCAGACCGATGAACTTGAGGGTTCTTTCCTTGCTTTAGGTTGAACAAGGTGCAGAGCAATATGCGGCATCATGCTTATACCGTCCTGCAAAGGCCCGGTCTGGGTAACTCCAAATGGCCTCATCACGTGCTCATATGCCCGAGTTTTAAGTTGGACTTAAAGTTAAGAGACGGGCAGGACACTGATAGGTCAGCTTCCATTAATGAGTTCATTCCTTAAGAAGTTAAAAAAATCTGGGGCCATCAGGTGGTGTGGTGGCTAAGGTGTTGGAATTCCCACATGGCCAACCTTGGGTCAAGTCTTGGACCTGGTGATTTGCTTTCTCTCTCTCTCTTTCTCTGGCAAAACTCATGTGAAAAAAAAAAAAAATTCTAGGGATCAGCAGTTAATAAAAGCTTTTAAGAAAAATCTTTAGAAAGCCCAAGGTCTTCTTAAATATATAAATTTCACTGCGTCTCAAAATCTTATTAAGTTGGTATTGTAGTACCACTTCTATTTTTTTTACATGCCAAGACTGCAACTCTTGGAAACTAATTTTCTCAATAAACCAAGAGCCAGCATTCGAATCCAGGTCTATCTGATATAGATACGCTTGTTCCTCCCAAGCGTATCTATACCTGAAAAAAAAAAATTTAAAAAAAGTAAAAAGGAAGTTAAACTTGTGAGGGATGACCTGAGGATTCACTTTCAGTTTATTTTGTCAGCGGTAAAGAACCTTTGATTCTCCATCCATTTTATTTAGTCCTAAGGTAAATGCCAACAGGTAGAATCCTTATTTTTCCTATTGGTTATAAAAATGCAGCATGTCTGTGGTGGCAGAGTCATAAGAGGACAAGTTGGTTTGGTTAAACTAGGAAAGCCAATTTGGGGGGTCATTTTTATTAGTGTCTTTTGGTTTCCCTTTGTTCATTATTCCATGTTGCTTCTTTTCCCAGGTTCTCTTCCTTAACTAAAGTGCATTTTATTGTTTGTTTTATGCATTTAGTAGAGTTTTGTGATGTCTTCTTTTTTTTTTTTTTTGGAGAGGTTTTTGCTATAGGGTGCGTGTGCTCACCAGAAAGAAAGAGCACGAGAGAACGGGAGAACTCACCCCCAGG